CACAGGAAACGTCATAGAAACGTTTCCGCAAAGCTTTAAACATGTCCGATGTATTCGACATTGAACTTCGTTTTGCAAACCAGCAGAATACTTATATACAAGTTTACCGGGCAACGCCGTAGAATTTTCAGTTTTCAACGTCGATTAAACTCGAGCAATGTTTTTTAGGCCAGTGTAAACGCATCCAATGATTCGAAAGTGTTCGACCTCGTTTCCAGTCGCCTCCTTACGCACTGAAATGCTCTTTCGGAGTTCAACTTCGCAGTGCAAGGAAAGAAACGACTTAAATGTTTATCCTTTTACAGTAATAATCCTAGGTCTAGGATTATTTATAAGACATTGGCCACCATGGATGAACCATAAAAAAGTTATCTTCAAGGATGAGCTATAAGACATCCGACGACTGAGAAGAAAAAATTTCTTTGAGTCGAAGGAAAATGATTTCCCTGAATAATGCTCATTCGGATGAAATAACAGTGGTCTCGAGACTTACGCGCAATAATGTACATATTCATGATTGAAAATATTCTAAGATGTCGTTAAGGAGTAAATAAAAATGTTCAGTGATTGTAACGTCGAGATCAAGTTCCGGGGCACTTTTTGTAAGAACTTCGGCATACCCTCCTCTTGCGGGAAAATCGAAGATACTTTCGCCGAAGAGAAAAATTTAATTGGCCGCCACTTCGCTCTCCGTCGAGCCGACAGAAGAGAAATCTCATCCTCGACGAGAGTCCCCTTCAATCGATCGCGTTTTTCCATTTCCGACACGTCCTATACGTGCCGTCGCCCTCGATTTCATGCCGGAAAATTCGATTCCACGTTCAGTGAAATTTCCACTCGTGACAAAAGTTACCCGCGGAAGATGAATCTTCGACATTGGCATTCGGATGAGGCGCATTGTGAGAGGATTTCCAGGGAAACTTTCGTGCCTTTTCCGTCCGTTTGTGTCCGTACCAATCAGCCGTCTGCGGAACTCCGTTCCCGGGAATAGGAAAAGCTATTTCCGCTTGGATGCTATTTCCGGAAAGGAATTGTATTAGCAACCGTGCGTGCCGAAATAGTTTTCCGCCGTCATTTTGGATTTTCGCGAAGCTTCGAGAAGTAGGAACGAGTCGTGCATAATTCTGTCCTAATTCCACGGTCTGAATTATTCCCTCTAAATTCGGCCAAGATTTCCAGATGTTATAAATTAGGCACCATTAATGTTACAATTCTAAATGAATTATTTTCAAATACTTTCGTTCCCTCTTCGCGTTCCGTTCAACTCCGATTATTACTCCATCCATTAATTAGCACTAACGTGGTCAGGAGAGATGTCGAAATGAATTCCATTTAGACAAGCGGAATTTTTCGAAAGAAAGTTCTTCCTTTCTTTCTGGAAAAATTATACATAGGGCGTTGCGGTATTTTCTACGAATAAAAATCTGCTCATCAGTTCTCTCGAGCACCGACTTAAGAAGTGTCGATGCTATTTTCGTTGAAGACGAATGCTATTTTTGAGGGAGTATTTCCATCAGCCATCGGACCTAAATGTGATTCACTTCTCTGAGTAAACTTGCTTGATTATTTTCTGCTTTTCCGTCCATCCATTCCCCGGCACTCACCTAACTTCCAAACGCTCCAAGTCTAACAACCCTTCCTCGTGAAACATTTATAAAATGAATTAAATAATTCTCTTCGCGAAACCCACTAATCAGTCCAGACTCACACGAACCTTCTGCTAAACAATAACTTCATAAATTTCCCCGAACCGCACACGTAACTTTCCTGAAATCTTTCCCACATATCGAACCGCGCCAAGTGTAGGACCGCTTCCTGGTGAAGTCTCCATCGGCAACCCCATACCATTCGCGTAGCGAAATCCGTCAAACCCGTTGAAATTCGAATTTTTCTCTAGCTTCCCCTTCAGGAAGCGAAGACGCGGATGTGACGTTTATAATGAGCGCGTAAAGCGGAATGGGCCTTACGTAAGCGAAACGCATCCTCGGTGCATGCTCGTTACGGGCAAACATTTAAATTGCCGCGACCTCGGGAAATCAAGATCCGCGGTTGGGAAAGCATTGTTTCCGCGTTTCCGCGGGGCCTTACGGCGGTTTACCCGTATTACGTTGTTTACGCGGTACCGAGCCCGAAAACTCGAGCGGCACTTTCGCCACGCCCGATTCGACGTACCCGGAGAGGCGGAAACTTTCGCAATAGGTATTCGTGTCGCAAACCTGAAAAATTCAGCCGCCACTCTTGACTCGCCGAGTCGCCATAACGCGATACTCCACATGATACTTTGCACGAGCTCGCGCGTGTGCCCACACGTCCGCAATTCTTATAACCACGTATGCAACCTGTATGCACGAGTCTATACGTACCCGCGGCGTTTTCCTTCCACCGAAGGACGACTGCTAAAGAATTTCCCGACATCGCGATCCGCGCCATTTCTTTCTCCCCCTTGGAAGGACCGAAATGGACAAAAGTAAATCCCTATTTTCTCAGTTCCCTGAAATATACTTTCAAACCTAAGATACGATATTTATATCAATTCTGTCCGTCGAATCCTAGCGCACGCAAATCGGTTAAAATGGCGGCCGAAGGACGTTTCCGGTAGTTGGGCGACCTCGTTAAAAGTGGTAAGTACTTCAAGCCCGATGCGTTTAGGAAGCGGTCACTTCCCGTTGTGGGCCCCCGGGAAAGGGAAGTCGCGTATCGTCCAGGGTGTGACGTTCGATCGACCATTCGACCATTCGGCCATTCGGACGGGAAAGTGTGTTCCGTTTCGCAACGAGCCGTCCGATTCGCCGAGTAGTCTAGGCTCCCTTCACCGAGAACCGCCGAGGAGCGTGGCAGGAGTCGATCGTGGAACGTGGACCCTTTCGTGTGCGATAATCGCCTCGAATATTCAAATTCGACTACCAGATGCCTTCGCCCATGATGGACGATTTCTGCGGTACGCCTAAGCCGAATTCAATTCCCCGGGTCTTGCGTCAAAATTCATTACACCGAAGAAATAATTCATCAAATATTTCATTGGCACCGTTGATAGCGATAGTTCTTTAACGCGTGCGACAATAGCCCGGGATATTAAAATTCGACTACCAGATGTCTTCGTCAATTTCGATAAAAAAAAAATTGCTGATCACTCGATCCGGGTAATACCAGGGGATATTACTGTTCAGCGACAGACGTTCACGTACACCCTCAAAGCCCACATGAATGTAAAACAAAGGGAGAACCCTTGACGGACTTACCCCTCGACAATGGACCGTTTGATGCACGTTAAAAGTGCATATAAAAATACTATTTCAGTGTTTATCCCCGTTGAAGTACTCTCACCGTCTCGACCGCGTGTACACATAAATGAAAGAATTTGTCCCGTGCCCTCGATTTTCTAAAATACATTCTCTTTTTACCCCCATTTCGATTAAAACGCATTTCGCGACCCACTTCCCTTAAATGTGACCGTAGCATAAAATGCAGTAAAAACAATTTGGCGTAATTCGTCGAAAAAAATTATTCTACGCATGAAGCATGAAAAAGTCGAAGGTCCATATTTAATCCTTTTTTACGAATAGTCCCCGTTACTTGATTTGTACTATTTTTCGCGCATTGTTTGATAAAGCCGTGTCGGAAGACAAGGACACCCGTCCAGGAGAAAAAGATTGATCGTTATCAGCCTCCGGAAGAAACAACGAGTACTCTGTTAAAGTCACGAAGGATTTCAGTAAACCGGCATTCCATTCGTACAAATGTCTTTCGTGTCGTTTCACGATATGCTAATGGGCGGGCGTTAATAAATCGTTAAGAGATATCGATTTTGCTCGGTACGAGGAAACGACATTTCCTTCCCGATCCACAGTGAAAGTATTCAATGTGAATCTGCCATTTTCAATTACGATTATTTCCAAGAGATATCACGTGAACGGATTAATTCACCGAGCAGTGATTGAATTCAATAAGGCCATTTTTTCATGAATGAACAAGACCTCCCTTGCCATTATTTTTCATGATCGTTCATAAGAAAGCCTAAAAATCTTTCATGAAAATTCTGGCAAGTTGTAAAGCAACGCGTGGCAAAATGTCCTAAACAAATGCCGTACTTGTAAAATGTATCATTCTTGCAAGAATTAACCACCGACAGTGGTTGCCCTAATTGGTTATTTGCAATTGAGATTTCCCCACTTCGACGTGCAATGTTCAACATGCAAATTTCAATGTCGACATTTTCAGAGATATTTCTCGAATGTAGACCTCCGCGTTACGCAGTCGATGTGATTTCTCAATTGGAATATGTCGAAATTAACCAGCGGCCTGCTAATTAAGTAATCGTTCATTGTCTTCCAATTTGAAAGTTCCTCCGTAATTTCTTCATTATATTTATGAAATTGTTCCGACCAGTTAGCACTGACAATTTAAATCAAACCCGAATGCCTTTCTTACATATGTACACCACACATCATACATATGTATTTTGTACATAAAAAATTGCATTAACCTCTTCACCTAGGATCGGTGCAATGATTACCGCAACAAGAGAAAAACCATCATCGACGCTGTCCTCCGCAAAAAATAAAGTCTTATTTGCGATCATAAACCGAGAAAGTCCGACACTTGCCAAATTCATAAAGACTCGGTACCTACGCGTAACGGTACAGTCCCGTTATTAAAACATAAAAATAAGCACGAGAAGGGAAGAGCAAGAAGCGATCGCCAACACTGAGCGAAAAATCAACTTTCTAGACGAGATGGATCACTTGCGGCAATCTACCCATTTGTCGTTAAAGAAACTTCCGACACTAAAATTCATTTCATACGAATCATCGGTAACTAAATATAGTTGAATGGTCGTTATAAGTATTGTGAATTCTTATTATTTTCTTCTGGAAAGTCATATTTTTCGCTCAGAGTAAATAAAATTCGCTTCCGTGGCGGTTCGACCCCCGGCCGAGCGGATCGGTGGTCGGGCCAGAAACGCGTCCTCCCAAGCGGCCAGGTCGTCGGCCTTGGCTCACCTCGGCAAGCAGCGCCAGGAGGGCGAAGACGATCCTGGGCGCGCGCCCAGGCGCAGGTCGAGTCATCTTCGGATGCGGTCAGTCAGGCGCAGGTGTCGGGCTGCAGGTGGCGCGGCGGGCGGGTCTCAACGCGAACTGGCTTCGATCCCGACACGCGGGTGCAGGTCCGAGGATCAGGCGGCGTTGACGCCGATCAGGCGCAGGTGGGCGGCGTGCCGGTCCGCCATGCCGCCCGGGCGCGTCGGGCTCGCCACCCGCGCGCCCCGCGCCCCGTCGGTCGATCGCTACGAGGAGAGGCTCCGGTTCCGCGCGGCGGTGCTCCGCCTCGCAGCAAGCGCGCTCGGCGTTCCCCGGTGGACTGGCGCATTTTCATGATTTCCGTGCCAGCGTTACCCCCGCCGCCCCCACTACCGCCCCCCGGGCGGCCTTTCCATGCCATTCCATTCCGGCCGCCCCCTCCCCGCCGACCGGCGAGCGCACCCGACTCTGCCCGACTCTACCCGACTCTACCTGATCGTCTACCTGCGAGTCGACGCCCCCTCGCCCCCCGATGCACCAGGCGCGTAGCAGCGGGGAAGGAAGCCCTGCCTACTATGTCTTCTGGTCCTCTGGGAGGATCCCATCTTTGTATTTTACTTAGTTTCTAGGAATTTTTACTGCACTGGGTTTATATATGTAATATATTTAAGATGACTTGAAAGGGTTAATCAGGAAACGTGAGGTACCTGTCTTTGGATTTTACTGTCTCTGGGAATTTTTACTGGTTATGTTTGGAATTAATTTAAGGTGATCTGAAAGGATCGTTCTATATCAGGAACGGGAGGATCCGGTATTTTTTGGGAATTTTATGGAATAGTAGATAGTTTTGGCTGGATATTGAAAAGATGTTACATCAGGTTATGTGTACTGTTTCTTAAGCAACGTAACATATTTGTTTTATTCTACTACCATTTTCTATTACCTATAGCCGATATAGGAGCACGTGCTGATAATTGTCGATAATATAACCTCTGACGATGAAGCAGATTACCGTTTAAAAACTCAGCGGTCGGAATTATATCGTTCGAATTTTTTCTTACCCGTTTCACTCACTATGATGCTCAATCGTTACATTTGCTAGTATCTCAGCAATTTTTTAGACTTAATCCTGTTTAATATCAAATTTCTACCTGGATATATTATTTGAGAATTTATTGAGCAATCCCCAAACTTCTCTCTGCTCTTATTATCCGGCGCCTTGCACTGCACTGCCGATCTTCTTTACCAACTTCCACTAGTAAGACTGCGATTCTAACCTCAAATAAAATACAACTATCCACCAGGTAGCGCCACGATCGGATCAAATTTCCATTTCGTATATTTAAACAACAGTAAGGATCTAATCGAGATAGTTTTACAATGGTTTTCTGGGAGGAGGAAGGAAGAAGTAGGGTTAGGTTTAAATCATAGATGTCCTTGTACGCGCGATTCTCTCTTTAATTTAATCGGATCTCTGATAAGGAAAACAATGGCTCGAATCATTTTGATATAAAGCCACGGAGGACTCCGCATTTAGATTCGTGTTATGCGCAGTGAAAAAATACAAGACTGGAAAGACAATTCAAAGATGGCGGAGACGTAGGAGACGAGTGACGTATTTGCGACAGACATCCATCCGTTCGCTCGTTTTAATTCTATGACAACTCGATTCTTGGAAAACTTGTGGATCGAGGATGCGCGAAGATACCGAGGGACATGGAAACGAGCAGAAGCGAGCACGTCGCGAGAGAGTGTGCGAGAGGTATTATCAGAGTGTCGTTATCGCGTAGGCGGTCCCCTGGCTCGTCGTTTAAAGTAGGACACGCTTTTGAAAAGAATACTCGCCCTAGACGGCTATAAGTCGAGCCGACGATGTGATAGTTACGCTTTTTCAGCTCTAACATGAACGCGGAAACGCTTGCGTTCCATTGAGAGGAGTCGGCACTCCAGAGGGGTAACGGTGGCTTCGATGCTCCTCCAGTGACCTTCCGGCAGGGCGATGAGTTGGCTACGGAGCAGTCCCCTGAGGACGAGCTTCAGCAAGCAACGCTCCAGGGATTCACCTCCCAAGGATGCGGATCCCACTGCTTGCTACGACAGCTTCCGTAAACACTGGCAACAGACCTATGACATTATTACGAATACTCAGGTAAAATTAATGGATATTTTGGAGTTAAGTGTAAAAGCACAGGTAATCGAAACAAACCAATTGTCGTGTTATAGCCTCCGGTTGGAATACCCAATCAAGATGACGTGTTAGGAGTTGTCAATCATATAGACCAAATGGTGACGTTGCTATTGTTGGAGCTCAGGAACTCCAATACCCAGAATCGTTATCGCCGGACCTCGACGCCTACTCATTCTCCGTGCCTTGAGCATCTGCTCAGTGAGAACCTGCTGGATAAACTGTACGACTGGAGCGTACATACTGGCAGGTAATACAGTGTAATTTCTAAAATCAGGAATAAATCTCTTTTGATTTGGACGTTAAAAAATTAAAAATAATCATTTTTAATTTATACATCAGATTTGGCAATGCGGTACGATTGGAACAATTGAAGCTGTACGAGCTGCTGGTTTCGCACAGTGGTGCACTTTTAGCTCATGAACCGGTGACAAGGCCTCTGCTTCGATTACTACAAGAATGTGCAGACGACATAATGCCGGTGGAGGTGGAGAAGAAACTGGTCGTTCTGTTAAATCAGTTGTGCGTGGCACTCATGCAAAGCATGGCTTTACTGGACCTGTTTTTCCACCCAACAGCGACTGGAAAGAACAAGTTTGTATTCGAAACTCAGTACAATAGCAAAGAGCATAGGAAACATTTTTAGCTAGATATTAACATTCTACGTCGAAGTTGAGAATGAACGAATTTATGATATATTATTGCGTTTTTTAGATTCATCATTTTCAATTTGTTACTACCACACATTCATAGAGAGGGAGGTGTCGGGCAACAAGCTCGAGATGCCATGTTGCTTTGTATGTCCCTTTCAAAGAAGAATGATGAAGTGGGACAATACATTGCGGATCATTCAAACGTTTGCCCAGTAAGTTCATGGAAAAGGATGTGCTACTTCTTTGTATCACTGTATACTAATTTGTATTTACAACCAGTATACTATTTCCTTGTGATAAGCATATCTGCATGGTGCTTAAAAATCACACCCTATCCATACGGCATGTTTATGTAACCAGTTTGCTCCCAGGATAAGAAACGGGTTTGCCTATGGTGGGATAATGCAAACTATTTCAAAATTAATCGTTAGACAATGAGATCATAAAACTTAATGAAAAAATCTTTCTTCTCAATTTATTGATTTTATTTTTAAGGTATTAGCCACAGGACTGAGTGGTCTGTATTCGCTGCTACCTCGCAAGCTCGACATCGAGACCGAAGACTGGCATCGGTTGACACCTGACGATGTGAACGATATGCCAGCCCTTACCCAATTGATGAACTCTCTGGAGTTCTGCAATGCCGTCGCACAAGTTGCTCATCCACTGGTGCAAAAGCAACTGCTTGAATTCCTTTACCATGGGTTTCTAGTACCTGTCATGGGTCCGGCACTTCTGCAGGTACCGCAGTAACCTGTCACCTTTTTCTTATGTCGGTACAGAAGCATCACATCGCATTCCATAATTTTTCGGTTCAGCAAGTAGACGGTTTTATACCTTACTTTGTTCCACTTTCAGAATGTGGTAAAAGAAGGTAATTATTTGCTTTTCTTTTTTTCTTTCGTTCATTTTCGTTCAAGTACAAGCACACCATAACGCGTTGGTTTATGCCTGCTTTTTCCATTTGCATACCTTGAACTCGGTACGAATCGATACGTGAAACGTTGCTTCTTGTGTACCATTTTATTTATAATACTCATTGCATTGTCGATGACGACTTTTTTATAGATTTACTGTGTTTTATTGTGTACATTTTTAAAAGCCAATAAACGTCTACTTCGCAATAACTGTGAAGACAACTTGAAGATTGAATCAAAGAGGCATTAATGATGACATTGACATCGTGCTAAAAAATTATTAACATAGAATGTCTCAATATAATAGTCAATTGTCGAGTAATGGTTTATTTTTCTTGTAAAGCGACGTTTTTAAGGTTAATGTGGTGTGTTAAGAGCATCATTGTTGGTGATGGTATATCTGAAATTTATTGTTAACACTAAGAAGGTCGAAATCAATGATTTTGTGGCTTGTGGTTGTTGGTGGCTGTCTGGTGACACTTTCGTGGTGCTCGTAGGATTCTCTCGGCTTGACCCTAAATCAGCTAGATGCACCACAGAACTGGGTTAGTACCAACCACTCACTACACTCGATAACTAATACGCCTTGTGAGTCGAATTCTTTTCTCAATTGAAACTTACAAACTGCACGCTAATCAAGCGATCTGATATATCGAACATGTACGACAAAGTACCTTGACAGCTGTCCATTACTGGTTTATTTATTATCGATAGTGTGCGGCTCGTAAGTTGAACCTTGTCTATGTGGTAATAATTCGTGAGATGCTTTACTAACAAACTAATGCACCTTATTAATATCTTGAAATAAATTTTGCACAATACATTTTCCTTGTTTTTTTTTTTTTTTTATGAAAACGTTTCCCGTAATGATTTAAATTAAACACACTGCTCCTAGAGCAAGTGGTTTTTAGAAACGACTTTGACAATATCATCGGAATCATTTTCTATCACCTTGTGAATTACTCGTTATTGTCTAAAGAGCTTATGTGATTTCGTGAAACTATCTGTTCAGTTTATTTCAATATGCTTGAGCTGATTTGGTATGACACAATTAGAAAGTAATACCCTTCTTTTACCACGTATGTTAGATGTCTAGTGGCCCGTAACGATTCCATTGTAAAAATGTGTCTACCATTTAACCATGCACTACTTGTCCCAGGTAACACGATAAACAAACTGTTAACTGTATAAAGTGCTTTATATGGCGTATGCACATAGATAATATTTTTCTGTCGACCTGTCGTTGCAGTTTCTTCTCCGATATCTTACCGTTCCAGCCTTCTCGCTTGTCTCGCCTCAAAGACACTCCTGAAATCCTGAAATCTAAAATCAGTGTAAAAAATAGATCCAAGTAGACCTTTCAATTTACTTATCCCCATTACTAATTTATTGTGAATTTCTTCTAGACAGTTGTCGAGGAGCTGGTCGCTGCGACAGCCTACTTCGATCTCTTCCTGAGATCGGTCAACGAGCCTGGATTATTGCGGTCTTTGGTGAGGTTCATGTTAGAAGACAACTACGACGAGTGCAGGATACTCGATAGCCTCATCCAAAGGATATCCTCCAGATCACGAGTAATTCATTACTTCCTTCTCTATATATTGACCATTCTAACTTAACAAGACTTTAAGAGATACTATTTCCTTCGCAGCTTTGCATCGTCACCTTGGCACTGTTCGAAACCTTGGTCGACCTGAACTGCGAAGATGTAATGTTGGAACTCTGTTTTGCAGCCCTTAATCCCTGCTCGCACGTAATGCTGTCCCAAAGAAGACGACTGAAAGACGTGGATTCTTTCGGTCGAGGAGCTGAGAAATTCCTGTCCTTGACCCCGAACTGCTGCATGCAATACGCAGTGGCTAACAGTTCGACACCGCCAAACTCCTTGCCTCAGATCCCTCCTTCCCGTAGGAAGAGTCCAAGTTCCACAGTGGAGGGTTTCAAATCCTTGCCAGTGCCAATCAGCTATGGTACAAAGTTATCGGAGAGCTTGTATGGGAATTACCATGCGTATCTCCTGGATGCGAGACAAAAGATAGCTGCTTGCCAGATTGCCTGCTCGAGCTGGTCCTGTCGATACGATGGGGAGCCTCCGAAGGAGAGCAACACTAGCAGTGCCACCACTCTAGCCGGAGAGACCACCTTGGTGGAACAGTCGACGAGGAAAATGGAGACAAACTCCACGTCGCAACCAGAAACATTCAAGGACTCCAGAGATACGTTTAAGGACCCTTCGATGCAGAACGTCCTGGATAATATTAAATCCTTACTCGAGGAGGAGTCATCCAACCCCATGGATGCACCGGAGCGAACAGAATTAGATATTTTGAGTAGAAGTGGACTCTCTGCGGAGGAGCAAACCAAGTTGGATGCTGACATCGCTGAGCTCCTCAACGAAGACATTGGCATGGTGGAACCAGCCAGCGAAGCCCATCTGGCTGAAAAGAAGGGGTCCGATAGTGGCATCGATGAGACCAACACTGCGATGAACTCCCTTCTCTCCATCGGAGAGAGCAGTGGGTACGAAAGCTTCGCCTTCAAGGGTTCTTCGGAATCTACACCGGACAATGAACCCAGTGAGGACAGAATAAGCGAACACGAAGAGGACCCTGGGAGAGAGCCCTGCGTAAGGCTCCACGGAGTGTCAGAATCTGCTGTCGTTACTGCCAATGAGGTCTCCACAGTGAACAAGCAGAGCAGAGAGAACTCGTACCACCAGGATATCTTCAATGGGCAGCCTAATGTGGGGATCTTCCTAGATGTCATCCTGAGGAAATTGGAGTGCATGATGAGCAACAACGTTTATGTGAATCTTCACTTGACGGGCCTGATAAGCAGGCTCGCGATATATCCTCAGCCACTGCTGCAGTCTTTCCTCCTGAACCACTCTCTCGTCTTTCAGCCTAGCATCAGGTCCCTCTTCCAGGTTCGATTCCTAGTTAATTGTAAATTACGTAATTCAGACCTTGGAAGTCATCCAGAAAGGGAATGTGATGTTTTGAAACATAAAATTGCGGGTTTTAGGTACTTGCCTCCCTGAAGCACCGGATAGACCAGTTCCTCGTCAAGCACGAGGATGTGGATCTCCTGGTGGAGCAGGCCAGGTCGTTCCTGATCGGTCGCGAGGACAGACTCGTGAACGCCAGGAAAAACGTTCTGGAAGCCTCGGCACAAATAGCGACGAACAGACGGAACTCCTTCGCCAGCGAGCCGTTCTCCAGAGGTACGAATGGATTAAACGTCGCTTTTAATTAACGAGTTACTTAAGTTTGTAATGTTATTACTATCGGTACTTCCGTCGCTTATCAATGTCTGGTGTTTCCCTTTCAACGCTACCTCGGAAGTGCTCAGACGATGTAGGTATCTCAAGTTTGGTCGGCCGAGAGAGAATCACTGTCGATTTTCGAGGTTCCTATCCAGGTCGTGAGTTAATTGTTTGCTTCCTTGGCGAAGGTGAACCAAAGAGGAGAAGTCTGACCTCGTCCTTCACGCAGATGTTCCGAAGGACTGGTGCCAATTCTGGTCCCAGTAGCCTCACCAATTCTATCAGTCAGCCGTCCAGCATGATATCGGAGGACCAGTTGGAAGTCATCGGAGATGGCTCCGGATACAGGTAAGACCCTCTTCGAAAGATCTAACATTATTTAATCTAATGTATTATATTAATTGGTAACGTATTTTACTGATCAACTTCTGTCACTATAATATACAATAATTTCTCTGCGGAGTAATGGAAGTAGGTTTTCAATTCTGGATTTTGTCTGGCGGTAATGAGAATCATTTTGATTAACGACTTCAGGTTTTACACGAAGACGTCCTGGGAGTCGCCGAACGAGATCAGCCCGGTGCAGAACGTCGTCCTTTGTGCAGTGGTTCTCGACGAATGGCTCAAAGAGCTCGCCGCGATCACTCAGGAACACACGATCACCTGTTTAACCAGCAGCTCCGAGTCGAAGGTTTAGGTCGCAATCTAAGGTCTAGAGGAAGGTCGACGACGGGGATATGTGATACACCAGTAAACGTATAGGCATTGTCGACAGGGTTCTTCTGCTTATTTTTCTTTCTCTCTTTTCTTTTTCTATTTATCTGCCTCGATCTCACGCAGGAAAGAGAAATTAATACCGAGCTCTCTCCTTAGATCGCGACTACGTTAGGTCGAGGGCGAGTAGGGTCTCCTAGCTTTACTTTTTTTAGAGCACAAGTGGGAATTCACGGATCCATTGTAGACGTGCACGCATCGATAGACGAAGTCGGCCGCGACGAGGACGTTCCGAGCACTTGCAATCCTGAGCTGAAGAGAGTACCACTTAGGGGAACGAAGTGCCAATTCATTCGCTCCGGGAATTGTTCCGAACGCGTTGCTCCTGTCTCGAGATGTCCAGGTAGTTGGAAGGGAATCACGTTAGAGCACTCTGTATCGGGATTCGAGGGTAGCAAAGAGAGTACACGATCGCCTGTATGGCGCGCAATTTAATCTAGGCTGCGATAATTAGGGAATTTGCGAAAGAGAGGCCTCTTATGTAAAGAGGAGACGTCAGGGTGACGACTGGATTTTCGTTTCGTATTTTGTACTTAGCCGAGCCGACGAAGTAGACGTACAAAGCGCTCTCGAGGCGGAGCTTTATCGTCGACCCCAAAAGTCGGCACGCAGGATTTTACGTCTACGCTTTGATAACGAGACGCTATTTTTCGAGCGCTTTATTTTTTACACTCTATGGTCTACGCGATGCCGAGGGTTGCACGTTTGAAACGGCCTAGCACGCTTCCAAGGCTACCTTGAAGACGTTGCTGGGAAATCTACGACATTTGCGAGAAATTTATTCAGGGACACGAGGATGGAGTCCACGTGGTCTGATTTTGGCGAACTGGGTGCACCGAAGCATTTAAAATTACACCACGTGAATGCGGAAGAACTCCGAAGAACGGAAGAACGTTCGTGAAATTTAGTGTTTTTGTAACAAAATTTGTTAATGTTTGTAAGAAAAGTTAATAGAAAATTTCAGGGGTGCCAGGATCTTCTCTGGGGCCTCCACAGACACGTGGTGAGATTTCAAATGATTCGGTGCACCCAGTTTGAGGAAAAGTCATAAACAAGACAATTTGGATCCCACTTTCGTATCACCTTAATTCTGAGCAAGCGCACGAGACTTTGTTGTTAATTCATAAGCATTGAGCCTAAAGAGCGTTATCGTCTTTTAGCGTTTATATCTACCGTTCTTTATCTCCTTCCTGTGTAGACTTAAAGAGGGGCGACCGCAAAGAGGAGAATTACGGAAACCGAGCCAGGGGACGAGTTAGGATTACGTGCAATTCCGTTGGGATTATTGTAAAATTAACTACCCGTGTTCTGTACATTACGTGTAATATAGAATAGAAGGTATATGATTATGTTACGGCAGAGACGTTTTAATAAAGTGCAACATTTACTCAAGAGTAAAGTCTGGAAATAATCGAAGCGCTAAATAAAAAACGGCGGTTACTAAACCGCTATACAAAAAGGGCATATAAAAGGGGCGGTTACTTTTGCATTTGATAATAACGGTCATTATTTCTCGCGACATATAAAATCCGCAATTGCTTTCGCACTCGGTAATGGAAAGGGGTAATGTAACAGTGTAGGTAAATGGCGTGTATTTTCTCGCCGGAGTACAAAAAGGTCCGCACGGTATCCATTCGCTAAAAATACTGCGTTTAGGGGGTCTCGTTAGAATATAAATAGCTTACCATGACGATTCCTCCCCGTAGATCAATTCGTCGGTACAAATTCGCGTTACACTAATTACGAGCTATATGTAGCCTAAGTAGTGGATATAAATATAAACGGCTTCTGTAATTGCAGGTAGACGAGTGAACGCTGCTTGGGTGACGATTACACGACCTTAAGAGTAGGTTGGATGGTCGAATCTTTGGTATACGTCGATCGATGGATGATAATAGATTACCAGCGTGGTGACGTCGGAGGAATGGACTGTTGACTCATCAAGGATGGGCCACTGTAATGGAGGAATCAATGGATTGAATAATTATACTTGAAGAAGTATCCCATAAGCTACCGAAAATGAAACAAGAACCTCCAAGCTATAAGCGGAGTGAGTCTCTCCGTCAGTCTCTGGTAATTCCTCTCCAGCTCTCTCTGGTAATCTCGTTGATCCGGCCCGATGAGGTTTTTGTTCCTCCGCAACGCGTCCAGGCACTTCTTCGAGAAGTCCTTGAAGCAGAGGCGTAGTTTGTGCTGAAGCCTCGATGGCTGCAAATTCTGCTCGCGCAGACCCGAGAGGAAGACCACGGCGACCTCGGCCGGGCCCTGGTTGACCGTTGTGCCGATACATCCTTGAAGAACCATCTGCAGCATCTTCGGGTCCGGGGGCTCCTGGATCGTCGCTGCGGCGACCTGGTCGAATTAACAAGTTAACATCGGATTAACAACGTTAATTCCGTAGTGGAGGAATTGACTTAGGCTAGTTTCGAAATCATCGGCAAGGATGAAGGTGCTCACTTCGGCGGTCTTCTTCTGGATGTCCTCGATGGCCACCTCGATGGGGCTCAGGACGATCTGCTTGCGAGCGACCACCCGGATCCTCGTTTTCAGGTACGGGAAATGAGTGGCCACGGTCAGGATGGTCTTCCGTTTGCACTGTTCCCTGAGTTCGCCGTGAGCTTTTCCCCCGGGGGTGAACGGGGTGGCGTAAACAAAGCGTTCTGGAAGCGATAAGGTATAGGACGCTTTTCGAGGTCTCCAGGACGACTCGTGTCGAGATTAATAAATGATCACCTACTTATATTAAAATTCCTGTGGAAGACGGTGGGCCTGTGCCTGAGCTCGTGCAGCTCGAAATAAGGCTCGACATAGGTGATCTGCACGTACGCCTTGTCGGGCTCCAGTTTGCCAGGGTCGACCGGATTAGAGTCCTTGATGATGACGATGTTCTCAGTGCCGAACCTTTCGGCGTAGAAGTTCTCCAGCCTGGAGAAGATCTCCGGGAGCTTGGTCAGAGTCGGCTCCTTGTAGACGAACTCCTCGCCGGCGAGGTCGCCGAACCGAGCCCCGTAGAACCCGACCCTAAAGTACGTCCCGAAGACGCGTTTGCCGGCGAGCTGCTCGACCCTGGTGTACGCCTCGTGCAGTTTCCTAAATCGGCAAGGATAGGTCGTTAACGGTTAAAATATCACCCTGAAGAAGCTCCCCCAAAAACGAAGAGCATACCCGTGAATATTTGCGAGCTTTTTATAATCATGCGCCGTCTCGGCGATGGGTAAGAGGACCCTGTAGACGTCGGGGATGGCCTCGTACATCCCTGCTGCGTGGAAGGAGCTGGCAGCGTGCTCCAAGAGACCGGCCAACCCACTCTCGGAAAAGTCCGGACCCAGACAGAGGCCCTCTTCTCTTCTGGCGAGGACGTCGTCGCCAACGGCGCTCTCTTCAAGAGCGTTCGGCGTCACCGGGCTCAAGGCGACCGCACCTACGGGTCTACCTCCACCTCCAGGCTCCAGGAGATGGAGATATTCGGCTACCAAGGCCGCACTGTGCACCAGGCACATCGCTGCCTCCGTGTGGTTCTTCCTCTCCATGTGCTGCTGCGCCATGTTCGCCAACCAGGTCAATCGCAGGTCTGGGGAACCCTGGTATCCCTTCGCAATCCTGCAAGGACGGACGCGGTATTCCTTTTGTTATAGATTTTATGAACGATCGCCTTGCCAGCGACGACTCACCTGTACATCAAGTCCAGTAGCATCTCCGGGTCCTCCTGGAACTCCTTCATCTTCACGGTGTCCGAGAGGATCATGTGCAAGTTGAAGAGTAGGTCCTTCACCTGCTCCGGGAAGCTCGTCTCGGCGAGCTCGGTGTCCCTCTCGGCGTATACCAGGACCGTCTTCAGGGCCCTCCGGAGAGCACCCTCGCTCGGTGCTCTTCCTCTACCCACCAGTGCCGACAGGGAGGTGGTCACTTGCATCTTGACTCGCGCGAAATTCTGAAAATTAAGGAATCGTATCAAGAAAAGTCAGGGAAACGAAAGGCGTTAAATCTCATCGCAACACCTACATTGCCGATCTCGAAGTTCTGCCTCATGAGGAGATAAAGACTAGCAGCCGCGTGACTCCTGACTGCACTTAACGGCGAGCTGCATCTCGTCAAGAGAGTCAAACAGAGATCCCCACACCTCTCGCTCTCTTCGTCGAACAGCGCACTGTGATACTTGAAGACCAGAGCTCGCTGGGTGTTGAACATGTGCTGCAGCACCGAGGTGCTCTGGTTCCTGGCGAGAGCTCTGAGCAGGACCTTCAGCACCGCTCCGACAACGGCTCCTGGAAAAGCGGTAAATTTATCAGACATTCAGGATTACTAGATGCGACGGACTCAATTGGCAGCGACCGTACCTCCACCTCCATCGACCTGCACCACGGACTCCAAGGTATCCAAGACGACGAGAGACGCCTCTGCCGCGAGGGCACCTTCGATGTGAGCGTCCTGCTCCACGGCTCTGCTCTCGGGTAGCTCCGTCGACCTGGGGACAAGAATTCAAAGGATAATGAAAAGGCATTGATACAAAATTGCTAGACATCATCACCAAACCGCTGATCCTCTGAAAAAGCCTCATCACCTGTAGGGCATCTGATCCTTGCGCCACCTGAGCTTGTCGCCGGTGATCCTCTCCTTTCTCCTGAGCATCATCTCGCTCCTGGCGCTGCCCTGCCCGAGGATGACATCTTCGAGCCTAGACCTGATGTCGCTGGTGACAGCGGCCTGGGGAGGCAGCCTCTTCAGGGCTTTCTTGCCCTTGTACTCGAAAGCGGCGGTGGCGATGTTCAGAACTTGAAGGAGACTCAGCACCCTCCTGGCGCTGAGCTCGGAGCACCACTGGGCGAGGGCGGACCTTTCCAGACCCTTGAGGACCCAGAGAACGCACATGAGGAGATGCCGGGTGGCCTCCGAGCTGAGGGAGACCCTGCACTGCGCGCCGGCGACTTCGGCCGAGGCGCCACCTGCTATGGCCAGGGCGACCGACTGGGTGATGGAGCCCGACTCGTCCAGATAGACACTCTTTTCCTTCGAGTCCCAGTGGTAGAGCTGCGGCAGCGCGTCCATGACGACGTTGAGGAGCGGCAGATAGAGGGCGGCGACGCGCGCCTTCGCTGAGGGGTCGGCGTACCGGGGGTCTACGTCATGGCAGCCCATTAGGTACCGAACGGTTCCGATGGCCTTGTTCTGGAGCATGGGGTTGGGCACCTCGAGGGTGTTGGCCAGGTCGGAGAGCACCAGACCAACCAGGAAGTGTTGCTGCCGGAATTCTTGGCTGAGCTCGGAGAACCTGGCGCGGTCCCCCGGCACCAGGGTGGAGATCAGGCTTCCTGAGCTCCCTGTAGATGGGCTCGGCGACGCTGGAGCCGATCCCGAGGTGTAGCCGGTTCCGAAGGGGAGATTCAGGGCCACGTAGTGCTCGTGGCTGCAGACTGTCCGGACGAGGTCCAGCTTCAGAGCGAAGAGGCCCGCCGAGTCGGGCACCTGCACCGAGGCCTCTGATAGCGAGCAGCAGGTCGCTCTTAGCAGACTCAGGACGAAGCCTCGGTCCACCACGGAGAGCAGATCCGAAAGGAAGCTCCCCAGGCTAGAGACCAGGGTCGAGGCCACTCTGAGGTCTCTTCCGCACCTGGCGATCACCTCTGAAGTCAAGGAAGCGATCAGGGTCGCCACGTCGTCCGAGAACTGTGGGGAGAACCTGGACTTCCTCGGCGAGTCCAGACCACCTGTTTCGGATAGGGTCACCACCATCGAGCGGACAATCAGCTCCAGGAAAAACCAGGAATGCGTCGTCGCTAGTTCTCGGGCCTGACCCGTTGATACGACCCAGTGTAGGGCTAACTCCTCGTGGAGGAGCCTTCTCGCCGGGTGGCTGTTCACCGAGGGCGACTCCTGGCGCATCGACGCCGTCCTGAAGACAAAAAAAGACTTATACCATTAAGGGGACATGAAAGTGGCACCCGAGGATTTTTCATGGCACTTTTTTCCGCACCGGCCATATCGAATCGTTTGAAAATGTATCATGAACTCGTGAAACTAAATTTAATATCCCCACCTGTCGAGGCCCCTCGAGGCGTGCACCTCCATCTCCAGGTCCTCCACGGGTAAGTCAGGGTTACTCTGGGCGCGGATGACCCCCGGGGTGTAAGACGTCGCCGGCAGGGAACACTGATACGCCGTGTACGTCGCCAGGAGGGCGTGCCTCCCATGAACGTCGACCTGGCCGTCGGGGAGGTTGGTGACATTTCTGGCGAGCAAACCCAGGGCCTCGAAGACCGCCGCCGCTATATTCAGCGGCTGCGAGGGCAACGTCGCCGGCCTCACTAGCAGCGAGATCAGCTGATCGAACAGCTGGGGAAGCGACCTGACCAATGCCGACGGCGACGCTCTTGCCAGCTCCAGCAAGGCCGACTTGAGCTCGGATTCCATGCCCGCTTCGCCGATTCTAGGGGGGACCTGCCCCGTCTCCAGGAACCCGCACAACGAGAGGAACCTGTGGTCCAGGTGGGAGTCATCTCCATGAGTCTGACCCGGATTAATCAGGACTACCTGTAGAGTGCTCATGTACCTGTCGATGTACTTATCCTGCGGATGGACGCTCGAGACCGGCTCCAAGATCAAGGTGAACACGCCGCGGTGGGCGTCCACCCATCTAGTTCCTGGCAGGAGGACGTCCGGAGCGATGTAGGAGTAATTGGCTGGAGGGGGGTCCAACATCGCAGGTAAACTGAATTCTCCGGACTGCAGGTGGCCGTCTCGCAATAAAGGTAACCACTGGAAAATTGATACAATTTTTGAACGGGGTTTGTGGAAAGCCTGGTATCAAAGAACGCTGTCTTAATCCTTAACTGACGTCGTGTGATCCTTATGGCACTCGATTTTACATTAAGAATTAATTAATCCTTTCGATACGGAGAGTGAACGATTATTTTAGCATGCATTACCCGTTTGAGTTGAATTTAGTATCGAAATGGTTAACAATGTTATTAAATAAAAATATAAGTGAAAATAACAGGGTTTAAAGAGACTCGCGGTTGCTTACAGTGTAGGCTACAGCAGTTTCCACACTGGGCTGCTCCGCTTTTTTCTGACAACTTATGTGGTAGAACGTGAAGAGCAGATGATGCTTCGCACTCAGATCCGCAGGGAGCCTGATCTTGACCTCGTCGTAGAAATTCGGATTTTTGTTGTGATAAGAGACGGAAGTGAAGTACTCGTGGGTCATTTCAGGGCAGGAAGACCTGCCGAAAATGGCGGTGAGCGCATCAGCTTCTTGTTCTCCACCCATAAGCTGAATCCTTACTGCTATATTACGAGCCGAGCCGGTCCTGGAGCTGAAGTTGGCTTCCTGGAAACGTATAAGCTACACCAACTGCGAGATAGAATTAACTTAGATCATGCAGACTACTGAACGTACTTTCGGATAGATGTATAACAAGTTGCGATAGGTCAGATCCGGCGAAACCACTTCACTAGGGAATTCCAGGATCTCCTTCACAGGGCGACTCTTCTCGTCAGGGTATGGAATGAGTCTTCGCAGATCGGGATCCAGACATCTGGGTAGATCGTCGGGTCTTGGACTTAAATCTAACTTTAAAATTCCTGGCAAACACTTTAGTCGCTTTAAATTCGACCCTGGCCTCCTGAGCTCGACCAGGAGCTTGTACAGGTCTTCGTCCCGGAGGCGTTCACTCTCTTGTTTGAAGAAACTCGAAACTGTCAGAGTTATCGGTCTGTAATCGAAGGATAAATTTTCTGTATCGGTTCATTTTATCTCCAGTGAGACAGAGTTTTGTTATCGTTGTCACCTGAAGCTGTCGAGGCAATTCGCAAAGTCATCAGGGGACCAGCTACGTCTCTTATCGGAGCAGCGACGTTCTAAAGAACCTCTTCTCGTTGGTGGTTCTACTTTTTTACGCCATTGCTCCAGGCCACTGGACTTCCTGTCTAAGGAGCCAGCACTTCCTGTGCTGTCGGCGTCACCACCTCCTCCAATGACACCGGATAGGTGGATGGCGGTCCATGCCAGAGGCATTCGATAACGACCTAGTCGCTCACAAGCTGCTGCTGCGGCTGCTCTTACCTTGAGAGAGGAAATATACTTGTTCACTTAAATATTTCTTTCCAGTAGTCGAATTCTTCTCTCAACACTGACTTTCAGTACGACGAATACCTTTTCTTTGTTCTTGTCGTCACGTAGATAAGGCTCGGCACACTCTGAAATATCTCCTTGCAATACCTTCTCCAGCCTAATGACTAGAAATAAATCTGGACTTGGTTTGCTTATGCTCAGTACGCAACTTCTAGCTAAAGTACTGGCATCGCTGTAAGCTATGTGGCCACCGAGCATTCGTTTCAAACCCTCAGAGTTCATATCCACGTAAAAATTCTCAGAAACCTGACATAAAATCAGGACACTGTTATTGATTACTATTCATGTGTTATTAGTACAAATTACTCATAACATTTATACCTTTTTCTTTTCTCTAGCGTCATAGAGAGCTAGATTTGCAAATATTGGTTCGACCTCCAATTCTAATTTTAATTGAAGGCACTTAACAAGAACCTTGTGAGAAAATGGTTCCGATGGTTCTGGTGCAGAGTTGATTTCCTGCCATTCGTCATCTGGAGATGTCGGCGGAGCGTACAATGGGAACAGTGCTTCCTAGAATTAAAGTAAAAGGATAGGTCAAGTTTCACATTTTGGCACGATGCTGTTCGACTGCTAAGATAATTACTTGTCGATCCTCCAAACGTTTCTGTTCATTTGTTTGATCGATTGTTTCAGGACAGACACGATCCAGCAATCCTGGAAGTAATGGATCGTGCTGGGAGTGACGGAGATCCAAGCTTGCCCAGGATCCACGAGGAGTATCTCCACAACTGGATAGATCTTCTTCTTCGTTTGGTGATCCGGAACCGTTAACATCTTCTTGGTCAACCTGAGATGAACGAATAAGCTTTTGAATAGTTCTGCATAATTATATTATACTACCAATATATGAGAAAAAGTTTGGTGAATGGAAACCTCAAAGTCTTGTCTAGGTGTATCTTGTAACAACCGATCTCTGGCGATTGGGGAAACCCTTCCCTTATACTTTCGATAGACAATAACCCAGTCAGAAGTGAATGTTTCAATACACCTCCGTACATACGGAGAAACTACATCCCTGCAATTTAAATGTACGCATAAGTTACACTCTTAATTTAAACAAATGCAATGCTATTAAGGCTAGGTTTTATCTTACAATGATTCATGTGGTACAATCGGTTCTTCCGTTCTCATTTTTCTTTTCACAATCTGTAATTCTAAGTCTCCAGGTGGGAAATCTAAAATTGGCCTCAGAGGATCTCGATCCAGTACAGCCTGATGCTGCACCAGGAACTCTTCGTAATCTAGGGGCTCCAAAACCTCGCAAAGGGACATCTACAAATAACAAAGTATTTCTTCAGTAATTCATTAATTACGGTATAACTCAACCAATCAACATACTGTAGACGAAAAGCCTGAGGCACTGCTGTTACTCTTCGATAGATCCCTCGAGTATGACGTCGAGTTGGCTATTTGCCTCCTAACGTCGGCTGCATGTTGCTTGCTTAGCTTGTGTGCAAACGCACGTTGTACTGAAGACATGTTTAATGCCTTCAATACCTTCTTTGAGAAAATTATCCTCTTATAAAATTAAGGTTTAAAGTCATCTGAGAAGCCTGAAAGTAGAAAAGGAGAAATTAGAGGGGAAACAAAACATTATAACCTTTAACCTCAAATAAAGTATGACAAAGCTTCCGTTAAAACGTTCGTATGCAATTCGCAATGTAACGATACTCTTTCATTAAATCACATTAACGATTATAAATGTGGAAGTATTTTCGGGAACTATACTCTTGGGGCTTTTATTACTTTTGACAGCTTTGACAACCATGGGTGGTGACAGATGCAGACGAATCGTGAAACAACAGTAGCTTTACCGTCCATGTTTAATCGATAGAGCGGTGCGTTTCATTTAAATTATCGCAACTTACGTAGATTCACATTTAGTTGAGGTATATCGCGCGAAAAAGAGTCTCAGGACTTATTTTTAATTAATATTCGTGGTCTCGAGCGAATTCCTAATCCGGCTCGATGCTACCGCATTGCAACTACTTGCAAGTGCAATGCCGGGTTGCGGCCAATCACAGAAGAGGTTAGGATACGCTCGACCAATCAGAGGCAAGCCTCAGTTTCATTCTAAATTATCAAAAAAGGAAATAAAGGAAAGAAAGAAGTTACTTTTATTTTATTTTATTAGATTTAGAATCGCTTAGTGTTCTAGAACGCCCAGTCTTTATTGTCGTTTCTGACACGCTGGCAATTTTGTATAAAAATATATAGTAATAATAAATCCATGTATACATTATGCCAGCAGCACAATAAATTGATGTAAGGGCTAGAGGTAAAAATGGGAGATTCTCCCTGAATATTAGTTTATGAATTATGGTTTCATATACCGTTATAAGTGGGAGCACTGTGATGTATAATTGTTGTTTTTTGTTTAATAGAGGTTTTCCGAACTGATGGCTTAATGTGAGAAAAGCGACGGTCATGTATGTCATGGAAAGTAATAGTTTTAACGGAGTCAGATTCTCTGGATATAGCAGAGGTAAAAGAGCCGTGTGTCCTGCGGAGCTCAAAATCATGAAAACCTTTGCCTCGGTTTTTTCGGTCACTGCAAGACAACTGAAAGAAAGCAAAGAAATTGTATTTCCAGAATTTGGTCAAGTAATGGTTTATGTTTAATAAAATATTAATGCACCAACCATAAAGGAATGATTGCAGTGAGGATGGCCTTTTCGTGGACATGCCAGCCAAAGAGAAACGAGCTAAGGCTACAAAGAATTGCACATCTGACAAAATGAGAAGGTTCGTTCTTCACTCGGTCTTTGGTGAACAGTACCCAGAGAGGATGCTGAAAAAATCGTTCTTTAATTATTATCATCCCAAATGTAGATTGAATAATTATTGTAAAATAAGAATGCCTTACGAGCATTGTTAAAAAAGTTATGGCGAATGTCACCAATGGCGTTGGAGTTGGAAGTAGAGCAAATGAGTCTTCCTGTACTAAACCTCCTGTCATTATGGCGATTTTCATATTGCTTAACCAACCAGCTCTTCTGCAGATAGCCGAGAGGATTTTATCGGCACCTGCGTAAAGAGCCCAGAAATTTGGAGCCCAATATGCATGAACGAGACCTCTCTTAAAAGGAAACAATCTTGATAGCACCTGCAGAAAAATTTTTTTCATGACAAGTAATCTTGACTTGAATTATATGAAACAATATCTACAATGGATAAAAAATATAATTACTTGAGGTAACTGATCGATGAACGGTCCAAATGAGAAAAAAAATACAATCACTACTATAAAGCCAAGCTTGATAAATTTACCAAGAAATTGGTTTCTCTTCGTGCAGCACCATTTCAGTAACCATACTGTGTATGCTGGTGCAGTGTACAAATAAATATGTTTCAAATTTAATAAAATGGCAAACCATGTCGCACCGACCAAAACTTCACCCTAAAAGTATTAAAGTTATATTCTTTTCTGGTATTATAGCCTAAATTCTAACACATAAATTCACATTCAAAACAGAAATAATATACACTTGCAATTACTTATTATTTTACGTACCTGATAAATAACTTCAGAGACCTTTGCCATAGAAAGCAATAAAATTCCTAATAAAAATCCATTATACTGGAAGTGAACATGATCGACCACAAGTAATCCAACATTGAACAACGACAGGAATGTGAAAAGTAGATAAGAATTCTTCGTTTTACACAAAACTCTCCCAATTCTAAAACAAATCGCAAAGATTAAGCAAAAGATACTTTACCATCTTTTAACTACGTCACACGTGCTTACTCTCTTGTACCATAAGCGAACATTAAATCAGCCACTATCACAGAACATCTTTGGAAGACGATGGTGGCTGGAGAGGCATAATTAAAATTATCGATCCTAAGCATTTCACGGTCAAAATATACCGCCAGATTACTGAGTGCATATTCAAACCATGCAAACAGTGGGGGATAATCTAAGGTCCATTGATACGTTGCTTCGACGTACCATTCCTTGATCGGCAAGCTGTAAGTTATTGCCAGCCAATTCCGGTGTACTTCGAAATCTGTTGAATGACTAAATTAATACATTCCATTAGACGTTGTTTCAGATTTTCCATTACATAGGTACCAAACTGCGATAATAAATCTAACACATCAACGTACTAAGTGGGTATCAAAAGTAGCTTCAGGCATGTCGCAAGAATAAAAATCCGCAGGAAGTTCAAGTCAATCCACCCCGTCTTCCAGCTCGTATCCTCTTTTTCAATTTCTCTATTCTCAAAATCATGTTTTTTATATCGTAATGACATTTCGCGAGATTTTCCCACGTCCAATCACATACCGGAAATGGTTCTCCATTACCGACATCTCCCTAAAGTATTGCAGAAACTTTCCGCTAAGCTGGCGCTGCGATCAGCAGGCGTCATCTTTGAATCGCAGGAATGAGCTGGTTGAAATTAACGATAAAATTTAAACGCGAATTAATACATAATTCTTCGTGCCCGATACTCCGACAGGTTTTCTAAATAATGAGGTGAACTGCGAAATAATCCTAGTCGAAATTCGAGAGGTAAGGAAAGCCTCAAATACAGTTTTTTGTTTTCGTTACTATCGCCGTGTCATTCCTTCGAAATAGATTCTCCGACGCAGCTGGCTTTGGGGCTGAAAGCGATCGTATCACCGACCTCTTGGGACCTCACACTGAGTTCCCAGGCGAGGAGGGACCTGGAGGGACCCACGGGTGGGAATGTGCCCGAACTCAGATAAACGACAGGTTTGAGGCTGTAGCAAGGTCCTATATAAACGCTCGCGTTCCGTTCATGAATTCCAGTCGGCGAGAGCCGTTCCCTTCGAAGGAGCTGCTCGTCACGAAGACTGGCGAAGATCAACGAAGCGCCGAAAGACGCGCCCCGTTTATCCTCCCGAATCGTCGGGCGATAAGCCCTGAATAAAAAGCAGCGATAAACCATAGGCGAAACTCCTCCAACCCGGAGAAACAACTCGACGTTCGTCTCAGCGATGCATGGACGTCAAGATGAAGACATACTAGATAAACGCATCTACAAAACATGTCAAGAAAACGGGGAATCGGCGCGGTGAGAAATATCGATAAGACGCCGAAATTAGGTCTGGGAATTCCTTAACTCAATTTCGAACGATGTTAATTCAGAGTTATTGGTAAATTGTAGAGTCAATCGACGTGAAGGCTGTGTTACGGGTGGCATCAAAATTATTGTGCGCGACTGCATCGCCGAATGGCTCATGGGCAACGGATGACGAAGAAACGCGCGACGACGTGCCGCAGTGCGTAAACATCTACGTTGAGTATTCCACGCAAATAAGAATTTTGTAAGTAAATAATCCAAGCACTTGGTAAGACATTACATACTAACAAGGTGGGAAAAATTCCCGTACAGAATTAAATGTGAAAATTAAACTATATCCAAAATTTATTTCAACAAATGTTCAAAATCTTCAACTTTTAACTGCATACAAGCCTTGAAAAATTTTAATATCACCCTATGTGGGTATGGGAGGGAGCATTTTCCACCCTCTGTATTAAATAATACCTATGATATATATATATAAGAAGAAAAGGCGAAAACCAGGCAAGATGACCCCCGGCATGAAGGAGTTACCAGACTTCATGGGCCTCTTCAACGAGCTCATCCGCAGTCCATATCTTCTGATATCATTGCTCTCCTTGCTGATCTACGTGTACTTCACGAGGACCTTCGACTTCTGGAGCTCGCGATCCGTGTCCTGTAGGAAGCCGACCGTCTTCTTCGGGAACTATGCATCCGTCCTGCTCTTCAGGAAGTCGATATCGGAGTGCATCCAAGAGATGTACTCCTGGTTCCCGGAGGAACGGTTCTTCGGGGTGTACAAGGTGCGCTCACCGGTCCTGGTGTTGAGAGACCCTGAGTTGGTGAAGGCGGTGTGCTCGAAGGACTTCTTCGTGTTTTCCAACCGAGGGATCCCGGTGAACAATTCGCAGGACCCTCTAGCAGGGCACCTCTTCAACCTGGAAGGCAAAAGGTGGAAAGGACTGCGGTCCAAGCTGACCCCAGCCTTCTCTTCAGGAAAGATCAAGAGGATGTTTTACCTCTTAGCCGAGTGCTCCGAGGAGTTCCAGGGTCTGATTCGCTCGTCTTCAGGATCGGTCGAGGTGCGCGACCTGGCCGCTAAGTTCACCATCGACGTCATCGGGTCCTGTGCTTTCGGTATACAAATCGGAGCACTAGCTAACGAGGACTCCGAGTTCCGCAGGATGGCCAGGAAGCTCTCCTCCCCAGGGTACAAGGCCACCTTATGGAGGACCCTGAGGACCGCCCTTCCCGGACTCTACAAGCTCCTGGGCGTGCAGGTGATCGACCCTGAAGTCACTAGGTTCTTCAAGGACGTCGTCTCGCAGATGATCCACCAGAGGACGAACACCGAGGTCAAGAGACACGACTTCATGGATCTTCTGATAGAGCTGAAGAACAAGGGCAGCCTGGAGGGCGACGCCACCAACGGGGCAGCCTTGAACGACGAGGACGCCCAGGCTGCGAAAGAAATCGGTAGAGAAACCTTAACCGAACACGCAGAAAAATAAATTCCATTCACTTGACCAAATTCATTCGCTTCGATCGACAGAGCTTCATTTAGTTAAATAATTGTATTCATTTTAAGAAATAATTATTTTGGTTAAATCTATACAATTTAATACGTGGTGAGGTCAAAGCATTATTTTGAACTGATAAAAGTTTAATCGATTCAACCGAATATTTTTCTGCTTGAAGGCTTGCCGACGCAATTTCCGCTTCCTCGGCGCCGATTGTTCCCCGAGCGCATTTACATGCTTATTAATTCGCGTCGCGCTTCGGGAACGCTCGCCGACCGTCACGACTCGATAAAAAAAATTCGACAGCCGATATCGTTGACTCAAGACGAAACATCCTGGTGGAAACTATACGGACCGCGGATGACCTCACGTGATGTCGATAAAACGCGATCGGTGGAATTCATCACGCCCATCCGGCTTCCTTGACAGATAACTCCCGGAGATCGGGATCGATTGCATGGAACGGGCGAATTCTTATCGATACGTTAAGGTTTCCTCCGATAACTCACATGACAGTAAGCGGAAGCACAACAGGATAAACCGGCCTGTTAAACTGTATAAAATTCAATGAAAACACGATTTCACCTCGAATGGTGCAACGACATTGACCGATGGTCTCATCTTTTCTTTTTCCCTCCACAGAGCTCGACGAGAATGCCATGGCAGCCCAGGCCTTCGTGTTCTTCACGGCGGGCTATGAGACGTCCTCGACGACGATTTCCTTTTGCCTATACGAGCTGGCCCTGGATGCTGAAGTACAAGACAGAACTCGGCAGGACATCCTATCCGCACTGGAGAAGACAGAAGGAAAACTGACCTACGACGCCGTGCAGGAGATGAAATATCTCGACATGGTTGTCCTCGGTGAGAAACATATTAAATAATTGAAAAATCAGTGCGACAACCCGCGTGCAAATTCAATTCATTTTAATTTCCCTGTTATTTATCTCTATTGTTTTTTTTAGTACAAACACAAAAAATAAAAATGTAATTTTAAGCAGACGTGTTATTAATGGGATTGTTTACAGAGACCCTGAGGAAGTACCCCCCGGGTCCCCTTTTATCGAGGCGGTGCGAGCAGCCCTATAAAATCCCAGGGACGAAGGTCGAGTTGCCGACAGGGATGCGAGTCGTTATCCCGATTTATGGACTGCACCATGATCCAGATCATTATCCAGAACCCGAGAGATTCGTGCCCGAGAGGTTCTCCGAGGAGAATCGACGATCTCGGCATCCGTACACGTTCCTCGCTTTCGGAGAGGGTCCTCGCAGCTGCATAGGTGAACGGCCTTCTGGCTTATTGTTATGCATCCTTCGCGTCTGCTTTCTAAAATCGGTGTTCGACTGGTCTCCCAAAGTTCGACTACGGATACCGTTCGAACGACAGTGCGTCATTAGTGCTCGTTATCGCCATTATCGCGGGATTTACTAACTCGGTCCGCCGATAACCGGGGAGCGGGAGAACCGAGTTGACATTTAGAGAGGACATTGCAATATGCGCTCCACGACTTTTCCAGGAATGCGGTTCGCGTTGCTGCAGACGAAGGTGGGGATCATCTCGTTCCTGCGAGGCCATCGGGTGGAGATTTGCGATAAGTCTCCGATCCCTATGAAATTCAGCAGCCGAAGTCTCGTCACCACCAGTGAGAAGGGATTTTGGCTCAGTGTCATTCCTTTGCCGTGAATAATGGAAAGGGTTAGGCTTGTACTGATACTTCATTTGTAGAGTTAAAGAAACGTCTTTCAGTTCTCCCTCACGCTACTTAATTTATTACTTAATCGATTCACTGCGCAATTTATGTAATGAATCTCTGACTTGCGTAAGCACTTATTAATCGGCGTTTGTACTGTTAATCGAAGTGATTAAACCCATTGACAACTCGATCAGGCTCGATTCTAGATCCGAGTCCTAGATACGAACTCAAGCGTGATCTTAAATAGAAGCGACCGATGCGAAATAGAAAGGCCGACAAGCGGGAGATTGCCGAGCTCGCAAGCACGTGTCTCGCAGAAACGATTTCCCCATCTCCGGCAGGATGGCACGCTTTTTCTGCAGCTATCAGCCCGATTACAGCCTCTCTCTGTTTATCCCACGACAGCTTCGCGTCGAATTCCGCCTTTAGCAATGAGTTCTCGCAATCGTCTCTCAATAACACACGGAAGTGCACTTTTAACGCGCCATCGACCCTTAGACATGAAAATCCGAGTTCCTCGTATAACCTCTCATTTCTAATCATAAACTCCTGTTATCCACTTTTCAGATTAAATGCCACGTAGAAATGTATACCTTTCACTAGGGAATGTACTGTTAAATAGTTTGCGCATCTTTTTTTTTTTTTTAAGTAAATAGTAAAGAAAGGTAAAATGTGGTTAGTAGGCCGTTTGAATTTTTCCGCCGCGCGACAATTGATTGTAGCGACGCCTCGCGCATGCGTTCTAGCGGCGCTCGGGGCAAGCTGCGGGCGACTTCGACGCGCCTGGAAATACGGAATGACGGAGACGGATGCAAGTTAGGTTTCTTAAGGAGAGAGGAAGACAGCGATGAAGCTCGGCAGCGCATTTCGGAACATGCTTCGAGCAGCGGCAAGTAGGTGCGCGCAGCGGCACGCAGCGGTGCGCTTGGTTGCGCTTTGGAGGAGATGTCACGTCTCCTGAAATAACGGTGCCCACTGCGCGAATTCAGTGCCCATGTTTGTACATCTCGGACGTGGATTTGTTTACAGAATTTCGTCAGAATAATGCCAGGGTAAGACATCGGAGCGAGTCGCGGCCGCCGCGAGGTCAATCCAAGACTTCATGACAGTAGCTCGTCGAGTGGCTGATTGATAAATATCTCTCTTCGCCTCCTAGTCCAAGTATATCAGCAATTACGATCGCATCTACAAGCATAAACAGAGGCTTGACTGTGCGGATAACTGTAAGACAAGCGGTGGTCTCGATGGGCTTCTTCGAATTTGCATGTCCTCGTGCGCTCCTAAGTTGTCGGAGGTCTTCGCAGTACGGATGGGAAATATCCTTCTTTAAGGGGAACTGAACTTGTTGGCAGATACCTCCAAGACTGTATACAGTAATTCTTAGTTTCGCCTTTGTTTTTTTCTAGATGTCGAACTATGGTAGAGAGCCGCACTCGCAGAGACGGGCGGTGATCGACTATGAGCGCCAGTTTCAGGAGGACTTGGAAAGGGCGCAAGCACTGAGCTTGGAAAGCCTAGCGCTGGAGAAGTTCAAGTTGCAGAAACAACAGCTGGAGTATAGCGGTCATGTCCAGAAAGCTTATACTCCACAGAACAGTACCCAGGGATGTAATAGCAGCGTCTCGGAGGCAGATGGAATATCGTCTGGAAATGGAGACAGGTGATTCAAGTTTTTACATGTTGTGAAGGTACTTGAGCTTCCGAGGGTGGTTTATTAATGGTAGAATACTTTGTTCCATTTTGCAGACAATACCTGAGGAGTCGTCCCAGGCCGGGTTCCTTTAATACGAATCAATCCAGGAATGCCTCTATTATTGCACCACCGCCCATTCCTTGTAGGAGAAATTCAACGACATCTAATCAGGAACAGTCTGCGGACCTCATCAATTTCACCAGTCCAATGAAACAGGATAGCCTGGAGCAGTACTGTTCCACGGTACCACCTCCACCACCACCGTAAGAATTGTTTTATATTTATTTTAAGTACTTTATGACTGTATATATTATAATTATGGTGTGATATCAATTATAGCAAAGCACCGATAGAGCCCAGATGGGATACTCACCCTGCGTTACTGAGACGTTCCTCAAGAGTTTCAAGAAGTAACAGTTCAGCCGCAACATACAATTCACGTGACTTCAGATACCATTCGCCATCTCCAGGACCCCGATCTTCGACGGCTCCTTGCACTCCTGGAACTCCAGGCATCAGTCCTATCATGTCGAGAGCCAGCAGTGTCAGTAGTCACGTGACAGATTCCGTTCCACAGGCAAGTGCCTCGTTGTGGACATTTAACAGAATTAAGATTTTTTTTCCTAGGAAGATAGAAGCAATAATAGAGATTAATTAACGCACGTATGTGCTTCCTAATTTAATGTTTATAATTCCAGCCTGCTTGGAATCTCGTTGCTTTTAGAAATTATTTCTTCGCGCAGGTATATTGATTTCAAACAGATCGACCTTAGATGCCTTAGAAATTAATAGAGAAAAAATAGTTGGACTAGTATAGTTGATTCTGGTGGACCATTTTTTTTTCCATGTTGCATTAGCAAAATTTCTACGTTTTTCAGATCCCTCCTTTGCCACTGAATTATCGGGCTGGTATAATAACACCTGCAAGTAGTGCATCAACTCCGACATTCCCTACAAACGATGGGCAGCTAAGCGTTTTGAAAGTTATCGAGAAGAAGCCAAACAGTAATCTTATTGACCTGAGTGCTTTCGAGCAAACCGAGGACAAGACTAACGTCAGGGTCAGTGTGCTGGAGGCCTTCGATCCTTTGCTCGTCAAGACCGAAGAAAACAGTAGTAATCCTAAGGAGTGGAAAGATGGTACTAGGTTCATTTGTATTATTAGAAGTATCGAACTTTGCGTTATCGCTAAAGATAAGAACTGAATTCCCAAGCTCAGCTAGCTAAAAATCAAGTTGATCGTCTCAGATTAAATCCATTAGTAATTCGAAGAGATTAGATTGGTATTCTCTGAACTATCAACTTAATTGTTTTGTTTTACATGTGCAGATACCGAGTCTCATGTCAGTGGGTCAGTCTACGATCCCTTCGACCCTTTCGATTACATGTACAGCACAAATGAGAGTGTCAATTCAGACCCGGTTTACGTGGCTGTGGAAAAGTCAGCAAAGTCTCCTGCTGTCTCACCTGCCGCACCACCTCCACTGCCTCCCAGGAATTCCTCTGCATGGAACACCATCGAAAGGAGAAAAACGTCTCTGGATCGAAGAGTAAGTTAAACAATACACTTAAAATTGGACGATGCACTTAATCCAGAAGTAATTTAATTTCCATCGCAGCAAAAGCGACAAACAAGGCTCTACGAAAATGTCACCGTGGTAAAGACTAGAGCATCGCTGCATGATTGTGATTTGAAAGCTTTTCACAAGATGATAAAATCCGTTCGAGGTACGTTGGGATTTTTATGGGACGATCTTTGTGTATTTTTATATATTAGCGAAACAGTTAAAATAATTCTTCTCTTGTAGGAGAATTTCCCTTCAATGATCCTGGTACAAACATGGGCCACATAATCAGCCCGATGATGGAGAACTTGTATCCAGAGGGTACTAGCATTAAATTAGTAGTGCATCCACAACTGCCTGGCAATAGTCACGATTCAATTCCGCCCATAACATTTACCTGTGACGGTAAGAATCCATATCCTTTCACCTGGCATGGAACCATAATGAGCGACCTGATAAGGTATCAAATAACAATTGTGCAATGCGTTTAGTGAATTGCAGCGTCGAGCACGTTATTCTTAACGTGGCGTGCTCTCTCGAGGACGAAGATACGGTGAATGTGGAAAAATACTGTCTGAGAGTTTGGGGACTCGCCGAGTACCTTGCACCTAACACGACATTAGCACAGTACGAGTACATACATCAGTGTATTAAATTGGAGAAGGATATCGAACTAGCCATTATGACCAGAGTACAAATAAAGCGATCCATTGCTCGTACAGTAAGTCAAAATTAATTACGACTGTCCCGGAATAATTAAAAATAATGAAACGGTATTAGGAATAATGAGGCAGCAACAGAATTAACGAGACTAATTTTTTTTCTTCAGCTGCAGGACGATAATCGAGATCAGTGCCTCAAACTGGAAGACATACTTCCCAACGAGCCTTTGCAACCCATCTCCTACGATACATTGATCATTTTACTGGGTAAGTGTTGTATCGTAGGGTTGCACTTCGTGCGAAGACAGTTATTAAGACCGATATGCATTTTCCCTTTTCAGAAACCGTGGAGAAAGAGTTAGAACGTGTAGAGACTGCCTCGATACAGTTGGCTACCTCCAATCATAGTTCCAGTCTGCTGCCACACCTGCAACCCCGTGGAGTAGTCCAGGCAGTGAAAGCAGTCAGTGCTCTCATGGGGAATGTGGAGACTTATGAGATAACGGAGGCAGTGGACAATTTTGTCAACGCCTGTTGCCAATTCTTGCCGCAGATCCACACGACCAACATCGAATGCAAGAAGCCAGAAGTCCTCCACGAGGACGGGGACTATTCGGTCGTCACCCTGAGGAGGAAATTTCCCGACGTGATAGGGACGCATTGCCACAAGATCAGGGACGCGATACAGGACCTGGTGGAAACGTACTGTCACGCCTTCAGGGTGGACTTCCAACTAAACAGCCGGGGAGAATTTCCAACGAGTGCGTAATCAGTCTCTTCAGCTTGTCAATTTGAAGTAAATTCACTCAACCTTGGTTTTTCCGATTTCTGTAGATACGTTGGTCTCCTCCGAGGTGATCGACACGGTCCTCGTCAGGGTAGGATCCGTGCACCGGTTACCGGGATCCTGGAAACATGACGACTATATCGTGGCAGCTCAGATATTCCATGGCACGAGACCCGTTGGGAACCCAGTTATTTCCGAACCCATGACGGTCAGCTGTAACTTCTACTCGAGGATCTTGTTCAACACCTGGTAAGGCGTTTTTGCAAGGAATTAACAAAATATAATAACAGGAATGGAAAATAAATATAGGAGGAGGAGATAAAAAATATATACAGCAAGAATTGGATATATTACTAGAGCATGGTTATCCAACTATCATCCAAATCTGAATTTCTCCAGGTTGGAGTTCCACGGCATCAGCGTCTGCCAAGTGCCCAGAGAAGCGAGACTAGTTTTAGTGCTGTACGGTCGCACCTTGCAGCCCACGGAACACGAGTCGAACTCGAACGAGGGAGCCATGCAGAAGGAGGAACTTGGCTGGGGAGCCATACAATTTTTTGATTACGATGGGTATGCACGAAACGACCCGTTGATTCGTTGCGATCAATGGATGATCGACGAGTTCCTTTCGCTTCCAGAGTGATAAGCCAGGGAAGCTTCTTCCTCTCCTTGTGGCCGGCGATTGCGGATAAGAGACTGGGTCCAGCACCGGCGCCTGGGATCCATCCTCGAGGAGATGCGTATCCCATCATAGGTCTGGAACTCCCAGACTATGGGGGAAAGGTGCTGTTCCCCACGGAACTCCGAGACCATGATGTAGAATCCTTGGACTTCAATTCGTTGGACCAGAACACTCAGGAACTGCTGATAGACATCACGCAGCAGGACACGTTCTCGAGGTAAACTGAGAAATAGTAGTTGATACTATTTTTCTTCCTAGAACCGTGGGGGGTCGTTAGTAATTTTTTAATCTTTCGACAGACCACCCGTTGACGAAAGGGAGATCCTCTGGGAGAAGAGGCACTACTTGCACGACAGACCAGAAGCTCTGCCGAAGGTTTTGCTCGCAGCACATAGCTGGGACTGGGCTTGTCTTCCTGATCTTCACGCGTCCCTTCGAGTCTGGAGTCCACTTCCGCCTGTTCAGGCGTTGCAATTACTTCTACCGTGGTGAGCTATTCATCTCATGAATCTGACGAGCCACTTATCCTATGAATTTAATAATAATATACCCCCACGTGCGTTGGAGGTGAAACGTCATTTTGAAGTGAAACTTCTTACATCATGATAGTGCAATTTCTGTAATGATAAGTTTTTCGTTATTTTCGCGATTGTACTACCGTGACGAGAAGTTTCACTTAAGAACGTAGAGTTTCGCCGGAAGATACAACTTGTACTATCAAAGATCGTTCAGCTTTCCAGACATGAAGGTGCGAGAGATGGCCGTCAGCTGGATCAGAGAGCTGAGCAACGACGAGCTCATAGACTACCTGCCGCAGCTGCTTCAAGCCCTGAAGCACGAGACCTACGAAGCTTCACCGTTGGCGAGGTTCCTCCTGGAACGTTCCCTGCTCTCGGCCAGGGTGGCTCACCACATCTATTGGCTCCTGACTCAAGCACTGCCGGGACAAAGTCCCCAGGTACAGGTTGGCAAGTCTTCAGGAACTCACTAGCTTCTTGTGCCTGTGCGATGTCCTGGTTTCTTTCGAACAATCACCTAACGCGTTTGTCTTTTTCTCGTCCAGAACTCTCCGGAAAATTCCCCGGATGACGATAAGAGCATCAGCTCTTCTCGATACCACAGAAGGCTCCAGCTGATGTTGAGAGCACTTCTGGCAGTGATCGGTGAAGCCCTGAGGAACAGCTTCCTCGCTCAGCAGCTCCTAGTGAAGGTATCCGTTCTTCGTATTTGTCATGTTTATTGGAGTTAACTTGTAATGCTAATTTCCAGAATCTTCACGAGGTCGCGGAGAACATCAAGACTACCAAAGAGTCCCTGCGAGTGGAGGCGCTTAAAGTCGGACTGCAGAATATACACGGACAGCTTACCGAGGATGACGGAACGTGTCTACCTCTGTCGCCCAGTAGCGAAGTTTTCGGCATTAATGTCCAGACCTGCTCGTACTTCCCGTCTTTCACGTTGCCGTTGAAAATTAACTTCGTCGGCTGCGACAACGTCATCACTCCTGCAATCTTCAAGGCAAGGGTTCTAGCCGGTTCTGGTTATAATTAGTAGCGTCTCGTGTGAATGAACGATGTATAAGAATGACCAGGATAGAGATAGTTTAAATAGTTTGGTTAAATTATTTTTATTAACCCTGAGAATGACTGCGGTTCCAGGTCGGCGATGACCTTCAGCAGGACATGCTCACTCTTCAGATGGTCCGCATAATGGACAAGCTTTGGCTGAAGGAAGGCCTCGACCTAAAAATGGTGACTTTTGCCTGCGTACCCACTGGCCATAAGAGGGGCATGATCGAGATGGTTACTAATGCGGAGACCCTGAGGAAGATACAAGTTGAGTTTGGGTTGACCGGTTCCTTCAAGGACAGACCGATCGCCGAGTGGCTGGCCAAACACAATCCCTCGGAGTTAGAGTACGAAAGGGCTGTCGAGAACTTCACCGCGTCCTGTGCTGGCTACAGCGTGGCTACCTATATTTTAGGTATTTGTGATAGACACAACGACAATATTATGTTAAAGACCTCGGGCCATTTGTTCCACATCGACTTTGGCAAGTTCCTGGGAGACGCGCAGATGTTTGGGAACTTCAAACGGTACGTTCACATTTCATTTAGCGTTGACGTCCCTTTTACGCCAACGCCATTATCACCTCTGGTGTCTTCCTTATCCAGGGACCGGACTCCATTTGTATTGACATCCGACATGGCGTATGTTATTAATGGCGGGGACAAGCCTTCTGCAAAATTCCATCATTTCGTGGACCTGTGCTGTCAAGCCTTCAATGTTGTTCGGAAGCATGGTAACCTCATCCTTCACCTCTTCGGACTGGTAAGCTCCCTCGACAAGTTTTCTTTTCACCATAAATTCTCAAACTCGTTAAAACGCAATTAAGTCCCTTTAAAAAAAAAAAATGAGTCCTTTCAATTTCGCTTCTCTCGTGGAGGAAACCGTTTCTCACGTACTATTTATACATCTCTCCCGATCGCACGTAATTCCCAGAGTTATCGGCGTAGTTTTATACGCTGTGAAAACATCGAAACCGCAACGGAAAGACTTTATCCTCCGGCATTATCAGAATGCGGAGAGATATCGCTCGGAGCCCTTCGCAGTGTGGCGTTAATTATTATTTATCATATTCAACTTGGGGGTATCCTGTATATTGCAGTAGTACGCAAAGATTAGTCAGAGAGGATGCGTCGAGGAGCGTCGACTCGTTGCACGAGAAAAATCCTTAAAAGTCTAAAGAAATTATTTCCACGATGAACGAGTCGTCGATGGAGTCGAAGCTCATTGCGGAGATTCGGGCGCGCAGCCTCCCGGACAGAAAGCTGAGCGACATCGAGATCAAGGAGATGCTGAACAGTCTAAAGATGAACGATTATACGAATTCGCAGATGACCTCTTCCGGCATCTCCGGGGTGACAATGGACGCGGTCAGTTACGTGCAGAAGGCTTTGTTGCCGGGTCAGACGAATCCGGAAGCCGCTGCGACCTTCGCTCGCATGATCGAGAGCTCCCTGAAGAGTTGGTTCACCCAGTTCAACTTTTTCCTACACAACCTTGCACAATTGAGGTTCACCGGGGACCACAACGACGGGGAGCTGTTGTCCTTCATTCCTCGCACGTACACGTGAGTCGTCGATTTTCCACTAATTTTGTATTAATCAATTCTTAACAACTGTACAGTTGGCGTTAGAAATGAAAGGATTAAACGATCTGATAAGAGTTCTTTCCCCGCGTCTCAGGATGCAGCAGGAAGGCCAGCTGACGAGTGTCCAGGTCCACGGCTACCAAAAGCGGTACGACCCTGAAAAATATTACATGTACATTTTACGGATACAGAGGAAGGGACACGCGGATCCTACCTATCTCTTTCGCTCGTACAAGGAGTTCTGCGAGTTCTACCAGAAGCTGTGCATACATTTCCCTCTAGCGAAGGTGGCAAGGTAAGGACTCGATGATCTTGAATGCTTCTCCGATGTTACTCTTTTCTTTTATACAATTTTTCATATGACAATCATTTGTTTTCTCAGCCTGCCGAGCGGCATCAGTGTCGGCCGTTCCAACATAAAGCAAGTGGCGGACAAACGTCGAGCAGATATCGAAAAGTTCCTGTTAAGTTTGTTCAAAATGGCTCCGGAGATATCGCAAAGCGATCTAGTCTACACGTTCTTTCACCCACTGCTGCGGGATCAGCAGAATGCGGATATACACTTGCGTAAAGTTAAAGGTGGGCAAGCGGTTAACGAGTTCAACGTGGGCTCTGGTAATCATTCTAATCATTTGATTTCTCGAGTAACCATCAAATGCACTTTTTCATCAGTTGGTAACTGGTGGGCGGAGAAGAGGGTGCGGGAAAACGTCCAAAGTGGCCAGATCAAGTTGTCCCTTCACTATTCGCGCGGAACGCTCTCGGTAATGGTCCACCATGCGAGAGGTCTGCCCAAGGTTGCGAATGCTCAGGAGCCGAACACCTACGTGAAGGTTTACCTCAAACCCGACCCGACGAAGGTGACCAAACGGAAAACGAAGGTCGTCAAGAAGAACTGTCACCCATCCTTCATGGAAATGGTAAGTTGGATGGGGGATCGCTCAAACCTTACTTTTGGTATTAAACAAATATTTCTAGTCATTTCGGGATTAAAGCTCGAACGGTGTATCGATATCAATTACGTTTCAGTTGGAATATAGAATGCCACTAGAGGTGATAAAGGAGAGGACGTTGGAGGCCACGATTTGGAATCACGATACCCTCCAAGAAAACGAGTTCCTCGGTGGCATTCGACTGCCCCTAGGTCGTCTCGACTTGACCAACGAGACGATCGAGTGGTTCCCACTGGGAAGCGTTCGATGAGCTCCATCGGAAATGGCTGTGTCGAGGACTAAGGAATAATTAAGAGTTAGCATATGTGATGAACCCAACGAGGGGCTTGAGTATCAATTTTCGCCGCACAAAGTTTAGGATTCCCAAACGTAAGGTTATTAGTCTCTTTATAAGGAACGGTACCGTAAAGAGATCGAGATCGAATTTTGCATGGTTTTTCAACTCTGGGTGTCCAATCTTGATCAAAGAATCGGTATTAGGAATGAGGGTAATACCAATCGTCACATATCAATGTGATGCAGAGATAAACGTTCTGACCGCCGTGGAATCTACATGTAGATTTGAGAATAGCGTTAACGAAACTACTGAGGGGTCGCCCGTTTTTACAAGGATTTTTTAACTTGATCATAAACTGTACTTTAAGAGAGGGTTAGCAGGAATTGCGCAAACGGAACCGAAAATCACGCGACGGGATATCCGCCATCTTGGAATTTGTGATCGTCGCCTCTTCCTTTAAATTTTCTACCTAACTCTTTTTATTAACGTCGTCTAGTAAGTACGTTTAATTCGACTTTGCACGTCTATTTGTGATTAGGAATCGAGGAATGGTTTTGAACGCTTCAACGCGATGTTTCTTTACGATGTCGTCGTAAATTCGTATCGAATACTCGAGTCATAGATTCCGTTCAGAGCCGCGAACCGTATGAATTTGTATAATAGAATTTTTGCAATCATCGGGATTGCGTGGAGGCAAATTGATTTGTACAGAATTAAGATTCGACCTCGGCGAGAGTTGCCCAATCGTGTCGCGATCTACCATTAACATTATTTTTTACACAGCGCGTTCATTTTTTATCGCCCGGTATTGCCGCACTCGTTAGAAAAATGGCGACGCGTTTAATCGTACCAAGGAACCGTAGTCATCGCCTGATAAATATTTATTGCAGAACGTATCCCTCGAAAAGTCTAAGTGCAAAGTCTTATTGCTTTGGCACTAATTACCACGATATTTATCATTTACATACGCTCCCGCGGACTAGTTAATGCTTTGATTTACACTTTTCGTTATACATACGTCGGTATACTATAATTTTTCCACAGTATCTATCTCTAGTGTTAATTTATTTGTAATCGTCACCATTAAACGGTTATTTTGACTACAGCGCTTCTTCTTTTTTCGTTTTGTTTCACTGGAATCGGGAAATCGGCGCTGAGAAACAAGCAATTAATTTATTTTTCTCTCCAACCTTACGGGTGGTGTCGGGGAGTTACTTTAAGAGCATGCATGAAGTCCGGTAATACTTAATGGAATCATCAGTATGTATCGTTGCGTAGAACACTCGTTCAATAAAGCATGTACATGTCAAAGCAATATTTAAATCAAGGTGACATAGTTTTGCCGATGCAACGACAGATAATGAAAGTCCTGGAGGGCATAATTTACAGTGCGGACTTATTCTAAGGAGAGTCATGTTTTTTGATGATCATGTCATACACAGTAGTTACATCCTATCGTTACTAGGTATGTATTCTGTTCGGAGGCAGAACGACACAAGAAATGTGATGGACTTTGACTTCATGATAAGACGTCGACTGAAAATCAGTTGTGGCATTTTAGAGTTTCTACTCGCTAACGACTCCGCGATGTGAGTTAAACTCAATTGTGCCATTTATTAAATATCGCAGTTATTTTTTTTTAATGTCTGAGGTCCCTTCGAGGACAAACCATTAAACTGAACTGTAGCACGTTTCGACCTTGATAGAAGATTAGTGATAACAGAGAAGGGGCAGAAGAAAGTCACCGGGCTGAGGTCATGCCACGTCTTGACATTCCAAGAGAACGTATCACTTGGACCTCCATTTCCCTGAGCTCAGCTAATCACCATAAAGAGCCGATAATTTAAAAATCATTGACTTGGAAATAATGGACTCGGGAGAATCCTCTGAGGTACGTACTTAACTAATTGAACTCTAGTACCTGGAACATTAATCGAACCATTGTAAATGACAGAAACCTGGCACGTCTGGTTAATGACATTGTTTAATATCCTGATCGATCATATTAATTATATTATAGATGCACTGTCAGTGAGACTTAATCAACAGGTTCCAATTAAATAATACTCATGTTACAATCCTCTACACACTAGATGGGACGTTCGCATCAATCTCTGCTGTTCGCTTTCACATCTGGAGAAATAGAATCTATTTTAAGAGAAGCTCGTGGCTATTGCTATCGAAGATGCCTAGATGCGGATAATTTCGGCCTGCTTACGCACGTGCGTACGCTTTGAAGCGCATTCCGCGTGCACAATTAGTTCCTCCGGAGAGGTGCGCAGCCGGAGCTTTGGAACACGTCTGCAAATACTCGAGTAACACTTGTGCGAGGGCTCAACTCACACAGTGGACTTTTCCTTACACTGACAGGCCTTTTCTTGCATCAAGTACTCTACAAATAGAGATTACCTCTCTCTTCGATCCACTTGTCACATGTCATATCGTACCAGATATTCTAATATACTCTTTTTACATACCTGTATGTTACGTTAGAGTGGTAGATTGGTTACATATTATCCCCCGCATGTTAGTTCCATTGAACTGCATTAAACTTTTAAATGAACATATTGAATATATCTAGAAATTCTTACCATCTTGTCACTCTTCTCTGTGTTGTAATTTTCTTCGATATTGTTACACACTCATGTCTGCATATGTGGAGCCTCTTCCTTCTCTCTCTGCCGTGCGCGCTCGCGATACGTCGCGCCGTGTTCGTCGGCGGCGCTAGTGTAGCTGCGCGGAGCAGCTCGCGTCGTTTTTGGAGCCCGTAGCCGGTTGCCTTTGCAGCATACACACAGTGCGGTCCACGTGCGACGGATTCCACGATCCTCGATGATACGCTCACAATCCCTGGTAAATCTGACCCCCTTTTTTTACAATTGCGATACGCGACAATTGGTTCTGGTGACTAGAGCTACGGTGTCCCGAACCCGACGAACTCGGCGTCATAACCTCAATCGATCAAAATTCCAAGGCTATGCTTTAGTGCCACTGAATCTGTGCAATGGTATCCCCCTTTTTTTAACAGATTTATTTATTTACACGTGCCAGTTCTCGACTAGTTGCAAGATACCCTTTTCTTGAAAAATCTAAAGACCAAGTGTGTTAAATTTTTTTAACCCTTTGACTGTCTATCATCGTACGTTGGATCTACGATAAGTGTGGTTTTAATGTTTTGGATATTGTGACTGTTTAGTTACTGCCTCTACTGGCTGCAGTCGGAGCAGTGGTAGTAACTGGCCTGGCGATTAAGTACTTCTTCTCTCGGAAAGATAAGTCGAAGAAGTCACCCATTTTACTAGAGGATCCCGTTACAAAGTACAGCTTGCCACTGATTCAGAAAGACGTTATTAACCATGACACTAGGAAGTTTCGCTTTGGTCTTCCTACGAAGGAACATGTGTTGGGTCTACCTACAGGTCAACACGTGCACCTTGTCGCAAAGGTCGGGGACGAAGTGGTTATACGATCCTACACTCCAGTTTCGAGGAACGTGGACAAAGGATACGTAGATTTAGTGATTAAGGTAGGTCACCAAGTGCAGCCTTCTCTGGAGAATAAGGAAACTTAATTGTATCTTCATGATCGACCCGCAGGTGTACTTTAAAAATGTGCATCCAAAATTCCCGGAAGGAGGAAAAATGTCTCAGTACCTTGAAAGCCTTAAAATAGGGGAAACCATAGATTTTCGAGGACCCTCTGGCCGACTGATATACAAAGGGAATGGGACCTTTGCCATAAAGTTACTCAGGAAAGACCCTCCCGTGGAGTATCACATGAAAAAGGTCCGTTCGATCAATAGGTTACAGATTTTCACTTTCACATACATTCTCTCTACCCGCTAATCGTTACAAATTTTCCTTTTTTTCCCTCCATTGTAGGTGGTAATGATAGCCGGGGGAACTGGCATCACTCCCATGCTGCAGCTCATTAGAGAAATAATATGTGACCCGAGTGATCACACCAAAGTGTCGTTGCTTTTCGCCAACCAAACGGAAAAAGACATTTTATTAAGAGACGAACTCGAAGACATCAGCCGTAAGCATTCTGACCAGGTGAAACTATGGTACACCGTGGACACCAGTAGCGAAGGTTGGAAATATAGCACCGGCTATGTAACCGCTGACATGATCTCAGAGCACATGTTTCCTCCGTCCTCAGACACAATTGTACTCATGTGCGGTCCTGCCCCCATGATCAATTTTGCCTGTAATCCTAACTTGGACAAGCTCGGATATGACTCTAAACTTAGATTCGCGTATTGATGTCCGCCTTCCACTTTCCCCGATACGCTTTACGTAGAGACGTTGAATGAAGAATATATGTACAAATGTCGTTAACATCACAGTTGACCAGCAAAACTCCCATGTTGTTCTTGAACCCCCCATTCCATGAAACATGTACTGACAGTTTCTGATGTACAAACATTTTGCAAAGCATACATTGAACATGACATTAGATAGCTTATGTAGAATAAGATCGTTTAATTAGAAATCAATGTGCAGCAGAATCTGGTTCGATGTGTTCAATGAGCTAGGAATTTATCTGTACGCAAAGCGTAGAACGGTATGGTAGAACCAGATACTGATTAAGGCATTTATTAATATTAAACGTATTAATATAAAATTATGAAAACGTTTTGTCCTTCCAAGAGGTCTCGCCAATAAGAGCTGTATTAATAATTGCTCTTTCTAAGCGATGGAAACATTAAGACCGTGAAGTGCGTGCAGCCTAATTTTATGCGTTTCGTGTAGATCAGAAATTCAAAAGATTATTAATAATCCTTATATCCAAATATCGTACATACACGAACAGTTAAGCAGTTAACGACGAATAACGGTTAACGATTTTACGGTGACGCTAATGTCATAGAAGAGAATGAACGATAATGAAAACGCACGTTTACAGCGAGCTCCAACGCAGCCAGCTTGGATTGTGACATTTTTAACAGCGTCCACGATCTGCGACTCGTTTTCTCGGAGCTGCACGAAGGATGTCGTCCACGCGGAGAATCATTTCCGCAGCTTCGGCCGCACTGAGAAGAACCTGCCTCTTCACTGCCCAGGATTCCGTTATGCCAAGCCTCTTCATGCATCCCACTTTTCCCAGCTCCATGTCTATTTATGTACATTTAGTTATTTTAGACGTGGAACAGGTGCAAGCTCATGTCTATATGGAAAATTTAACCTAAACTCGACTTACCGAGACCCATGGTGTTCGCTCCGGAATTATGGGCAGCTCGAAGCTCACTGACCAGCTGAGCTGAATCATACCCTGCATTGTCAGCGATGACAGTTGGCAATTGTTGTAAAGCTTTAGCAAAAGCTTCCATCGCTACAGCTTCTTTTCCTGGAGTGGCTGCTGCTGCTCTCATGACAGCACATGCCATTGCTACTTCACTGCAACCTCCACCATAAACTATTCGTGACTCTCGAACGGTTGCAGCCAGTACGCATAATGCATCGTGAAGAGATCGCTCGGCTTCGTCTAGGATCTGCTGGGTGGCACCTCGGATGACGATCGTGCAAGCTTCTCCTAGAGGAACACCTGAGAAGCGCAGCAGGATGTCCTCTCCGATCATGAATTGCTCGATCAGGTCACATTTTCCAAGTTTCACCATCTCGGGGTGGTCGAACGTGCTCACTATTTCCCCACCAGTCACGAGAGCCAATCTTTCGATGCCATCGAAGTCTGCGTGCTCGATTGCCATGATGCCAGCATCGGCGAATAGTTGCTCAGGATAATTATAAATGAGCTGTCTGTTGATGAAGACCGTGCAACCATGCTTTATGATCTTGTCCACTTTATCCTGTCAGAGAGAGAGAATATGTTTAGTATCGTGCTAAAAAGAAAATTAATTCAGACAATTCCATTCAAGGTGGTACCTTCATTTTCTCTTTTTCGGCTAATTCCAATTCTGCAATTTTCGCCATTGAGTCTACTCGGACCCTTGAGCCAAAGACCTGATAGAATATAAATATTTTGTGAAAGCGCTTCAACAAGTTACATAGTATTAAAATAAGATGTATACCTTAATTTTATCGGTATCCATGGGAGTGTTCGCTATGAGAATACGAGCATCGGTGACGCGCTGTGGCTGGTGGACCCCGGGTTTCTTATCCAATAAGAAACCTTCATCTAAGAACGAGTCAGCCAAGGTGCCTCCTCGCTTCTTGATTATCTGGATGGCTGAAAGATTGCCGGAGCCCTTAAGACGTAAAACGGCATCAACGGCAAGCTTGCTGAAGTGCTCCTTGTGGTGTGACAGGATCTTTGAACTCAATGTCGTACGCGCTATGTTTGTCAAGTCTTCACGGAAGCGCTCGTGATCAGCAGAATTGTCAGACGCAGCGTTCTTCAAAGCTTCTCTAGCGACATTCGTCGCATTTCTCCAGCCAGCAATTATAGTCTGCGGATGGATCTTCTGATCGATCAGTTTTTCCGCTTCCCTTAACAATTCCGCAGCTGTATCGGTAAAGAAAGTTCATTAGTTATGTTAGTTATTAAATGTTTAGTTACTTCCAATTTTTTTGCACAAACCTAGCACCGTCACCGACGTAGTGCCGTCTCCGACCTCGTCATCCTGTACTCTGGACATATCGACAAGGATCTTGGCAGCCGGATTGTCAACGCCAACGCTCTTAAGTATCGTAGCTCCATCATTGGTGACGTGAACTTCTCCAGCAGATCGACCATGGGACACCAAAATCTTGTCCATTCCCTTCGGGCCTAAAGTCGACTTCACCAGGTCTCCGATGGCGATGGCGCCCACGAACATGCTCAACCTCGCCACCTCCGCCTTCTCCTCCTCGGCATTGCTCTTCAGGATTCGCACGGGGTTTAAAGACACCTGCAAGTAAAACATACATTTTATTCAGTTTTTCGGGTTTTCGGGCACGTGCGCCATTTGTCACATTTTTAGAGAAAACCATCGCCGGTCTGTCGATCGCTTTTTTACAGCCCATTCTCTAAACCCTTCGAAATTATTATTAAATAATCATTCCCCCGTTTTGTGGCAATCGTGAGGAAGACTCACCATGATGATTCCTCGTAAATGGGCAGAATTTTACTCGAAAAATCGGATCGAGCTCTTTCTTCACACCCACAGGGAAATCAGAGTTCCAAACATGGAGATGTCGCTGACGACTCCCGGCACGCCATTTTGAAACGAGCGATCTCGGCCAATGGCGAGACAGGATCCAGGGGAAATAAGTATGGCGCCGAATATCGCGGTCTAAGAGAAATTTCTCGATCGTTCTCCCTAGAGATCTGGCAGATGGCGCGTCAATACGTAATGCGGTTCGCCGGTAAGCCTTCTACCTGCTGAACGATTTGAATGTCAAAACTCATTACTTTTCTCTATACTTGAAATATTATTTCCAGAGTATTGAGAAGTGATAAAAAAAACTCTAATAAACACCTTTCGCGCATAAAACACGTCACAGGGTTTTTTAATCAGCGTAAATTATCCTCAACTTTCATTCTGCCATTTTTAACCTTTTCTAACAGCGTTGGTGTTTTTTTTTCTTCTGATACTAACCGGTCTCCAAAAATGCGAATAGACATTTACAGGACGTGAAAACCGTTTCAGCCCTCGAACGTGGGAAATTGTCCGCATGCAAAGCGCGGTCTTTACATAAGCTGCTTTCGTCCGTTGGATTTCTCAGGATCCGAAAAACCGCCGCCAATTAAGCGGGCATATGTGTAAAGAGTGAAGAAAAATTCAGCCGGTGAAAGACAGCTCATTGAGCGACTTCGTTTAGTATTTCTTGTGCAGAGAAAAGGCTCCAGAAGCGCGCCGAACGAACGCGCGTCGCCGCGTAACGGTCTATTACAGCTGTCCCCCATTTAGTTTACTCATCGGCTATGGGACCCCTTCGTCTCCCCGCTGGACACGCACAATGCCTATACACGGGTTCCCATACAGCGTGAAAAATCTATACAGAGACTTAGGGGCCCATATCGCAACTACAAACACACAACGACATCGTGAGGGTCTCCGCAACGTGCAAACGGCGACGCGATGTTCGCGCTAATCGCAGATATAATTATACAATTGATACGTCACGTTATAATTTTGTTAAGTCAATACGCTTATGTGGTAAATTTACAATACGTATGCTGTCGCCATATGTTCCATTTTTCGTTACGGTTGTTCTCATAGTCGGTTTAACATGCTTCCTTATATCCTATGTCCATAATGGAAGGCGGGATGCATTTTCCTCGAGCTCCAAGGTGGTAACGCCGCTATCTCCCGGCATCCTTGGATTTTATCGGGCTTTTATCGTCCCCAGGAATCCCATGAATGGGCAAGTGGACGACTTAACTCTCCGATCCAAGGACCTCCCTTGAAGTCGGTCGGCTTCCCGAAAGTGAGTCACGGCGCGCACCTGGAGAACGCTTTTCGAAGTCGGTGACTCACTGCCATAGCGATGTTGGATTAATCCTAGAAACATTTCCCAATGGATTCTCATCCGGAATCGCGGGACTCGGGTGACCTCCTCGCGAGTCGTCCTACCTTCCGGCCGAGGGTCGTCGACGCATACATTATGCATTCCTTTCAGCTCCGAAACGCAACGCCCAAATCATTGTCGAGGCCTAGCTTACTCGCTAACTGACTCACGGACTCGTGGACAAAGGAACGGGTTCGATCACGGTCCCTCAACACAGCAATAAGGCCCGAAAAACTCGCGAAGCGACGTTGACTTCGGGGTTCATGACGGCCATCTTGCTTTTTCCTCTCCGCGACTTTTCTCAGATTTCGCGAAGAAATCGTTTAAAGACAGCGGAATTAACGTTACTATCTTTCAGGAAAATCGTGTGACGCTTCGTATGGAACTTATTTTAATATTACCCGTATACTCGTGTAATCGACATTCATTTATGCGACGCGCCGATAGTCCAACCGCCGCAGACTCCGAGCGTCATAGCGGCCATCTTGCTTTTTCCACTCCCCGTATCTCCCGATTTCGCAGGGAAATTGTCCGAAAATAACGGAAATACCGTTACTACAGTCCAGGAAAATCGTGTGTCGTCTCTTGCGGGGTGCGTTGCGTGGCTGAAACGCCGTATATCACCCGTGCACGCGTATAATCGGCGTTCGTCCATGCGACGCGCAGATGCGTCGGGTACGGGCGCGTGCCATGCCGCGCGCAGGGGTGCAGGCCCACATGGGGCGTCAGAAGAGCCAACAGGGAGCAGCAGGAGGGGCAGGAGTCGCACCTGGCCCCGGGGGCCATTGGCGTGATTTGCAGACGAGGCTCCCCCTGCGAAGCACCCCCGGCACGATGCTCTTCTATCCGGAGGGCCATGGAGACGCCACTGCCCTCCATCCGTTTTTCACCCTGAATAAAAGTTACTCCCCTAAGCGAAGAAGCCACTTCTCCTGTAATACACTAACACGCTCCTATCGCTAGCATACACCCGTGGAATAAACGTAATAAAATGAATTTCACCCACAAAGCATACATTCTCACGGCTACATGACATTATCTTACAGTTTAATAATTGTACAACAAAATGGTGACATGTACATGCGTATTGCATTACTCGCTTTATAATTCTGCCACAACCGTATTACTATTAATGTAAACATTACGCACATGTAACGTGTTACATTAAATATCACAAATTTCTAATCGTTAAGTGTCTGTATGTAATCGTAATGGAAGTACGTTTGGTGGGCTTACAGGAAGCAACAGTACATAAATTCTGTAGAAACTTGATAATAGCTCTAAGGGATATAAACGCTTCTGACGTATTATAATATAAATTCCGCGAGTAAGAGAGAGGCAACACATTGTTGATTTTTTTTTTTCTGTAAAAGATCTTTGTTCTTTTTTTTTTTAACGGGGGGTTTGGTACGACACGCAGGGGAGATGGACGCGTGGGGGCGAGGACGCGTTGCGCAGGACACGCAGGAAGCGATTCGTGACAAGAAGAGGTGGGGCACGCGGCCGACTCGTGCCAGGAAGTCGCGAGCCGCTCTTCCGCATGCGGCTCAGTCGTACCGAGTCGCCCGCGTGTCGAAGTTCCTCGCGCGTGACCGAAGACCTCGAAGAAACCGCCGCAGTTGACCCGCACACGACCCGTGACCTTGATCGCTTCCTTTAGGGATCACTCAAATAATCGAGCCTAAGAAAAGTGAATTATTTAATTACTGCGAAATTAAATTAATTGCAACTGGATAAAATGACGCTGACGAAAAAGTGCTATCGATGATGGTCCATCGAGAGGACCATACGGAACGGATCGTACATTTGGTTATTAAATTGTGAAACAGTGTGGAGAAGAGACTCTTGTCGAGATGAGCCGGTTTAAACGGGACCAGAGCAGAGTCTTCTGGGGTCGCATGGCCTCGCAGGACCTGCAGGAGGATCCCTTCTCCCGACTTCAGGGTCCACTTCAGGGTCTGCCCGAAGAAGGGCCAGAGTCGCCTCAGGAGTTTTCATCGTCTTCTCAGGAAAATGGCGTCGAGGATCTCCAAGAGGACGCTATAGAGTCGAAGGAGCTGTCCGACAACGCCACCGTCCGCGAGGTCCTTCCTGAAGATCCTGGGTAAACACCCTAAAATCAAAAAATCGAAGATGAAAAAAAAATTCATTTGGATGTCGATCTCCTCGAAGTAAATGTTTTCTTGCACTTCGAGCGACTCCTTGACATTGCCACCTTGAAGTAGATCTTGAAGGCGCGAGGATTTTTTTTTTATATGTACCTCCGTTTTAGGGAGCGCGTCGAGGACGAGGTCGCCAGGGGAGCCGAAGAGGACCCTGAAGGGATACATCGCAGCGAACCTCGCGACCTGGGGCGTTTCGTGGATTTTAGAAGCGAGGATTCTGGCTTTTCCGATTCCGAGAGGTCCACGAGTCCTGACGAGCTGCGTTCCAAGGAGAGGAGGTCGGGACCTCGAAGAAGACATTGCTCGACACCCAGAAGTCGAAGAAGAAGGAGGCTGGATATCCAGCAAAGAGTGGACTCCCCATGGAGGGACGGCGAGGTTCCTCCAGGTCCTTCGCACACGTCGACCCCAAAGCAGAAGCCCTGCGTCGACAGAGGCGCTCTTCAGGGTCAGCTTCCATCCTTGAAGCGGTTGGTATCTCGTTAAACCTTTCCTAAAAAAATAATCTTGGGTTAAGAGGGTCGTAATGAAATTATTTTTTGCTCATTATTATCAATACGAGGATATCTGAAAATTGGAATGATAGGACTTGAGACATAAGTCTTGACATTATGCCTATATCATGCTACCTGGGGCCCTTCGCTTTCTCGGGAATCTGGAACACGGTTGGACAGTCATCGAGCTAATCGCTTTCGAAATCAACTCGCTTATCGATACACCGGCTGTTATCAGATCGTAAGGTCCCAGAAACGAGAGCGATAAACTCGACTCGTGTTGACTACTCGTGTCACCCTGAGGAATGCGTCGAGCGATGCAGTTTTCACTTGCGGTACGCAATGCGTGCTCGGTGGCATTACACCTGCCTCGAGGTAGGTCGTCGCAACGCCTCCTCAGGGTGCGACCTGGACGATTAAGAGTCGGGCTGGACCGGAAGTACATGTTCGAGGTTCGAAAGCCAAGGTTAAAATGAGAACGCACGGTACAGTGAGACAAAAATAGTGGTATACGTTACCACTATAATTGTTAAATAAACGTCTGTCCGTCGTTACAAGGTTTTTCATTCCAACGTCCGTCGTAACGCACGTCGTTTTCGGTCCCAGCTTAAGGCGCTGCGTGTTCGAACGCACATCGGTATACAGGGCGTGCGTCGAGCACGTGAGTCAATGCGCGAGGAATACGTGCTAAAGGAGGTGGCTTGAGTCAGCGGCTCGCAGTCCGGCCAGCAAATGCAGCAAGAATTCACCGGCGTATCGGCCGATGGTATGCCAGGACAAATATCCACGGATCTCGTAGATTAGTCACGAGTAATTGCCGGCGAGGTGTGGAAACTCGGAAACGCGGAATGCCGTGCGCGGAGTCGTGGACGTATCCAGTAACAGGTGGTACCTAAAAAATGGAACGGATATAACGAAGGGCAAGCGAAAAGTGAATAAAAAAAAAAAAATGTAAGGTGTAGGAACCTTGTTTAAAACAACCGAGGTCAATCGATTCCTCGGGAGGTTCTTCGAGAAAGAGCTGGAATTGGTAGCGGTACTTGAATCGTCCGTTTAATTTTCAGGACCGAGAAGGAGGCCGACCGGAAGGTGTCCCAGGAGAGATCTCCTTCGACGTTCCCTGAGGAGTGCCTTGGAGATTTCTTGTACGCCAATGAGCCCCCCGAAGACGCGCCAAGTGCGCCTCGAGGATCCTCTTCCTTCGGAGGAACCGGAAACGTCGCCAGGAAGGACTGTTCTTCCAGGGCCGGGGAAGAGACCCGAGATTACAGGTCTCTGTCCGCGGTAAGAGCATGGCTGAACGACCTGGCGGTGGATGCCGAAGAGGAGTGCGGCACGACCCTGCAGAGCAAGGCTCTTCCCCGCAGGAAGCTGCAGGAGTCCAGGACCCTGACCTCCTTGGCTACCTCGGCTGCGACGAAGCTGTTGGACAGGGCGGACCGATTTAACTCGCACTACAAATACGTGATAGAGTGAGTGGCCTTGATTACCGATCGCGGTAAGAAAAGCCTAGATAATGCGCCGAGTAATCTGCATGAACGGTTTCGAGGAACTGGTGTCTTACGTAAGCGAATTGATCGGGATCGATTTCTTCCAGAGAGATGACGAAGCCGGAAGAGAGAGAGGACAGGGTGAGGAAGCTCGCTCGGTCGCTGCAGGAGGACGCCGTGGCCCTGTTCGGCGAAATGGAGGTCCCGACCAGACAGCTTCCTCTGGCCAGGGACAGGAACAGACATGGCGGTCTCAGAGCGACCCTCGCTAGGATAAGCGACTTGAAGGCGAAGGTCGACCGGGCGGTCGACGCGCAGCTCGACCTGTACATAGAGGTACTACAGGATTAGTTTACATCGGGATTATATATATAATCTTTAATCGTTCTGTCGAGATAACGGGTGTTCTTGATCCGCAGAGAATAGTGCGTGGTTTGGAGGAGGCTCCGAGGGAACTCCTGGGTGGCAGCGCAGCGCGTGGAGCTCTTGCAGCGTTGACGGCACTGGGTCTAGCAGGGTCCAGGGCGGCGAGCAGCATAGCTAGATGTTCAGGCATCAAGGTCCTTCTGACGTCCCTCATCTCCGTAAGCAGGAACTCCGGGGACCTGAGAGCAGCTTCTTTGCGCGCCCTGGCGAGCGTCTGCTGCTGTCCGACCGCCATAAACCGATTTGTCCGCGAGGGAGGCCCTGAGATCATCGTGGACTTGCTCGCAGCCGAATCTTCCCCAGAGTCGGAGAAGATGGAGGCCGCTGCCCTCGTGGTCCAGATCACGGCACCCTGGACCGAGGCCTACGGGTTGCAGCACATGGAGCCATTCGCAGACGTCCTGGTGAGGTCGCTGATCCAGCTGGCCGAGGCCACCACCTGTGGTCAGACCTTGCTCCTGGCTGCCGCCGCGTTGAACCACCTCTCCAGGTCCAGGAAGTGCGTCCTTGCCATCCTGGACCAGGATTGCGTCCGTAGGTTGCTGAAGAGTCTAAAGAGGTCCGTGGGCAGGAACGTCTGGACGATGGAGCAGATTGCTTCTCTTGTGGGGCAGCTGGCCAGGATGCCGGAGGCGAGGCCTCACTTGGCTAGGGCGAGGGCCTCCGTTGCTCTGGTTTATTTCCTGAGGATGAGGCCTCCGGGTCTGGAGGATGCGTACAAACGACTCGAAGATACCGCAGCTGCAGCCTTGACGAGACTTTGCGTGGATCCTGAGATTGCCAGCCAGGTGGTCGCCGTTGGCGGCGCGAATTGCCTTCCTCCAGGAGATAATGTCGACGAGGACGGACGGCTGCGATACACTAAGTCCTTGAGGCTGGCCTGCAAGAAGGCTGCTAAACAGATTAATGTGGCTAGGGCCTACGATAGTAGTGCTTTGGGCTGAACAGGATTACTGTCAAAGACAGGATATTATGTACAAAATATATATTTGACCCCTTCATCGAGACATCGGGTACCTGAGATACGTGATGGGCTTATTTAATTATGTAACAAATGTTTGCAACATTATAAACATTGCTGTGTATATATAGTTCTGATATTTATGGCATCGTTAAAAGTCTAAGAAATACTGTAATATACAATGTCATACTTAATTTATATTAACACTAATGTGCCATACTTCGCGAGAAAATTATTTGTATTTTATAGTCATTTGTAACAATGTAAAGGAAAATGGATGGAGGATGGTCCTTATTCAAAGTAGATGGATTAAGTTTCGAAGGTCTGACGTACATGGCTTTCGTGGAATACGTCAACCGTCGTTGCGAGGCATGGTCTTAGTTCTAGATCGAACACGCCCAAGACGCATTTACCTTGGGGTGCTTTAAAGTAGTCTAAACCACGGCCTATTTTTATTACCCAACCGTTGCTTAACCTGAAAAAATGGGGACGATTATTGTGGAGTATTTTTTACTATCCAACGAAGAATGAGATAACACTCTATTAACAGATATTGTACCTTGAATTAAATAAATGTAGATTTTATTTGTTATTACCTGATTCTTCGGTCATGTAGAGCGCTGTCGTATGTGACATCAAACTGAACGAGCCTTGTCTCCAAACTTCTCTTCAATTGGTTTAATCGCTCTGATTGGTTTTGTTGGTCTTGAGGGTCACAGGTAGTTACCAAAGATATTCTTGAAAGTGAGCGGCATTTTTGTACAGCCAGTTCACATAATCTAACCAGGTTCTGGCACTACGATCAAATTGATTTCAGATTCCTGCAGGTTACACGAAAAAAAAAAATTTTTACACACCTGATGGAATGCTCTTACGTAGGGATCCTCGATAATAATGTCCGTTACCATATGATCCAAGAATCTGCCAAATATACTGACATAACCATGACCCGTCGAGCCGTCTTCTATTTCCATTACTTCTCTGTACTTGCCGACAGACTTCCTTTGGTCGATGATTGCCTTAATCCTCTCCGCTCTATCCATATATTGAAGCGCCTTTTCCTTAAAGTGCTCACGCTTCGACGGATTCTTTTCCTCTGTATTGTTTGACCACCAAATTGTTTGACTTTGTAAAAAATTGAATTAACAGAACGGCAAAGTGTTATACTTTGTCCCAATCACTTATAGTGTCGTTATCATTCAGATAATTTCACTGTTATATTTCAAGAAGATATTACAAACAATATACCTTTCACAGAGTCGAGTAGTATTTGAAGCCCTTCCTGATACAAAACTAGGGCCATGGTGTATCGTTCCTTCTTATCCATGTCAACTGCTCGTTGCAGAATGCTTGCGGCAGCACTCTCCATGATATCAAATTAAAAACTTAATTCGAATACGTACAATGTATTACAATACGTCGCCAAAAATTACCAAACAGCCGTCAATTTATAAAATTCAAGCAGAGTATATACAGGAATTGTTGAATGTATGTACCAGAGAAGTGGAACGGTTAGGTGTCGTCAGTTCGGCTGTTAGGTTATGTGCAGCACGGCCGACAAGTTATCGACGTGCGACTTAAACCGACGGTCGGGTAAATAATTTCTCAGTGGATAACTCGTTTCAACCATTTCAATAACGATAAAGTAAGAAATTGCAGTAGTGAACTCTCCACTTGCAAGATGGCGCTGTACTTCGGCCATGTAGGAAAATATTTAATTATGTTCTCTTTCGTAATAACCGTCTCAGTACCGCGATCATGCAGTCTAAAATTCCAACCCAACTTTTTCTCTATAATGTGCAAATAATAACTAAGGTAAGAAAAATAAATCTTTTAAGAAAAATTAAGTATTGCAATAACGAAACAAAATTAATAAGGAGCATGGACAGATTGTATTAATAAATGGGGGAAAATAGGATATAGTCTATGAGACCATGTGTCTGCGGTTATAGGTTAGGTCGACTGCGTGATCTTTATTTCAAGTCTATATCGTCTTTATTAAGATTCATATTTCTTCCCTGTATTTCCAGACAGTAGTTAATGCGTTAAAACATGAATCCGATCAAGGGGTTTGAACCAATAGAGATATGAAAATTGAAAGGCCCTAAATAGAGACATGCTTTCGGAGTTGATATAATATGCTCCCCTTTTATAACTTCTCTATTCCGGAGCAGCGATTGCGCCCGGAATATGTGTAACGTTGTTACCGGTCGTTGCTTCCATTAATTCGTAATGAGGAGCTTGATTTAGGCTTTATTATCGCGAAGATTCCTTTTATAAAAGGAAGCGATTGGGACGATTTCGTGAAGCCTATTCCGGGAACGCCCGGCATCGAAGATCGATTTGAAATTAGCGAAAATCGAAACCTGCTGAATACTAAATTAACGATTACCAGGCGTCCGCCATTTGCATATTTCTGCAACATTATGATGCATGAATTATTTAACGTCATAAAATAAATATTCATGTAATGCCGATACCAATTTCTTATGATAAGAGCGATCGTGCGATCGATGACGCAATAGCGCCTAATGACGCCCTTCGATGGACATAACCTCTAAGGCCTCCCGAGCAGATTGGTACCTCAAACTCATTAATTTCAGGTGTAAGGTTCATTTAATTCAAAGTTCAATTTAGAGTTCATTAAATTTAAAGTTTATTTAAATTACATGGAAATTTGCGAAATCGATCCTCACGTGCCAGTGGTAATTAGTGTAACTTTGTTTTATCGTTTAATTAGGGCTGGAAGGTTGATGAAAGAACGATCGGGGGAATCGAGCCTCTTCCCACGAGTTGAACATTTATTACGAGAAGTCAACCCTGAACCCATGGGACAAGGCATCTATGGGGTAACGCTTCTCTCTCTTCTCGTCGGCCGGGTCAAAATTGTCCACTCTGGGCCCCTTAGTATAAATCATTGTACCAGTCGAGAGGGCCATCACGTCGGAGAAACATACGGTCTACCGCGGAGACCCCGCAGTGGTTAATCCAGGTTTGGTCAGCCGCGACCCCCGAAACGCGGAATCTCGAAACATTCTAACCTCAAACAAGGAGCCTCATAATTACAACGTCCCCCCCGCCTACATACCGTATTTTTGAGCGCACGTTAGTTAATGCAATAACCGGAAAAACATTGTCGGTGTAAAAAAACTTGCGGGAAAAACATCCTATTGGAAAAGTATATTACATCTTCAAGATAACATTTGGACGTAGATTTTGTACGTGCGAGAATGCTCACATCTAGGCATGGATTAAATACGCACACGTGAGCATGCTCACATCTAGGCATGGATTGAATACGCACACGTGAGCATGCTCACATCCGGGCCCGCCTTAACGATCACAAAAGTGGACGGAAACGGCGCTCTTAAAACCGGAACGGAGGAGCAAGGAGGAGATTCCTTGTCTTGGCGGGGCGCCTAATCGAAGATCGCTCAATTTCCCGGCCATTAAGCGACCCCGTCTAGAGATTCGCCGGCCAATCGGCGCGGTCGATCTCTAGTCGGTGCATCCGCGGGGAATTCGCCAATCCGTGAGCGGACTCGGGGGCGACTCGACCAGCCTCTTTCCGGCTCGGTGCGTCTCTCTCGCCCTTACGGGCGAGAGGCGAGCTCCGTCTCTCTCTTGGCTCCCTCGCTGGCTTCCCTTTTTCTCGCCCCCGCCGCCCTGGGCGTCTTCCGCCTGGCAACCACCCCTGCTGCCTCCCGCGGCTAAACTGATTACAGCTCGGCGCGCGTTACCCCTCCGTCCTCTTAATGAAATTACAAGCTCACAATCATCTAATGTTACGTGGACCCCCGGCACGCTTTCTCGCGAGCGTCTGCACCGGGTCGGACTCTTCCGGCCACCCTGAGACCCCGGGTCTCCGACGAGGAATACCCCTCCTTGCTCTTCAGGGACTTTCTTTGTTCCTCCCACGCCCTCCTCGCGACTGGGAGGTTCGAGCTAAACATAGGAATCGATGATAAGAACTCTGAACTCGTATCCTAGAATTTGTACCTCACTTTTAATCTATTCCGATAAGCGTAATTTATACGTAGATAAGTTTCTTATGTAAAATACGTCTTTTTTGTGATGATTTAGTGGATAGGGCTAAAAGTGAGCGGTGGAAAAAAAAAATCCGGTGCTGTAATTTCATGACGGAAATTCTTTTTACAGTCGATCCTGAGAACGGTTACTCCTCCCGGGACCGTGATGGAAAATAGAGTACGGGGAAAAGGAGAGCCGCACGGTAGCGTGACGCTTTATTCCTATGGGTCGCCAGGGAGGAGGGGAGCCGGCGGACCGGCCGATATTTAATCAACTTTCCAGGAGAATATTATTCTCCGGACAAATCAAGGACATATGTAGCGGGCCGCCATGGGGGTCGGGCTCGCTTCCGTGTGGGTGCGCACGCACCCGGTATGGCCGCCTGCGCGGGCGCTGCTGCGCATGTGTGAGTGTCACCCTTCGCTCCGTGTCACACGGTCGAATCCAGGTTAGGTCGCACCCGGGCCGACTTTCCTCGGAAAGGCCATCCACCGGGCAAACCTTTTGCGAAATCATTGCCAAGCGGTACTTCGGTTACGATATGACGCCACTTTCCGGGCGAACAGGGCATGGATGAACGCAGGGACGAAACGACTCGTTTCGAAGACTATCGGCTCGTTTACGTTGAATCGGATAGTAAGTTCGTGTCTATTCCTCGGGTGGAGGCGCCTGAAATGGCTGGCGAGACTTATATCGCTCTTGCATCGTTTTAATGTCGGTCTAATTGTTTCAGGTGAGCGGAAAGTGGAGTCGCGGCCGCCATGACACTTTTGCGTTCGCGGCCACAGCAGGGAGTCATGGTAGGTCGCGGGGCTTGGCAGCACGTGTCAGTGTGCGGCACTTGACAGCCGGTGGAAGAAGATTCCCCAGGGGAGTAGACCCGCGTTTTCCCTCCGGCTCGTGAGAACAAGTGCGACACTCGTGTCGCACCGCGGCCCTTTTCGCCGAGCGGTCGCCGTCCACCCCAAAAGGGCGCCCAACGACCGGACGACGTCGCCATCGATAAATTCTCTCTTCTCTCTCCGCTCTCATCCGCAACTTCACCGAAGACCAACGAAGTCCTGGAAGAGATCTCCCGACTTTTTGCCTCCTTTCTCGGCTTCGTTATCGCCGCACCAGGGGATGCTCTCCTGACTGGTAAATGAACGCTGGTTTATGTTAGCGATGTCGAATAACGGTAGCTCCCGCCAGGTCGTAAATGTCCCCAATTTCGCACACACCTTAAATCAAAGTGCCCACAAATTGCCCACCACTAGGAAGCGATGCCAAGACCGCCATATTTAAATGTACCTGATGCACATTACGGACTACTTACGGCGAGACCGACATCGCTTCGGGTCGGTTATACGTAATCTCTACTTATCCGACCCGGTTGCTTTATCCTAATTAATTAAATGCTCATCCTGGGGTACAGGTGTGCGGAACCAGTCCGGATGAATCACCCCGTGAAGGATTATATCAAAACATCCGACATATCGAGTTTCCATTTGTCCATACTGCCGATCGGAACGACACGTGCTGAACGTACGCGCATTCGTCCGCGTATACAAACGTTATCAGACCGACGGTCCATCGTCTACATAATACATGTAATTAATGTGCTCGACGTGGTCGTGTAACGTGGACAGCGCCACGTGACGAATCGTCGATCGCCTCAGGATGAGAAAGATATATTTTCGGCAAATATTTCGACCTGTTGTCGCCTCGTGGGTGTGTACACGTGTTCGTGATAAGCAAATGCAAGACCGAGACTGATTTTGCTCATCGCGAACACGTGTAGCTCGTTTCAGGAGGGAAACGTGAGAATTTTTGACGGCCATTCGGTTATTTCCGGGGCGGATAAATCGGAGGCTGTAACATGGAATCGAGGAGGGAACGATTAAGTATAAACCCCGCGGTGACAAGTGCGAATCGATCCTGAAATCCGGTGACATGCGCCGGAAACGTTTCCCTTCCTCGTGTAATCCCGGCTGCAGCGAACTCGCGCTCTCCCCGACTACCTTTGTCTCCTGCAAAGCGCAGCGCTCTTGTAAAACCGTAATCGCGGAGTTACTAACATCCCCTTAACAAGGGAAAATGGCGGCGTTCGTTAGGACGTAAATCCGTGCCGGAAATACCCGCGATGTCTCTTTCGGTCGGGACTCGATTTAAATTATTAAACTCGATTCGCCCACAGCGGCGCACCGATTATCGACTCGAAATGGTCGCACGGCGGAGGTCCGTTTAAATGGCTAAGCGCTCCTCTAGAAATTCTAAAACTCAAGAAATTCCTTTTGGGAGGGGCGATTTTTTTTTTTTTTTGTAATTGCGCACGGAGGATATACAAAAGCGACTCCAAGTACCAATGAAAAGAATTGCGGATGCTGTAAAAGTGGTGAAAAGTGATGTAAAAAAATGCAGCCAGGCCAGGAAGGACATTCCAGCGGGAGGTTCGACCTAACCTGAAAAACGAATACGGGCCAGGGAATGATCGGGTAATCACGTTTCAATTGATTTCAAGGACATAAACGGTAAATTGCTTTCGCCGGTCTCGTCGTCTATAAATTCTACGAAGAGGTTAGGAGCGTGGGAGTAGAGAGGCGAATTCGTCGGGCGGGCGTAAACGAGGGCGGACGCGGTCGCCGTCGAACAGGAGAGTGCACCTGAAATCCGGGCCGGAAGCTGCGAGGCGGCTCTTCCGGAATCTGGCCTTGGCGTCTCCCTCCCGTCGGGGCGGGCGACGGTGCGGGATCGATCGTAAAATCAAGGGCCGGCCGCTCTCGGCATTAGGCATGATCGGAGGATAGCGGCGTTCCGAGGGTGGCCAGGTGGGGGAGCTGGGGTAGCGCCGCGAGGTGAGGGGAGTCATCTCACGCGGCGATTGGGTGATTCCGATGCGGGCTCGCTCGCCAGGGGGGGCGCGGTGGCTCGACCAACGGGAGACTCGCTCTGCCGGCGGAGCCGGCCGACCCCAGGCCACGCCCCTTTGCTCCCTTCCCGCCGGTTATTGAATTAAGCTTATCATTTGATTTTGAGGAGACCCACCAGTCGGTCGTCTCGGGCGCTCTTAAGCGGGCCGAAAAACTCCGCCGCGGGATAATCGCAATAATTTGATATCGCTTATCGGATTACGCGTAATAACCGGTCGGCCGGAGTGCCTCGACGGAGAGCGAGAGAGAGAGAGAGAGAGAGGGCACCCGCGGGTGTCCGGCCGCGAGTGAAGGAGTTCGGCCGCCGGCCGCGCCACCGTCGCCGGTCGCCGGTCGCGGGTGCGCGCGCACCGCCCGGCAGGCCGACCGCCGGCGCCGGCTGCCGAGCGCGACACTCGACGGTGCCGCCGCGTCGTGCCGCGGGAGCGGCATGGACTACTCGTACTTGAACCAGGCCGCGGCCGCCGCCGCGGCCGGCTTCGAGGCCTCCAGCTGCGCCCTCGCCGCGTCCGAGATGCAGTGCGGGTACGCCGACCTCGGGTCCTGCTCGCAGATGAGCCAGGCCGCGTATCGGTACACCGCCGCCAGGGCCGCCGCTTATCCTGGCAACGCCACCGCCGCTGCCGCCGGGGGCGCCCCCCTCGGCGCCCACCATGCCGCCCACCCGCATGCCCACGCGCATCACGGGGCCCACGCGACGCCGTGTTCCGTCATGGCCGCCCGGTCCCAGGACGTGCACCGACATGCTGCTTCCATCTTCCCCTCCGCCATCAACCTGCAAGGTGAGTCGAATCATTTCTAACGGGCGTCTTTGTCAACCTTCTCGATGTTTGGCGACATTTTTTGTATCTCTACACCTAGTATGGGGGTTATACGCCGTTTTTATTATTCACGAGGAATGCGAGATCAAACAATGACCATTCTGGTCTTTGTTTCGGGCTACGTTTTGTGTACTCGTGGGTTTGTTTTGGTTTCGGAGTTAGGATCCGATCGTCCGGTCAGAGGTGAAACTGTAAGAGGGATTTTGCGCATTATCGGAAACGGGGTATTTTTCGTGAGTACGTCACGCCAGAATATTAAGGGAATGTTGGGTATGCCAGGTATATATATATTTCACATCCACAAAGGCAGTAGAACGGCTAAAGAGTGAACCGAGTTGTTTACATCTCTCTGTACAATCGCGGTAATTTGGCGACGGTTAGTTTCTTTTTCTTTTTATTCCGATGAATGACCGGTTTGGTAAATAAAAATCCGCCGGTAATTTTGCGTTAATTAATATTCAGGGGCTTGTTGGATTTTTAGCAGCATGTACTCCAGTTCCTCGATATCGATAAATTTTGAGATTATCTGAACTTCCGAATTATTTCCGCGGAAAACGCAAGACCGCCGACGCGTGTCCCGAGTCGCGCGAAATTGGCGAGCCGCCATGGACGCTGATTTATCTAGAGGGGGCGGGCTGGAGTTCCTTCCGGGAAAGTAACCATTAAAATTTCCCCCACGAACGGGGGGGGAGAGCGGTCCCAAAAGTTCCCCGGGAAAGCCGTCGAGTCTGGCGGTGAAGCTCGGTAGGAAAAAGAGCGCTAAAAGCTCGCAAACTGGGAACTTTCCGACTCGACTTCGGGGCGCCTAATGGCTGCGCACCAGTTTCCAACGAAACAGCGGGAACGGTTTTTTAAGGTATTTATTATAAATTTCCGGGAGAAATAAAACCCTCGTAAATTTTACCCAATATTACGTTGTTACACTTATATTCTCTTTTTGAGGCTGACGTCTATTTCACAGCTCGTGATGATATTTCATTTGATAGTTATTATTTTTTTTTTTGGGGGTAGTATCGTGTCTGTCGGAAAGACGTTCATGTCCCCTGGTGTACTTGAATAATTGTGAGAAATGTAACGGCTGATCGAAGATCACCGATCGGGACGTCGGAATGAAACTTCGCGAATGATTGAAGACGAGCTTTCGACGCTGGGAGGGTAGACGGGATCGATCGAGGGATCGATCAATTTGTATGATCTCGAGCTTGTAAAATAGACATACCTCGTTCTCGGGGAATCCGGTATCCCGCCTGAAAGCCGGCTACATTATGGAGAGTACTCGCCAATTTTGGGATATCGTTGTTGTACGAAAATACATCCCGTCGTCGGCGCGAAAATCGTGATTCCACGTCGCTTTCGAGACGTCTCCGTGGCGGGAATTAAAATTGAAATTGCCGTCCGTTCGTGAGAAAATATCAAACAATAAGATGCACTCGGTTTAGGGTGGAGCTTCATAAAAGATTGGCCCTATCAGGCGTCACTCTTTCCTGTCGACTTGGCTAATTTCTAATCGCATTCTTAACCGTATTTATTATCCACGAGTCCACCTAACCTCTCTCGGAAAAGGTTCTTCTGGGTGGAAGGGGCAGGAGGTAGTCCTTAATTCCTCCAAGATGGAGACCTCGTCCGGGGGCGTCGCGGCGCCTCGCGTCGCGGGACACGTCCGGACGTACCGGGAAGTTCCCCGAGAAGCGACGACACCGTGCCACTGAAAATCAATGGATGGCCTTCCTCCTCTCTCTCGCACTCGGCCGCGCCGGCCTCGCTCCCTCTCCCTCTCTCGCCCTCCCTCGCTGCCTCCGCGTCTCCCTCAGTCATTGCTATGGTTACGTCCCTAGCGTTAGCAACCATCGGCCGTCCTCCTTCCTCCCCCGCAGCCCCCGCTCTCCTCTCTCCGTCTCCGCCTCTTTCCGACCCTTTCCCCTGGTTCCTTTGTCCCGAGGAAAAAGTCGATTATCACGTATCGATCCCCAGATCAAGGATCCCTTTTTCTCCATCCCTAGTTTCCTCGTTTTGCCATTTTGGTACCCGTTAACATTAAATTTCCAATTTCAATATTCTACACAGCCTGACCTAACCTAACTTGGCGTAGATAACAAAAGTATCTAAAAATGACCAGATCGTTGCATAATATGTTATAATAGTAAACCGTGGAAAAAAACCGAGGGCGGGTCGCGAGGATGGGCCTCATAAATCTGTTATATAAAAAAAATGGAAAAAGGACAACTCCATTCTGTATCTCCCTCGCTGGAGTGCGGGATGCAAAATTCGGGGCGCTTCGTCCTTCCCTTTCTCCCCTGTGTGGGCGTAAAATTGAAAAACGCCCGATTGGCGGCGGATCGATCTTCGAGATTTCGAGGGGACAGGAAAAAATAGCTTTTCATTCGGGTCGGCTGGCTCATCCGGAGATCCCGCGTGTCGCGCGGTCAACTCGCGATTGACAAAACCATTGTGTCCGGCTTTTCACGTTTTTTTTTTTTCGTTTTTTCCCCCGACGCATCAGCGAACCCTCTGCGACTAATCGAGGAAATCAATGCTGCTTGATAACTGCTCCACTATTGTTTTCCTCTTATTGATATTGTTATAACACTTGGAGTTGATTGCTAACCGTATAAAAAAATCTGTTCTTTATATATATATTTTTTTTTTAATCCCTGGTTCAACTACCGAGCCGCCGTCCTTTTAGTTGCTATTGATTTTTGGCATTCATTATTTATAACACATCATGCTTTTAGTAATTGCTTATTCCTGGAATTCTTTTCAATTCTATATTCATTCTTAATATCCACCTATTCTCCTCGTTATTTATTTATTTATTTTTTAATCCGTGGAGTCTCTTAATCGTTCGGTTATGCGTCGAGACAGGAGGAGCGAAGCTTAATGGGCAAGAGTTGAATAACTTGAGTTTCTGAATTTTTGTTGACCTTGTAATATTCGGATTATTAATTATTATTTAATTAATTGCCGCAGGAGGACTGGGATACAAAGCGTACTCTGGACACGACGGCCTCGCGGAGAAGAGGAAACAACGTCGGATACGAACGACTTTCACGTCGGCTCAGCTGAAGGAACTCGAAAGGGCGTTCCAGGATACGCACTACCCTGACATCTACACGCGAGAAGAGATCGCTATGAAGATCGATCTGACCGAGGCGAGAGTCCAGGTTAGTCCGATTATGGGATAAAGCTTCAGCTCCTTCAGGGCCTTCTTCGAGAACTCCAGCTCCCTCCCTAGCCGATCCCTCCTCTCAAGGGTGGCGGGGGCCAATCGGGATCCTCGAAGGCGGGAAAAATGAAAAACGACGAGTCGGCGGCCCTTCGGCTCGTTAATATTCCACCAGGGCAGGGTCCCTTCGGGTGGACGGGGGGTGCTACCGAAGCGCACCGTGTAATTACATTACCAGCCCTGTTTTCGTTCTCGCGGGCACCTGCAGACACGACCTGATGGATTATATTGCTCGACACACTTGACGGCTTATCCGGGAACTCTCGTCCCGGGTCTGCGCGGCTCGCAGAGGCGGTGCAAGGAGCACGGTGCGCGACAAGTGCACCGGGTGACAAGTGACGAATTAAGGGCACGTCGCGAGCGTCGTTCTTGACGGATCTCGTCGATCGACGTCGAATCCTGGATATCCGTCCGTGTATCCTGACCTTTCCTACACGCGTGTACCCTCGGTACCCGGAGAGTACCGACAAACGTGACATATCAGGAACTCCCTTAAATGTACTTGGCTCGAGACTCTACGGAAGCAAGGGCCGCCTCTCGATAAGCTCATTAATGTTGATTAGGGACGCAGACGACTCCTGGTGCTATCTTTGTCTTATCCTAGCTTTAGAGGGGCCCTCGTTCGCCGCGGTGTCTAATATCGTTAGTCTCCTCGAAGCGTCTTAGATCCCAAAGATTCCCTCCTGATGTGTCTCTTGCAACCTCCAACCGATCTCGTTCACTCCCGGGTGTCTATTCTAACAGACTGGAGATCATGTCTAATTCAACCGACGCCGAGTCTGCTCCATCGAGGCCCGAGCGGGCCTCCACTCGATTAGGGAGCTCGAAGTAAGGAGGGACAAATCGCCCATATCGCGCTCTATATATAAATATACTTCATGGACTTAGGATATATAGAGCCTGCAAACTCGACCGTGGATATTCTTGTTAAGATGAAGAAAGAGGAAAGAGAAAAATAGGGGAACCATTCCCGCCCTCTCTCTTGCGGTTAAACGCACGGTCCGCCATATTGTTTTCCCGACCGCGTAAAAATATTAGCCCGAGGAATAATTTCCCGTCGTTTTTCACGTAACTTAACGCAATTAAACTGCGGTAACTTAATCCTCAAACTAATTTTTCTATTGAGAATTTTATTTTCGAGGCGTATGTGGTCAAATCAGCGGGCAGGGTCTATACATTCAATGGCCATGGGTTCGCGTGAAGACTTTCCCCTCGGTCAAGGCGTCTCCGTCGAATTGGACAAGTTTTGGGCGAGGCGTCGGAAGAGCTCGTGAGCATAAGTAAAACTCGGGGACCAATGATAACGCGAGTTGGAGAAGGGCGAAGAAGGGAGCGGGAGGGCTCGGAGGGCGGGAAGGGCGCGCCGCAGGGAGAGGGGACAGTTTTATCGAGCAGCCACCATGACACTCACCGGCTCCAACGGAAAAAGCCAATCGGCGGCCCGCGACTCGCGAAGACCGAAACCACTGAAGGATTCCGTTAATGTGGATCTAGGAAGAAAGGGTATTAGATACCGTACGAAGTACATAGTAACATGTTACTGTTCCCGATACTTGGGAATTTTATCAGCTAAAAAAAACTAACGCGATTTCAACATCCTCATAAATTTTTCAAGGTGATTTGTGGTATCTCTCGTTGTACTTCGTTTATTCTTTAGACTTCCATGCGTCGCCGGTTGCGCTCTCGTGCGGCCGCTCGGCGAACCTTCGGCGGCAGCCACAAACTGCCGGGAAATTGATTGTTAAACCCGCGGTAATAACGGCGCGGTAACGAAATCGTCGAGGTCGGTTTCCGCGTTTCTCCAAGTCGCGATTAACCGGGATCTAGTGGTATCTAGAGAGGGAAAGGGAGCGGCGAGAAACGCGACCAAGATGGCGGCGCGCACTTGCCGGCCATTTTTAATAAGCTGGCCGAAACGAGAATGGAGGACTCGGAGACTTCGGTTATAGGATTCAAACGACTCTCGCGGTTCGATGATTCGCCCAGGAAATTGAGGTTACGTTCCGATTTTTTTTAAACCCCCTCCTCCCGCGTGGCGCGCAGCCGACGCAATTTACATTATTGAAACAACCGTCGGGGGGTCAGCGAGTCCCGACAGCGTGGCACGAAAATATTGCGCTTTAATATATTAGTCCGCGTTTACGCGTTTCCTGAGTGACGGAAATACGCGGAAAACCGCCGCCTACGTCCTTTCTATGTACTCCATGCATTTCCGACCTGGGTTAATGCTCTTGGGCTAGGATAAAGTTATATATCCGTTTTCGTAAATTTCGCGTAGCAAGATGGCGACGCTTTATCTAATGGCAAGAGAGACGGGACAGTTTATTAATCCTCTGTCCTTTTCACTGGTTTCGTAAGAATACCAAGGGGGTGTTCGGTATAAACATTTTTCTCCGGCACGAGACTTCGCGAGTTTTACTTAGGAGGATCTCTTATATTCTTGGGCGATTAATTATCCAGACTCCGGGAAACGTTTGCTCGCGTGAGCGGGGCTTACTTGTCCCGCGGTTGAATTTTTTAAGCCGACCCGACAACCCTTGCGCACGTTTTTTTTTTTTCTTTACCGAACCTCAAACCGTACAAAGGAATTAACTCAAAAAGATACGGGGTAAAGGGTGCTTTTTAACGATAGAAGACAAGAAGTTGACACCGAACAATGGAGAAGAATACTCGATGTCGCGTAATGGGGCCGACGATTTTTCGGGGGTTTCGCCATAAATCAACGGCATGCGTGTAAATCATGCCGCGCTTTATGCAGAATACACGTAGGTGCACGCGGGTGCGCCTTAATGGAATTGTAATTCACGCCGAACGACCGTCGAACGACGCGTGAGTCAGATGGCAACGCGCCGCCACGCGTCGGATGGATCGTGGCGGGTGTCATGGCGGACCAGAGGGGACCCACAAAGGGGATGAGCTCGGCTGGCAAGTGGCGGCGATCCAATTAGGAGGAAGACATCCGATCAGGCTCGACGACGACACGGGCACCCGGAAACGCAGGTTTAACCGCTGCCCCCGTCGGCGCTAATATTTTATGACTCCATTGCTTCATTATTCGGTTACTTGGCTTTTTAAGCCGCGCCCGAAAAAGAGGTTAAGCGCGACCAAGTGCTTTATACTACATGGTCGTTATCGGGATATATATATATGGCTAGGAAATTTCGACAGTTATATTCAATGGTGCTCCCAGTGACGTAAGACTTTTCAGTAAATCCAATTTTTTTCTTGTCATGGCTAGATTGCTGTAAATATGGAAATTGAAAATTTTCAAAGGAGCGCTTCTGGGTATGAGAAGTCTTCAGCTTGTGAGGGGGATTCGATCGGAAGGTTGGGAAGCTCTTTCCGGTGCAAGGAAGAGGTCGGAAGAGGAAAGTCGAGGAATTCAGGAGCGCCTTGGAGGGTTCCGGAAATCAACGACAATTTCTTTCCTCCGGGGAGTGCGGAGGGCTCGCGGGAGACACGGCTACGGAGAAGCGAGGGCAACAGTCAGTCAGCCGAGGGGCGAGGGAAGTTAGGTCGGCCCCGCTCCCCCGAAGCCGGGCGAGATGGGAAAACCCTGGAGAGCCGGCTTGGTTGCTCGGCTCGGGGGCAGACGTCTTTTTACAACTCCGTCCAATGGCTGCTTAAAGACGCTTTTCTTATTTCTTATGGTGTTCCATGAGTTTCATCTTTCCCTTGACAGATCGTTAAACCCTGCTATATCAAGAAACTAGAAACGTCAAGTTGTAAAAACTATTTATTATTAAGACTTCCCACGTATTCGCGTCCTGCCCTTGTCAGGGATATTGGCTAAATTATCACACGACATTTTTCTACAAAATTTTACAAGGACGTTACTAGATTAGAAATTAATTTCGAAGCTTATCATAAGTTTATAACGACTCGCACTTGGGACGTGAAGTTAATAATTTTAGTATTCTAGATTCCGGGCAGTTTTTCCGTCTTGCCAGGGTTGTATCGGGGAAAGTTGTGCGGGATGACTCTTTTCGGGCCCTATTACGGAGTACTCGCTAGGGCTCATGGTAGTGCGCTGCTTCGCCGCGACGCGGCGCTGCGACCTCCAGGGGGTGACACAGACGCGCCCCGGTAATTGCGAGCTCTATGTAGATCCACTTACAGTGATTAAAAACTGCCCTGCTGGGCGACGCGCCGAGGAGCGCGACCGGCCAATCCCCGAAATGTTTGTCCATCGAGAGGGGAGGAAACGCGGCACGGCCCCGATGCACGCGGTAATTAAGACGGCGCTCTCGCAGGGCGGAAACTTTCCCGAGCGCTCTACTTAGCGATGATTGCTCCCAAAGCGTTGCCGGACCTCGCGGCCGCCTCTCGGGGACGATAAAACTGCCCGTCGAGAGCCCCGAATCGGGGAAAACACTTTCGACGCGGCGTACGTTGTTCCGAGGGAGATAAGTTCCCGGGGAGATGCGCCGCCGAGGTCGGCCCACCTTTAGGTTAACCCTGAGTTTTACCCCACGCGGCTGAATAATGCAGACGGCGGGGTTTGCGGGTCGCTCGTCTGGATTATTCGGGGAACCCCGACCTCCTCGACTACGGTTGCGGGCTCCTACGCTAATCGGCGTTTCGTTAACTCCACGACCGGAAGTGTAATTTCGTTCCGGGTACGGAGGGACGGCTCGAAAGCTTAAGGCGACGCGAAAGTCGCGGTCGATGAGGTCTCCTTTATCATCATCTCCGAGCTGGGGGTGCCGAATTTTTTAAGAGCAATGTTAATGTATCGTTAAATATCGTTATTTAAAATATTCCAAGACGCGGAGAGTTCGATGCTCGTCCTTCGGGAGCTCTCGAACAATGGAGCCGACCCTAATGGCTGGGAAATGAATTATCTCCCAGCTCGGGGACGGTGATACACGACGCAATTAACGCGTCGCTTAATCGAAAGGCCAGCCGATACTTTTCCGATCCCTGGGAAGTTGTACCGCCGATTGGATTGCCCGTTCCATTCGCTGTCAGGGAAATCTGACCACCGGGCGTAAGGTGGCGGGGCAACGATTTGCAAATTGGCTTTCTCGCGATTTTCCCGCCACCGGTGGGAATGTTCGCCGGGAGGAAATAAAAGCAGAAGGAGGAGAGAGGACACCGCGGGTTTCCGAGGCCCTTGATAAAGACCGTTATCGCAAGAGATGCCTCGTGGGGCCTCGGGGAAGAAGTGAAATCACGGCTCGGGGGGGCAAACACGCGGAACCGAAATCGCTTGACGGTACATCCGCGGAATTCCTGATGCGGCCGCGCCGCGCATACCAATGGGACTCCCTCTCGGCCAAAAGGTGGACCGGGATGAAAGTAAACGACCCACGTCCGTCGAATCGACTCGGGGTTAGGCTTTGTCCGGCAAAACGGCACGCGGAACGAACCGCGTGCCGATGGGCCGCGCAGATGTCACGGGTTTGGTTTGTTTGCCGAAATAAGGGCGACGCGGGCCGATTAAATATTTATACGCCCCCCCCGTCGACATCTGTCGCGTGGCCTTGTTACATTTTATTTAGCGCGACGTATTTGTCTAACATTAACGCCCGAGCTGCGGTCGCGGCCAGCGTCAACACGAACATAACCTCTTAACCTAAGCCGGGGGGACAGAGGGTATCCGACCTGTCTGCGCTAACTAGGGGTGAATATGCCCCCGACGAGGGGCGACTAGTCGAGCATCGCTTCCTCGTTTAGCGTAACAAGTGGCAGGGCATCGCCCGGATTAAGGGGCCCTGTGACGTTTGCCGAATTTAACACGGGGGGTGTATTATGATATGCCGTACGCGCCTTCTCTCGTGATCTTACGTTTATCACCTGATAAGCGTCGAGAGAACCGAGACGCGATTCTCGAGTTCACGCGGATTTTCTTCGCATAGGAATAGAGATACGGATGAAAAATTTTCCATTGTTGCGAAGTCCCGTTATTGGGCAACATTTCAAAGTGTCGATATCGCATATGAAATTTCATCATGTGAACTCGAGAAAATTCATATGAATTATTTCCGTTTACCCCGCAGTTGGAGAGCGTCGCGCTTATGCGTGCACTTGGTGCGGCACTCTGTAGGGCTTCTTGATACGAGGTTTACGATGGCCGATAATAAATTCGATGTTTGCCGTCCGGAAAAGGCAATCACGCTCGTCACGGTGGATGTGAACTTTCCTCTGTTGGTGGTGATCGCGGTCCGTCGGGTATGAAGCCTACACAGAGGGTCCGTCGGGAGGTTGCGCGGCGCCACCGTCGCTCGGGCCGCCGAGAGCAAACAAATTCCCCACTTTAACATGCAGGTCACCCGGCGTCCCGTTTGTTTTATTTGTTAAATATTTCATTTGCCAACTAGAGCCAATTACCGGTCGCGCATGGACGGGGCCGGGGGTTCGGACGTCTCTTTTTACGAGCCGAGGGCCGCCATGTTGGCGAGAGCGAGACTCGTTTGCCGGTCCAGGGCGTCGAATTATCTCTCGTCATGGTGTACGCGAATACCTCCCCCGCAGATATGCCGGGGGTATATTTTCTGTCCAATCCGACGCCCCGGGTTAAACTTCCCAGATAATGACTAGGTGAGCACTTCGCGGCTACGTGCGCTTATACGCGTTTATACGCTGGCTGCCGTTAAACTTGCAAGGCCTGGAACTGAAGCTAACGAATTAACGATATTTCTAGATTCAAATGCTACAGCTGACATACTTTAGAAGCTACGTCTCGGGTTTCGTTATTTCTTCCTCTGGCGTAATTGGGCGCTCGTCTTATTTTTTTGGACTTTTCGGCCATTGCGATACGTATGTGTATTTGGCGCGAAACGCTGTCGAGTTTTTCGATGGACTTCGGAGTAAACGGTCCTTTTTTTTTTTTTTTGCGGTTCCAGGTGTGGTTCCAGAACAGGCGCGCCAAGTTCCGCAAGCAGGAGCGCCTCGCCCAGCAGAAGTCGAGCAACCAGGGCGGCGTCGGCGGCGACAGCGGCGCCTCTAGCCCGGTGTCGGGGAACGTGAAAGCGGAGGGCCGCTCGCCAAGGAGTCCCGCGACGCCACCCGGCGTCGTCTCCTCGGCCGAGCTGAAGCCGATCACCAACCCTAACCTCGGAAACGTGAAGCACACCCCGGACGGCCCTGGCGAGGGTAGCTCCCCGAACGGCCGCGGCGGCGGTGGAGGCGCTTGGGGCTCTTGCAGCCCAAGACCCTTCTCCGCAGCCCTACCCCCTTACCTCCTGGACCCACTGCCCCTCAAGACCGCAAACCTCTACTAATCGGTCCAATTTCGTCCGGAATGAGTCCTCGGTGATTATGTACATAAGGGTCTAAACATGATTCGAGGACGGGCTGCTCGGAGGTGGAACCCCGAGCGCGTCCGAAAGGTCCTTATCGTGGACGTAAAGGAACTTCGTGTTTTATCCGCGCCAAGGTACTTGTCGCGTATAAAAAGTCCTTATGGTGGAGGTAAAGGTATCCGGTGATTCGTCGACGCCAGTGAACTTGCATGATAATATCAAGGGGATGAGTGGCCCCCTCTCTACGAACCAAATTCGCCCGACAGTTGCAGGAAAATGAGCCTTATGTCCCCGGCTCCCCCTAATCAGCAGGTCGGTAAACACGTGCCCCATATTCCATGCCGAGGGGGCTCTCAATCGTAAATACCAGTTCCTTATCGTCTATTTTTCGCCATGGAAGGGAACACGTATTTTTTTTCTTATTTCTCTTTCTCTCTTTTTTTTTTTTATACGGTCGCCATCGGTCGTTAACTCAACATTGTCCAGTTCTTGAAGAACAAATTGACACGCTCACGCCTAGGACGTCAGCATTCGATGCAAATCGTGTTTAATCTTTAGCCTGGCACGCCTCCTGGTGCGAAACTTCGGCCTTGTTTGGTTTGTACCAAAGCATACAACGAGGAAACCCCTAATGCAAACTTCCTCGACGTCGGGCGACAAATACGAAACACAAATCGGAAGAGCCCCTCGGACTTCAATATTCATGCGATTCCGTTGTTGGAGCTCGATCGTAAACGCGACATATACGTTATATATACATATATACATACATACATACATCTGTGCCATAGAAGTAAATTATTATTTTCTCTGATTTTCTTTTTGCCTTATCGTGGAGTTCCCCCTCTCTAAAAATGGAGGACTTTCCGTCTATGGTACAGATATATGTATTTGAATGTATAAGTTCCTAGAGAAGTGACGTGGCAGTAATTTCACTTCTATTTATTTATTTAATTATTTATTTATATTTATATTATTTATAATTTTATAACGTGACGAGTGCGTCCTCCGGTTCGCGTCGGACTGGTTTCTTATTTTATACGCGGGTCGCCTTGATTGTTTATTAATTTTTTTTCTTTCCAGCTCGAGTAATATGTTCGAGTAATGCGCTGATAGGGTCGTTAGCTGTCCTGGGATCGATTAATCGTTATCGATTAACCGCGGGACCAGCACTCCGGGCAGCCCAGTCCTCGGCGTCGGTATTGTTAAGGTTAAACACTATTATATCATTATGTGTGACTGGAACTTGTACAGTTGTTGCTATAAATATATGAAAATTAGTGTTTTACAGGACACCCTGCTTGACTTTCCTGTCGCCCCGGTTCCGACCACAGCGAGTCCTTCCCGATACGTAAAAGTGAGGATGTCCGGTACGACTAATCGTGATTAGGATTGGAGGTAATTAAGGAAGATAATTAAGGGGATGTGAAAGTGGCATCCGGAAAGGCAATCGTTCGTGAAACATTTCCACGGAGTGGGTGTACCGAATCGTTTCAAACTTTACAACCTGAATATGAAGGTTTCAAGGTAGATCCTGAAACTCGTGAAATTTAATTTTTTAGAAAAAAAAAAAAATGGTGAAAGCATCTGTAAACAAATTTTGGAAAAATTTAAATTGTATGGTTGTCAGGACCTTCTTTGTGGCTTCCATATTTACATTGTCTAGTTCCAAACGATTCGGTACACCCAAGTCGGAGGGAAGCTTCATAAACGAGATTCCACTTTCATACGACCTTAAGTTTAGGAGTGGCCAGGTTAGAAGTAACCGAGCAAGACTCAAGCCAGTTAAAGAAGGAACGAGCCTTTATTCGAGAATTGTTCGAGCCTTTACAGAATCCCGCGGCCTTGGACCACGGGGCGCTCATCGAACACGCGAAAGCAACTCCAAGCGGCCTCTCCGCTGCGGTCCAGAGCGAGGAGGGAAAGACTCAGTTTACCCCGATCACTTGGTACTTATACTAAAGACCTGGTTTTAGCAACCCCTCAGGGTAAACGATCGAGTGTCGCCTTGAGACGGTACGATACGTACATACCCAGAAGGTTTAGTGAAACCGCACCTTTAGTGAGCGTAATTGGCAGTGATCGGGGTAGACTAAGGCAAAATGTACTATTTTCTCAGTGGAGGCATCCTCAGCATCTGGCACCCTGGACCGGGTTCCAGGATGGAGTCAATCCAGCTATCTCTTTCTCTTTTGTTCGGTTATCTCTTTCTGCGAGCGACAGGGTGTTCGACGTACGTACTGCGAGGGAACCTGCGGCCTCTTCGGGGCTTCGGTTCCCTCGTCAGGGTAGTGGGAGTTGAAAGGGCGTCCGGGTGCTCGTCGTCGGTCGCGTCGCCCTCGCTCGCCGGGAAGTCTCGGTGGAAGTCAGGGAGACGTCGATACGTCCTGCCGGGGCGGTCGTTCGTGCAGCTCCGATAGAAGCTCGTCAGGGTCGGCGGAAAAAGGTCGTCTTAGAGTGGGACCAGGACTGGGCTTTGAGGTCCCCTCGGTTCCGTACATCGGGTTCCTGGGTCCCGACTCTCCGAATTTTTCGGGACTTGTGGAAGAGGAAGTGGAAATAGGTAGAATTTGGAACATGGAATAGATAGTTTTCCGCCTGGCAGCTTGGACCCCTGGAACCTTGGGTAGTGCCGTTTCAAGATGGTACCGTGATGGTATCGTGGGTATATCATGATGGGACCGTGATGGTACCGCGACAATGCCGTAATTTTACCTTCACGGTACAATATCCTGATATTACCACGATAATATGACAATCCCATAGTAACACCATTTTTACCCTCGGTCCCTGGGGCCCATCGAAAACGTCCAAACATCCGATAGGGACATTTCGCAGCACCCAAGGCAACGTCAAGGTACAGTCGTAGACACGAATGCCTTCTCTTCTTACATTAGCGGTACCATATCCACAAGGAAGACATTCACGTCCCCCACTGTACGATGCAACGACAGAGGCCCCCGATGCGACAATTCCACCCTACACAGCGCAAGGAACCTCGAAGACGCCCTCGAAGTCGACCCTGGTACCCCAAGAGACGGATTCGATGAGGACTTCGAGGTTCTTCAGGGACGCCGTCGCATCCAGGGGGTCGCTGGGACGCGCCTCGAGGGACCGGTGCATCCGGAAGAGGGGGTTGAAGGATGGGCAGGTAATTTGGGGTAATTACGTTCGTCGCTTATCTCGTACGTCACTTGTATCCTACATTAGCTTAGGTCTAGGCCATCGTCAGGGTCCCGGCTCCCATGCCGAAGCCAACGCCTCGGGGCCCGAAGTTCCTGCCGTAACAGCCGCGGCAGTAGATGTCGCCGTCGGGACCGTCGTTCAGGTTCGTCGAGTCCAGGGAACGGTGACATTCGCCGCAGCTGAAGCATCTCTTGTGCCAGATCCTGTTCTTCGAGATCATCTGTTCGGCAGCGTACACCGGGTAGCCGCAACGAGAACAGCCAAGCCCGTCGTTTCTCTTCTGCCCGAGCTGGGGCTTCGAGTCGATACTGCGAAGAGATACCGATTGTCAGCACGAGAAGAACCATTAAGGTGATCCAAAAGTGGCTCTAGGGGTCTCGTTTCTCGCGCCAAGTACATCGGGGGTACTTACTAGGAGGGAGCCACGTCCCCGTTCGTCGATACGAGGGTCGGAGTGTGTCCGAATCCGAATCCTTTGGGGCCGAAAAGCTTGCTGTAACAGGAACGACAGTGGATTTCCTTGTCGGGACCGTCGCAGGCCAACATGGAGTCGAGCGGTCGATGGCATTCGGCACAGTTGAAGCACTTCTTGTGCCACATTGTGCCCTTCGCGAGCTGCTGTTCGGCTGCGAACACCATGCCTCCACATCGGGGACATCCTTGCCCTGCTGGTGCCTTGATGGAGGTCGTGTCGGGGTTGTAGAAGGGCCTGCTTGCCGAGATTTCGTCCTCCCTTAAGATGGCGAAAGGAAACGTGAACGTCTTCAACATTTTTCGGCAGGTAAATCACCACTTAAGGACGCATAAAAACAATCTTCTCGGCTATCTTTGCGTTAATATAACAGGAAAAAAAAATGTAATCGCGCCGTTAAGGCGACACGAAAGTGGCGGTTGCAAAATAGAAAAGGGCCATAAACGATGAGCTCTAGAGAAACGCCACTTTCACCTCACCTTATGGTGGTTGAAACGACATCGTCACTCACGTGAGTCCGTCTGTCTGCAGGAATCCGGAGCCGCAGGCGAAGCCGTAGCCATGGGGGCCCCATTTCTTTCCATAGCAGGTCTTGCAGTAGACGTCTTTGTCGGGACCATCGCAGGCGATGATGGAGTCGAGGGTCTTGGTGCAGTCGCGACATTTGTAGCACTTCCTGTGCCATTCGCGACTCTTTGCAAGGACCTGCTCCGCTGCAAAGACGACACCCCCGCACCTGGGGCAACCCTTTCCTGGGGGCGCCTTGATGGACGCCGTGTCGATCACGGTGGTTCGCGGAGCCGCGTCACTGTTTGAGGAAAAAGAAGGAAACGTGTTTACGAACATGTCCCGAAACCTCTTCAGGGGTTGACACACTCTGCAAGGTCTCCAACAAGCGTGGGAGGGAGACTCTTCAAGAGAGAAATGTCCGCCTCTCATCGTATCTCTTGGATGCATGCCGAAGAGGGCCTCGAAGAGCGCTGATAAAAATATTCCTTCGAATCGCGAAACCTTTTTCGAAATAACATATAACTAAAACGGCGGAACTCATTCGAAGTAGCAACAAAAAAAAAAAAAATTCACCGGTCCCTAACTTTCTCATTTTTTCTCATTATCGAGGCTCTTCGAGGACCCTCCAGAGGAGCTGAAGAGGAACCTGAAGAGAGCGTTAAGTGATAGCGCAAAGCGTTATAGGCGATCCAGGATGCAGTTGAGGGTGCACCGAGGAAAAAAATTGATTGATCGAAAGAAATATCCGCCAAGAAAATCCTGCGATCGGATACGTCCTTAGGAATGTCAGTTGGATAGAAAGAAAATTCATTTTAACCAACGTATAGTTTTTTTTCGACGAAATAAGGGCTTCTTGCGATCCGATATGATTCTGCCGATAATGCATATTTCTTTCGGTCAACTGATCTTTTTTCTTAGTGGGTCAGATACTGATATCACTCGATGGGGCGCGTACCCCTCGTCCTCGATATCGCACTGCAGCCCGATCCAAACAACCCCAGCATGGCCGATGCCTCGCGGTCCGAATTTCTTCGGATAGCAAGCTGTTAAGCAGAGAGTAAGCGCATCGTTACAGTCAGATTATAGATAAGCCGAGGCGAGGTTACGTTATCTCGCCCTCGGCTTGGAAACCCACCCGTTGGCGTAGCAGTCGCTCTGCAGGGCGCCGCCACCCTGGCCGTAGCCGTACCCCTTTGGCCCGAACTTCTTCCCGTAGCAGACTGAGAAGAATACAGATTAAACGTCGCCTGGTTGTCATCCTGGGAGACGAGGCGAAGATATAACCCTTATCATCTTCTACTGATTTTATATCGGCTCAAGGATCAGAAATGAATTTTTAACATTTTCCATTTAACGTCGGGGTACTAATTTGTTTAATTTTCTAAAATTCCACCGGCTGGTATGACAGTTTATAATTTATCTATATGCACTTATTACAGATTCCTGAACGGATTGATACTCTTGCATATGAATTTTATCTAGAAATATAAAATTAGTACCCAATGTGCGTGTAGGACACCTGTCGAAATTTTCATGAATTCTTATGAAATGGCAATATTTTTTATTAGTAGTGCAGAATTATCCGATGTCGAAGGTTTGCGAAAAGCTCGTCCTGAATCGCATATTTAGGGGTTTTAGAGGTCCTTGAGTCGGGATCATCCCTACGTCATATCTTCGCCGCTCTTCTCCGAGGAGACCTCACCTTTGCAATAGATATCCTTGTCAGGCCCCTCGCAGCAGTTGACGGAGTCTAACCTCCTGGTGCAGGTGGCACATTTAAAGCATTCCTTGTGCCATTGCTATACGAGACACAAAGGGTTCGGGTTAGTCACCGGAAGGTCCAGGGCTGTCGAGGGGCGCCTCGAATTGTCCTACAAATGATTTCCCCCCGAAGACCCCGAGGAGTCGAGCGGGACCAGTGGCGTGTCCAGAAAACGCTCTCCAGGGTAGAGGGGGTTATCGGGAGAACATTTTTATCAGTCCTCCGCGTAGAAAAAAATTTGGTTTACCCAAACCTAACATTTGGCGTGATCTACAATATTCTATGCAATCCATTGAAGGTGGTAACGATAGAATTTTGTCGCGTTAAAAGAATATCGCAATCGTATCGCATGAATAAAATGAGTTTTCACGGTTCTGCCGAATTTTTTTCTGCGCTTTGAGACGTGGGACGAAAAAAGACACGAACAAAGAGGCGACTGGACAAAGGGGGGGTTTTGACTCCTAAACTCCCCATGGAAACGCCACTGTGTGGGACCTGGCCGACCCTTTATAGGTGGGATTCGTTGGATCGGGTTTGGAACACTTTGCGCTGGTGCACACGAGGTTCTCTGGGTTTCTTGAGAAAAGAGAGGGAATTCGTCTATGGGGTTTCTGGGTCTTGGGGAAGGACAAGACAACTCATAGGGACAGACTCCAATATCTGGGCGCTGGTACCTCGACAGTATATCTCGCGATCGGGACCATCGCAATGGAGGGTTGAGTCCAGGGTCCGGTTGCAAACTTTGCACTTGAAGCATTCCCTATGGTAGCCCTAGTCACAAGAAGCAGGAGTGACAGTGGACTCTTTGGGCCATTCCGAGGCAGTCCGAGAAAGAGGAGCCTATCGGTTGTCCCGGTGCCCCGGGACCTCGTCCAGGTTCTGGAGACTCGGGAGAGTTTCGCGCCGAGTGGGATTTTCAAAAAGAAATTAAATCGGATGGATTTAATACCAAGTCGGGTTAACTCGAGAGCGCCGAAAGAGATGGACGGATGAAATAGATCCTCCGAGATTCGGTATCACCCTCTTCAGGGTCTACTTCGAGTCCTTTCGGGTCCCCAGTCGGGGTTCGAGGTTTGGACCGTTTAGCCTCTTCAGGGTCTAGTTAACCTCTTCGACCGGTTACGTGTTGCAAGGTGTCTTTTTTTTGGAAAAGCCGATTCGACGGCCTCTTCAGGGTATCGAAGTGGCAGGTGTCGACTCGAGGTGCTCGACTATGTCGGGCCGAGATAGGCTGGCCAGGTTCCTTGGCCAACCTATTTTCCGAGCACACCCGGGCCAAGCGCGATGCCGAGAAAGTCCTGGCTCGGTCCCAACGGCAACAAGCTGCGCTCCCGGGTGTCTCTCTTTTTTTTCTTTTTTTTTCCGAGCTGGCGGAATCTCTTATTTCCCTGGATCTGCCAGTGTTATCTCCTTGCCGAGTCGAGGGGCGGATCCAAGGGGTTCGAGAGAGATCTTGAAGAGAGTTCTCCTTAATTAATCATTTCCTCCTCTTGATCTAAGATGTCTCTTCGGGTTCCTCGGACGGTCTCCTCTTCGACCTAGAGGAACCCCGACCGGAGTTCTCTCTGGAAGCGAAGCCTCATTTGTTAGGATCTCTCCCGACCCTGAAGAGGCGAGACTTGGACCGATCCATGTAATTGACGCAACCGCTTCTATAATCACCCGGGTAACCGGGGAGAAACTCGGACATGACTCATCGAGAGATCCACCGAGATATTTTTGGAGCCCGTGCGAGATCTCGCGGCGACGTCTTGGAGACCCTGAAGAGTCCTCCTCTTCCAGCTCGAATTTTCCTCGAAATTATTCATGACCGCCCGTTACGAATTCCTGCATCATTCAATTCATTCACGTGTAAGTTCTCTGGAACTTGAAGAACTACTCGATGGATCGGTGACCCTGAAGAGAGTTCACCTCTTCCATCTGAATTTCTCTCTCGCGCTCTTCTAACCCAACTGCAAAACTCGCGCCAAATGTACCCACTTTTGTACGTGTATACACGTATGCGAGATTCTTTCAACTGTAAATTTTCTCTCGTAGAACCTGAAGAGCTACTCGAAGTCCCGTGGCACCGAGACCCGAAGTCGCGAAGACGACGTCTTCTAGGGTCAACTCACCCTTCCACGGGCCAGCATCTGCTCGGCAGCATAGACGAATCCTCCACACCTGGGGCAACCCTCTCCCTCGGGGGCCTTGGCGATGGCCTTGGGCTCCAGGATGGCATTGGACCCTCTAGACGGCTGGCTGTAAGTTCGAGATAGCGATTAGAACCCCCGGCGGTTGCGTAGCGCGACAAGATCACTGAAACGCGACCTTCGGCCGGCGAATCCAGTGGAGGGCCAGGACGACGTCCTGGGCCACATCCCCGGGGCCAGGACCCGCGGTTCGCCGGTCGAGGGTCGACTCGTCAAGCCACCGGCAAACCGGAAAGTAGAGAGAAAGTGAAAACTAAGAAAAATCACCCGGGGAAGTGCAGGATTTACTAATCTCCCGTGAAACACATAAACCGTTCATAAAATTCATAACCGTACAAACTGATAATGAAATTGTTAATTGAGTATACATTAACCATGAATCTCTGAACGAATGCAAAATTTAATAACATCGCGTCATGATTTTCCGGGAAGGTGGAGGAAAATTACAAGTTTTTCTGCGGGTGTCATAAAATGAGTATAACATGTTGAAGCCTCCAAGAAAGAATTGCGCGATATTGGAATACTCCTTTTCAACAATGCAGCAATATTTTTTCCGAATAGTGGGACGTTCCTCTCAACGGAGTTTAATCCTGCACTTCGGTCAAGGAGTTGCCCAGCGCCGCCCTGAAGAGGCCTCGGCGCTAGGCAGTCCTTATCAACACCCTGGGGTCCGAAGAGCAACGTAGATAAAGAAAACGTAGAATTAGGGTGTTAAGGGGTGTTAGTAAAGGGTTAGTGTTCCCCAACCACGCGCGTGGCTTCCGCCGAGCCCCTTTGAGGAAAGCCGAGGAAACGGAGGAGACGCAGGAGACTGGCCGAGCGAGGGTTCGGGTCCGGCCTGAGTTAGGTGTTAGCAAGATTACGGGGTTACTGATATCCAGTACATCCGGTACACTTACACCCTCCCTTGGATCGGTTTAACGACTACCGATAAGCGCGGTGTAAACGCCGTTTTACCCTGGAGTAAAATGGCATTTACATGGCACTTAACGCAGGTACAATACATAAGTTAAACCGATTTAAGGGAGGGCGTAAACGTACCGAGAGACTCAGGGGGTTCGGTAGATCCGATCGGCCATGCGGGACTCCCGGTAAGCGTAATCTCACGCGGAGAGTGAATACCTCGGTGCTCACCATGGTTGCGTGCGTGTGCGTGTGGGTGTAATTCGGATTTATCAATGGGCCTCCGTGGCGCGAACTCGGCGGGGCTGGCGGGAGGTGGGGGGTGGGGCACGCCACATATTACCGCGCAGAGTGTCTCTCTCTTTCTCGCTTTCTCGGATATTTCCTTTCTTTACCGTGTTATTTTATTAATTAATCATAGCACTTATTACAGATGGTACAAATTCTCCTAATACTAAGTGTTGCGTTTCTGCGTCCATTTTTAGCGTGCGTCTTGGCCTGGCGGAGTTCCGGGGGCACGGCTGCCCCAAGTGTGCGCGTGTTATCAGAACTGATATCGCTAGGGATGGAGGGGACCGACCACTGTACCTAGGCGGGGATACTTGGCAAAGGGAAGCCACCGACGATGCTTTGCCGATTCAAAGGGAATAATGGTAACGCCATCTTCAGGGGTACACTGTTAAAAGTATAGAGATCTCGCGAGCGTACTTGGCGCCGAACTCTTTCCAGGTTCTTGATACTCTCGGTACAAACGTTAAAGTGAAATCGAAAATTCTATCGAAAAGGCACCGTATGGTGGTACGGTATGATACGTTTGAGTGAACTCTTCAATGAAAATGTTATAAACTGAGAATATTATTTTAACAGTGTACGGTTTAGTGCTGGAGTCGAGGGTGCCGATGCAGGTTATCGGGAGAACAGGTGAGAATATGATGTTTTCTGGATAAACGCCACAGTTTAAGGACAAGGTTTTTTTTTTTTCCAGAATATGGCGCCCCAGGAACCAGGATGTCCATGAAGTCCAAGGACCAGTTCCTGGAGACCCGATCTCAAGTCCAGGTTCAAGGATTGCGTTTCCTCGGGACTCGACGAGTCCAGGTTCAAGGATGGCGTTTCCTCGGGACATGACGAGCCTGGAGTCCGAGGGGGTCCAGGGACATGCTGGGCTCCTGAGGGGACTCGGCGGCGACGTCGTCCAGGTTGCGGAGATGTTACCGTTGGGGATCATGCACGGTCTTGGATGACGGTGGTCGACGGTAGACGGTCCATTTGGTACTTTGTTTTGTTTCTTTTTTTTTTTTTAATGCGCGAGACGAGGGTATGTACAGAAGGGACCTTCGAGGGGACGACCGCTCGTGCACTCACTCTGTTCTCTGGAGATGCTCGCCCTGGTCCATGGACAGACAACCTGCACCCCCGCCGAATCCATAGCCCTTGGGCCCGAATTTGCGGGCGTGGCAGACTTTGCAGAAAAGCTCACCCTCGTGCTCGGAGCAGTTTGTTGAGTCGAGCAGTTTTCCGCAGAGACCTGCAACCACGCCCCAGGTAAAATAACTATAAGCCTTCCCTAGATATGCCACAACCCTCCGAAATCTACACTCACCGCATTTGAAGCACATTTTGTGCCACTTCAGCCCTCCGGCGACGCGCTCCTCCGCCGCGTAGACGGACTTGCCGCATTTCGGGCATTTCGGGTTTTCGACTGGCTTGAAAGGCATTTTCTTATTCTTTATACTGCAAAAGAAGACACGAATTCGCCGGAATGTATCTCGTTGGCAGGAATTCGCCCTATCGGGGGAGATAAACGGAGGCGCGAGGACCTAGAGCCCAAACCTTAAGGCCTTACGAAACCGCGACTCGACATAAACGTCAAAATATTTCTTAAACTTGTCATTAAAATCATTTGAAATTTTGCCTAATCAGTTTGTCGTTCAAGAAATTTTAATGTCTTCCAAAAAAAAAAATTTCCTTGGTTCTGGTGTCGGGTACATAAAAATGTTTCCCTTTGAAAATTGAAATTTCACCGGCATAACGAGCATAATCAGGTGCCGAAGCTTCAGATTATTCGGGGCATCCGCAAGAGTATGATAAATATTTTGACGGTTTGATATTAAGGGCTTTTCGCAACACCTCAGGGGGTGGACGGCGCGCCGGCGTTACCTAACCCTCGTGCAAGGTAAACAATCTCTCGAGTTTCCGGCGGCGTCAGTAACCCACGTCTATTTCCGTGGTCGCAGCGGGAAAAGGCGGCCGGCCGAGGTGGGATATTAGGTGCGGTCTATATCCGTGCCGGGCGTAGGCCGGTAACCCGGCGACTCCGTATTAGGGAAGGTACGGTTTCGGCTTTGCGGACACCCCTCTAGGTACAAGCGTGGTGGGGGCCCGCCGCTACTCCCACTTTCCCTTGTACCGTACATGTGAATACTTCCCCGTGATATCCAAAATGCCATATTTACCGGGTAGATACACGATATTCGCATTTATGGGCGTGCAATGGCGACGTAAGTGATACTTGCAGTGCCATACTTATGTATGCATTCGTACCCACTACTGTTTTGCCCCGCAGTCTTTTCGTACTATATCAATCTTCTCCGTTTCTATATACCATGGCTCCACCGCGGCTAGCAGGATTTACATGGACGTAGGATATATAAAGGCCCTATTATATATATAAAGGAACGATTATTTCGTTTCGGTAAACCGTCTGGGTAAACGGTGGTGTACCAAGAGGTTATGGTACGCGCGAAAAGCGCGTACCGTCCCAAGGCGATACGCGATCGTTTATCCTGACGGTTTAACAAGTCCTCGCCTCTGGTATCGAGTGATCGGGGTGAAGCGAATATTTCTTCCGTGACAAGCGGTATTCGGGATCCATAATATCTTACGTCCATGGCACCTCGTAGAGCAGGAGAGGTTACGTTACCCCCACCGCGTCCAATCTCGGCCGGCTACCCCGTCTCGCGACTCTCGGTCGGTAAGGCAGTGCCGGCGGTTACCGGCGTGCCTCCTCCTGGCTCTCTCTCCGATCGGGCCCGCAAAGTGGGTCCCCGAGTCCCGCGCACTCCTCTCGTCCCTACTCACCACTAGGTATATATCGATCGAAGGCGAGACTCTCGGAAGTAGGAACACCGCACTCCACCACTGCACTAATACTGGATTCGAATGGCCGTTGGAGCGGCCGGCTCGTCCTAGTCATACCAAGGTTTGCACACGGCACGTGCATCGGAACGTCAGTGGTGCGCCGGTGGGAAGAGCGACGCGGCCGCTGGCCGAAGGGCGGCAGGGACGCCCCTCGGCAGCGGGGGCGGGGGCGGCTCTCCGAGCGACCGACGCCCGACCGGCACACACTCATCCACTATTAATAAGTTCTTGCTCAAATCTCTATTTTTAACGGCACGCTGCCGTATAGAAATGCCGAAGAATCAAGCCTCGAGCGACCCCGCCGGGTGCCTCGGACACGCGGGGGGCGTTGCACCCCGGGCCCCGGGGCCCGACGATCAGCTGATCGAGACAGCGATATGTCATAGGATAGGCTACCGCGTGGAACGTCTTTTTTTCCTGGGATCTGTCCATTCGCTTTCGGGGGATTTCATGCGGTGGATGGTCGGGACCCTCGGAAGAGTTCCGCGAGAAATTCGTGTGTAGACACGAAACGCTCACCCGGGCTCGGAACGTTTAGTCCTTAAAAAGCTGCACGTAGAAGGCGCTTTTTTCCAGTAAAAGTGAAGTATGGGTATCGACCCTGGTCTCTATCCGGGAATTTCTCGATCATCCGCCATGACTTTCCGGGGACGCGGGACGAGAACAACCTGGAGGAACGTTTCCTTCCCTCCACCGAGGAGTCCTCGGCGCCTAATTCTGGACCCGGTGGATTCCGTTAGAGACCGACCTCGAGGATGCTGGAAGGGAATGAAACACGAGTCTCGAAAATACGAAATCGCGCCCTCGCTATTCTCGTGGCCGAGGCTCCTGGTGGAGGAACAAGGGGGGCGCTGAATTATCGCCGGTTATATCACCGGCGATACGGAAGAACGGGCCTGGAGACGCTGGCGATCCTCTGGCGGATTTATTTTCATTTTTGGAATGTGAAAGCCGAGTAGCGAGGCTGCGGCTATTATTAGAGACGCTTTCGACTTCGGCTCGAGGACTCCTCCGGGTTCCTCCGCGGTTGCGTGAAAACGCATTAACGAGAAAGCTCGACGCGACGCAGGATCTTTTGGGACCTCGTTTGCGGCCGAGAATGGCGTTTCCTCGGGTCCCAAATTATCCAGCACGTCGAGAAACGTCTAGATTAATTATAAATATTTATTAATAGCGGATCTCGGTATATAAGGTCCTCGCCAAAGGTCGGCATTTTCTTCCCGCCCGAGGGAGCTCGCTCTTTAGCCTCGCGGAGGTACTCGCGACTCGGCCCAAAGGTCGCCATTTTTTTTCTTCACACGGTCCAGCTGCTGGTCGCCAATTTGTTCGAGTTTCGTGCATCGGCAATCGCAGCTGACTCCGAGCTATTTTATGCCGCGAAGCGTCCTAGGAGAAGCTTGCCAAGCATAAGTCATGGGCCGAGCACTGCTCGAGCTTGTCCTCCAGGGAACGCTGGTAGGGGGTCTCCAAGCTGCGGGTAATTTCAACTGTAATCTTGACACACTTGCGCTAACACCCACCCAAATGAATGAGTTATCATTTATTTATATATTTATGCAAAGAAATTCCACGGTAAGGTCCTCTTACTCGAAGACGTTGAAGATCACTTCGGCGACCCCCTCGGCGTCGTTTCTCTGTGCACATAGAAGTCGAACCATACAACGTGTATTTTCCTCTCGTCGCGATACCGCCGAGTGGTCATTGACAGCAGGCGCTTCTTCCGGAGTGCTTACAGTAGCGCCTGGGTAAGTAGAAGAGAAAAGTCGAGCACCGCACCTAGAGCGGTCTATAAATACAGCGGGGCCCGTTCCGCGTTAGCGCAGATGTTAACGGCAGGGGATTGTTGCTGCATAAACACGGAAAGCCGTCTCATCACTTCGTGTATATACGGAATTCTGCACGTTAGCGAGCCTTCTTTGCCTTCCTCTCGAAATTGCATATGGCGTCGGGTCACGTGATCTGGCGGCCATCTTGTCCCTATGCCGCGGCGTCCCTGGAAGAGTGAGGCCCTCGACAAATGACGGTCTTGGTTTGTGTTTCTTAGAATTGACTATTCCTTGAGGTATGCATTCTTTTGTTCTACGCTTTGATTTTCCTGGCAATCCAGGGTCCATAAATCAGCGCGTTCCGAAGGAGGGCCATCTCTTCGGCGTCGGTGGTTTTGAGGAAGCGCCGAAGCATGGAATAGATATAGAGGATGGCCCAGTTACCTCGGCACCCGAAATATTAGTATATCCCACGCGCGTAATACAATCCCGATCCTAAGGTAACCAAATTTAGCATGTGACTAGCAGACGCCCTCGAGACACTTGCGTTGACTCAGAGCGTCGCTTCGGCCGCGGGCGGCCATCTTGGATTTGCAGGGCAACGAAGGGCTTCACAGATTGGGCATTTAATTCCCTATCCCGAAGACGAAGAACGTAAAGAATAACGCGATCATCGAAAACCAAGGGTCCTGAAGAAACAGGCAATCGTGAAATCCTTCTACCATCCAAAAATTTGCCTCTTTTCTCCACAAACCGCGAAGACCTCCATGGGCACCGTCAAGAGCTAACGACAGATTTTATATTTAACTCGCGTCCTTGATGTGGCCGATTTGTTCCAAAATTCCACGAAAGTAGATACCCCGTCCCTTCCATTCTCTGTACTTAAAAAAAATCATCTACGATTTTTCCCTTAAAGGGGACTCGCTTTGCTGCGATTTTTGGCACTGCTTGCATGCTGATTTATGAATTGTTTACCCCCGGTACATCTTCCGCGTCTTGTCGGCCGTGCGACCTGGAGGGGGTGTTTTTTTTTCTTTGATCTCTTTCTCCTCTTTTTTTTTCAATTCGAGGAATTCGAAATTCACCGCGACGCAATGTCGAATGTTGGGCGGGTGTCCGAAAATACGGCGTATTTTTCGGCGTATCTTCGGGTCGTCAGCATTTGTAAAACTATTTACGTGGGTGCGAGGTCCCGAGACAGTGAGGCACGGTCTTGCGGGGAAATCGAGCGACCCTAAAAATTACTTAGGGGAAAATTCATGCCGCTCTAAATTATCTCTGTCGCCGGTTTATCTGTTAAATTTTAGACATTGTTTACGCTAAGTGCGAACAACTTGGCTTGTTGCGTGTATGTACCGCTGTTAACAGTCGTGCTCGCCAGAGTGTCTACCAAGAGACTCGCGTTCCAACAAATTTGCCCGACAAAGGAGCCAATAATCGCCAACAATCCGCTCCCTGACCTGACGCAAGGATAACTCGAAAGAAATGGTCTATTGCATTGCAAATTCACATTCCATATGTACGGATATCGTAACATTTGTTTCGTTTCTATGTTTAATGTCGCTGTTTCTAATTTTTTTTATGCATCTGTAATGTGTGAGACATCGACATTTTTAACAGTGCAACCGTTTCCATTGTACAGTGTCCGCGTTTTAGCGTTTAGTAACCGTAGGGCGGCCAATCGTAGAGTGGATGCTGCGAAACTAGGCAAGTGGCCCAGTTTTTCGCAGTCATAGTTAAATGATGACGAATAATTCCCAAGGTAAACGCGGAAATATCTCTTGCGATACCGCGGCGAATTTCGGCGACTCGACTGGCCGGCTTGACAAAAGAAATCCGCGTCATGGGTTATTCCGAAGATGTCTAAGTGGGCGCCTTAATAATGTCTTCGATGCTCGATGACGATGCCTGACGATTTTGACAACTACGATCTAGTCCCCCGAATTCTTCGGTGCAACCTGAAAAGGAATGCCACATATTAACAAGACGCACTACTGTATCGCGATTTCTGATTCATCCGGTAGATTTGACCACACCGGGACCGACACAGTCTCGGTAAAGTTAAATAAATCAGCAGGTTTCTTGGCAAATGTCTCTAGGAAGAATGTACACATCAGTGTCCGGTGACTCATTTGCAGTAACAAATCACGTCGCCCACAGGTTGGTGCACGTGCTCGAAGGAAAAAATTCCAGAATAATTGGCGAGCTGGTTAGTCCCCTTTGAAGGGTCTCCTTAAAACCGTATCTAATTAGAGGAGACCAGATAGCTGTAACAATTAAGGTAACTAACAAGCCACATACTATTTCCCTAGAATTTCATTAATTTATATTCGAGTACCTTGCAATTTGGATCCCGGTTACGAAATTCAGAATTTCGACGTCCACCTTCATGACGCCATGATCGAAAACGCTTCGGAATACCTTGATGAATTTTTTTCAGTCATAATCTGAAAAAATGTATGACCACTTTAATTTCAGGTGGTTGCGTTACCTACCGCCAACTTCTACGAGTAGTTCCAGTTATTCACGTCGATGCATCACGGCACTGCAAGCTTATTTTTAGTGTAGAGGTCTGTTTTACCGATTCTACTTTGTAGCTTCAATTATTCTTATCGTTAGAGAGAGATTCCTGGTAGAGTTTCGAGCTGCCGCGTCGAGATGGCGTTGCTTCGCTCCAAACCGCGGAAGTCGAACGCGATCCACAAAAGCGGCGCGTAAAATTCAAATTTAGCGGGGCGGGTATTGTGAAACCCGAGCCAGCAACAGTGCGGATGGCACCATCGATTGCCGGGCATTTCGGGGGCCCAAAAATAGTCCCTCGCGTGCCCGCGTTACCAGTTTTGTCGCGGTCTCGGGGAACCGGTACAAGGCCATGGCTTACCCGCCCGTCCAGCCGCACTTCCTATTTCCGTCCTGTTTGCTTCCACTCGATCATCACCGACGTAAATGTTATTTTACACTTGGCAGTGCCACCTGACTTGAATGGAATCGACTCTCGCCTAAATGCCCCATTTCACGGGCATCAATGTCGCCTTGTCTCTTCCCAATCGAGCAGAAAGTCCCTCCGACGTTCCGCCATATTGGATTTGACAAAGCGTCCACTTTATTAAAGAAATTCCTCAAAACGAGAGAAATAACGCCACACGCGTACGAATACCCACTATTATTTGATCCTTTAACATTTATTGTACATTCCTTTTCAGGAGAAAGGACCTTTTATACGGAGATATTTACGTTGAACGCGATTAAACGTAAGCAACGCCGCCCGCGCCATTCGTCTCGTTTCTGCCGACGTTCAAAGAATCCTTGTGAGTACGATAGGACTTTACTTTTGATTTCCGGTGTACCCTGAATTTTCTGTATGCTCAAGACACGTTTTACAGAACTTTGGACCATTTTATTGGATCGGATGTCCTGATATACACTTCACGCTGGATGTTGGACAGATAACCTAGGCGGTGCGCGCGCACGACGACGGTTCGTGCAATGCATATATAAAAGACGAAATAAATATCGATATATTTACATATACAAAATATAAATTAACGAACTGGCCCCGCAGATGGAGAGGATTACTTTCCGAGGAGGATTTTACGAGTAGCGCCGATGCTTTGTCCTGATTGAGTGGCGCCTTTGTTGGAGCCGGCCTGAAGACCGATCACGGATTGGCCAGCTCGAAGCTGCTCTTCGGAGAAATCACGTTTGCATTCATCGGAGGGTTTCGGCCCCAGGTAAGGTCCAGTCCATTCGGGATGCTTGTACGTCTGTAACGGAAAACATCGAACATGAGACCAGCCATTAATAATGGAATAACATTTACAGGACAACAGATATTGGAGGAATCGGGATTTTAATCATCTCCCACGTACCGTGCGTCCCAGGGCGAACAGAGTGGTCACGACTTGGGATATGTCTTTCTTTTCCCATAAGTCGACCGTTTGGAAGACGTCGACATCAGCCACGCCATACTCTTTCAACGCCTTCTGGAACCTGAGGACCAAGGAAATTCAGGTAACAGGTGAAACTATTTTAAAAGCGAAGGAAACTCCTCGAAACGATTCATTTATTCCTGCAGAGATTTCTTGATTGGAGCCAATTTAAAAATTACAACTTACTGGTTGATGTTCTCCATCATCTTGAACTGACCACCGCTGGTGTTGATTTTAGGTACGGATCCTGGAGCGATCTTGTTCATGAGGTGGCAAAGGACCTGGCCATCCCGGATCACATCCTCGAACTGCTCACCAGCTGGGAATTTCTTCCCAAGGACCGTTTCGATCCATTCCTGGGCCTCCTTCTCTTGCTGGGGGTCGCGTTTACCCGCGATCTGCAAAGAAGAAACAGTGTAAGCTCAACAAGTTGGATTTATCCTTCCTTAACAGAAAATTTCAATGCAACTCTAAGGCTATATGAGAGTGGCATCGGCGAAATCAATCATTTACGGTATTTTTTCCACGTGTCTGTGTGCATGGTTGTTAAGGGTTAGATGACTCTAAACGTGAGTAAATATTTTTTCTTTAGTCTTTTAGAATGGGGGAGCGTACCTTAGCGCGAACTTGACGCTCAAGAGCCATCCTTGCCTTGTGAAGTGGAGAAGCAAAGTGTTCGGGGCGGCTTGCCAACGGCTCTTATACCCCGTACGCAACGCAACTCGTCCAGCCCACGCCTCCGATCTGTCCAACTGGGTGAGCACCGTCTCTCCACGATTTTCGATTCTAATATTAGCTGATTATTCATTTCCTCGGCAGGAATTTCAATAACTCTGAGATCTCCAGCCTATGTGCAGCGGCCAGGCCCGCCTTAATTGCGGACGTCCCTTATCACTGGGTGGAAACTCGCCGAAAAGACGCACGAAGAACGGCGTTCCCGGCCAAAGCTTCGGATGATAACGTCGTTGACAAGCAACGAGACTAGGCACACTTAAGATAACCCTCGTTACTCTAAACTTATGTAATTGCGGAAACAATGGTTTGGCACCATTAGTTTCGACAGAACCACCAATGGCCAGACAGCTCGTTTACATATAAGACCTATTATTATTCTTTACGTTTATGTTACAATGACCGTACCTTCCCGAAGGATATTTTACTACCTAAGGTAGAAATATATAAGAACACCGACAGGAACATAAGTATAACATGCGTAACCATATGTAATAATAAACATCGAATTTTCTTCGTTTGTATTTTTTTTCAATGTGAAAATAAAAAATTTGTCGAATTTCAAAGCGATGCGCGAAAAATATACGCGCGAGATATTTCGGCTGAAGAAGTGACAATGCGAACTCCAGAAAGAAGGAAGAAGGATTCCAATTTTTCTGTCGCTCCGTTAAATAATTAATACTCGAATGGTCGCTGATCTTCAATGAGGACGTTCGCGAGCTGCTCCGCGTATTTCTGGAAAGTGCTGTGAGAGATGTCCCGAATCCAAGAGATGCTTGACTGAACTTCTAAAAATGAAGAGACCTTCATGGTCATACTCGAAGATGAAGAGAGGAGAAGCGTGAATTCTGTGTTAAAGACGTTCTTTAAATAGGCCGTGGTATATAGGCCAGGTTATAACTACCGCGATCCACTTTTGAAAACGTACACCCGAGTTTCTTTTTTATACACTTTATACAATTGAGCGGAAGGAGAAAGAAATATATTACACCGATTGAACATACAATCCTGTCGAATCGACGTGATAGATTTCGTCATTAATTTAAGGTAGAAAACGTTGACTGAAAATTGCCGCGCCTTTTTTTATTTTATATCTGATTATTTGACATAGGTTTGTCGGAAATCTGTTAGACCGTTCTAGTAACAGTCGACCCCACGTGATCCTTCGGGCGCATTGCACCCAGTAAGATAATCAGATCTGCGAGCGCCTAACTCACCTGGGGACACTCGACTCGTGTTCGCGTAACGTTGCATTAAATTGATAATACGATGAGAATATTTACCGCAAGCATAACCGGGCACTGAGTCAGGTTTAAATTTACCGCAAACATCTGGGCGCGAGCCGGGAGTAATTTCATACTCTGAGAGGCACTCCAGAATTTTACCGAGATTCATCGACCGGGGTATCTACTGTAATGCGAAGTTACGCATGCCTTACTTACGCATTACGCTTTTGCCTGCTCTTTTGTGCCCCTTTCCAGGCTTAGGTGGATCGCAACAGGATCTATTTTTTTTTTTAAGTCATCATTGGTTGCCGCATGAGCGACAGAGCTTGCTGGACTTGCTGGTAAGAGATGTCAAAGGATGTTTGTTATCACAGATATGAGTTGGGAGCAGAAACGAGGAGGGTTCCTGAGATGGGCCACCATTGGGGGGCATTAGGTGGCAAGTGCATAATTTGCCTGCATTCTGTACCGAGGGTAACATAGAACGCGATTGCGCGACCCAGCCCGTGAGCAGTCTCCCAACTCATCTCTGTTATCTGTAAAGATCTACGTAAATTATTTAGGGTATTTTATTTACATAATCTCGTCAGGAATTTCTTCATTTATCATTTTCTTCGCGGAGACGCTTGTCTTTGTTTTCACTCACTGACGAGGTGACCCATCTCTTGAGTTTCGATACTCCATGCCTAAGTAAAGTAGAGGAAAGGAGGATGAGTATTTTTTAGAAGGATTGTCGAGTTTGTTTTTAAGGTGGATCTTGAATAACAACTTATAACAATTTGAGAGAAATTATGGCCGCTGCTAAAGGACAGTCGGTAATATTATTATCTTACTTCTGAGCCGTTGATCTCTAATTTAGATCGAATAAGATCATCATACTGCGTATCCTAACCTCTATAGGACTTTGCATTTTCTTCTCATTCCCATTCACAGTAGTGAATATATGGATTCATCTTTCTTTGGCAGTTGTACTACTTTAAAAAACCGACACGCTGGACTTCCGGCATCGGTTTGGAATTACCTGAGGCGTATAAGAAATTTTGGAAAGAATGGAAAATGCAGAAACCAACCGCGGTTCATTATATCGAGGAACAAGGGAATTGGAAAATAGATGAGCGATCGGGACAAGTGTAAGTTTTCAGGGTTTCCGCTGGTTTCTTTATATTTCCGGCTTTCGTACAATGTAAAATGCAATTTTCGTATCGTGTAGTTCAGTAGGTGAAAGAGCGAATTAATTTATGGGAATCTTTGGAATACGATATGATGTTTAGGGTTCCGGTGCAGAATGTTCCGCTTCTAGTGCAGTATCCTAAGGAGCAAGACGAAGGAATATGGGGTGGAGAGGGAGTCGTTCAGGGCTTTCAAAAGCGAAAACCAAAGAGGAGAAGAGTTCCTCATTTCTGGGTTCCCTCTCTTAGAAGGACCGTTATCTATAGCGAAGTGTTAAACATGTACACGCGTACCAACGCGACGGAGAGGGCCCTTCAGTTAATTCACGAGAATTATGGTTTAGATCACTACTTGCTAAAGGTATATAATAGATTATCGATGCTTAAGAATATTGAGAATTCGCCACTGGACATCTGCATCTTGACTTACAGACGCCTGCGTGTGATTTAAAGTCGTTGCTTGCTCTAAAAATCAAAAGACAAATCCTTATAGCTTTGGCCGATAAAAACCTTTACCAAGAAGAGCCAGAAAAGCAAGAAGAAATATACACAAAGTATCGGCAATATTTATCAGCTGTGAGTAACAGACGTTTTATTAAACATACACGTTGCAGCTCCATAAATGATAATCGGCATTAAATGTAAATTTAGTATACGAGAGAAGAAATCGAATGGTACGGCCTGTCGTACCCGGAAGCATGCAAGAAGTGGGTCACTCAGAAAACAGAGTTGAACAAACCGCAGCCTCTTAAACTACAATTCAGATCTGATTTGATTCAAAAACTTAAGGAAAACAAATTGGAAGGCATCACCAAAGGGGATAGTGCAGAGTCGAGGTATGTCATTGGCCACTCCACAGAATGAGGATCGTTATACTCGAGAGGTTTACAAGAAATTTCCTTTTCAGTAAATCGTGGATATCGAAGCTCAACCCCTTTTCGAAAAGTTCGAAGACTCAGTGAGTACGTTTTCGCGACTAGTTCAGCTGTTTCTTTTGTACATATAAACGTATGTGAACACGGGGCTGTGAGAATAAACCGATAACCATGGCTCCCTTTATGGAAACCTTTATTCTGACCTACGATGATATAAGAATCCTTTGTACAACGATGCATACACAACATATCGTTACCGTTGGGTTCTCTTTTGAAGAAATTGCCCAGTGAACAGTCCTCAGGATTGAATATTAATCCGAAGGCGTGCCTGGCCAACGCGATTACCTAAAGGTACAAGCAACATCGAGCTTTGGTGCAATTCAACTAAAGACACGCATTTGACTAATTGAACTTTCCTATGTTATCGAACATTCCAAATCGCCATCCTTCGGCAAGCAGTTTAGTAAGGAAGCTATGGCTCTTGTTATGTACGTCATCGTTCCGTAGCTACCACTAGGCGCGCTGTCGTAGAAATGCTGACATACGAACGCAGCACCACCGCAGAGTAGATTCCCCATCGCAGTGACTTCTCTCTGATCCTTTGGCTTCGCACAACACAGGGTAGCGTCACCTCCAACTTTCATCTACGAGCCAAGTCAATTTAATGCCCTGAAATATTCTAATTGAGAATTTCCTTACCTGGTCCTCCAGGAAAATTGCATTGGCTTTATGCACCAGGTGTTCCACTGCGATTAAGCCTCCGAGACAAGCTACGACATTGTATTCCGTGACTAAAGTTAGTACCATTAGGGCTTCGACAACCAGTTGTCGGTACTCTGGCTGTGGAATGGTGTTGAGCACGGTCTCGACAGCAAGGGCGAATTTCAGCTCCCCAGGAGTCATCTCCTGGGTTAGGTTCTGCGGAAGAATTCTCCCTTCGATGGCCAAGCCCTGACACTACGGTTAGGAAAGACATAAAGTATTATTTGGCTTTCTTGGAGTACTATTAAACAGGAATGGAATTCCTACCCTTTCCAGAACATGCCACACCCTGGGATAAAAGTCTCTAGGCACTCTGTTCAAAGCACCATCTAATCTACGTCTTCTTAACCACTGACCCTGGCGATCGGGCTCTAAGTCGACTCCATCCGTTTGGTCGGGACTCAACAGTCCACCTATCTGAGATTTCTGTAAAAATAAGAAGAATTCCAGATGAAGAGCCTCCAACTAGATTAATACCCATCGATCTACCTTGCTGACTCGGCTGGACTTGCAGCTGATGACGGAGAAGTTTCCACGCCCCACTGGAAAGATTTAAGAATTGGAGGATTAGTTAGGTTGTGAGAGGTTTCTTCATGGATGAGAAAAGGAATGAAACTCACCACTGCTGATGGCAAACTCCTTGCCACTCATGATGTGATGCAGGAGATTCTTCATCTCGAAGGGGGAGAGATTCAAGAGGTGCTCCGAGGCTTCTTCCCCGGTGCAGATCAAGGTTCTCGATAGCTCCGTAGCCATGACCTGGATGATGAGGCCGACCCTGAGTCTCAGCATCTCCAGGAAGAGCTGAGGCTCCGTTCTGATAAACATAGCCAGGTAGACCAGCAGTTCTTGGGTGAGCATGGCAGTGGATTCGTCATCTCCGTAGGCCTGGTGAATCAGGGACCGAAGCTCATTCTCCGGAAGAGGAGCCACGATGGTGTGCTCATTGATCGGTGGCATGCCAACGGTGACTTGTTTCTGTCTGACAAGAAGATCCGTCACAGCCTTGGCCAGGTCCTCGACTCTTTTCCCCAGCATCCCTGCGGTGTGTCGAACGATGCCCCACATCTTCTGCTGGCAGGCCTTCTCGTAGAGGCCCTTGAGGAGGTCCTTGACCAGCACCGGGTGGCCCTCCTCCAGCATGCCTGTATTGAAGTACAGGCCCTGCGAGTCGAACTACAAATCAAGTTATCAATCAATCAACTTTACAGTACCAATATAATCAAGTAATCCGGTAGAGCTTCGCGCTAAATACCATATGCACGAAAGGCACTTAATGTACCTAACGTCAACGTTTCTACGCTTCAATTCGTTTCGGTACGTTGGTTGTACATTTACACACCAAGTACTGCAGAATGTCGCCCTGTTCCTCCAGACTTTCCGTCTCCCTCAGCATGGCCAGGAGTTCCTCGACCTCGGTGTCGGCGTACTGGGTTTCCGAGGTAGTCCTGTTCCTCAGAGGCTTCGAGCTCTGCTGCCAAGGTAGCACGTCCTCCGCAGGAGATGGGGTCCTGTCGGAGGACACTGGCTGGGTCGAGTTAGGCGTCAACGAAGTGTCTGTCACTTCGATAAACGGATTTGTAGTCAGTACAGTGGACTGCCTCCGATCCTCTCCAGCCATCCCGAGAATTTCAGCTAGAAACGTCGACACATTGACTTAATCAGGATTCTTTACCTTCACACGTCTGGAGTTACTTACAATCGCTTACATAAATTTTCTCCAAATTTTCTGTATCGTAATCGTTAGAAATTATCCCCACAAGAACACGAAGACTCTAAGCAAGGTCTCGACACCCATGAAAATGCACTCTTTAAATTTCTTCCCGGACGATTTTTTAATTTTAAGGCCACCCTCACGTGGCATAATTTCAAATGATTCTGGGCCAAATACTGGGCGCATATGTGCGCCTTTTGTAGTAAAAGGGTTAAGCTCTCAAGGCTAGCCAGAGAAATGGAGAAATATCAGGCCTCGTTAATTAAACTAGAGCGATTGGAGTACATTAGTTAGACTTACGTTCTCAGAGGGCGGTAGGATCGGCGAGTGCGGTATCGGATCGCGCGAACGGAATAAGGGTCTTCTTTAGGCGACATGCAATCAAACTGTTAGATTAGCGGCACCTTCCATTAGACACACCAGAGCGGCTGCATCTTGTACTCACGTTCCACGGCTATGGACCTCGTCTTCTTGATCGCCCCCTTAACGGACATTCTTCTCCGCAGGTTCCTTCCGCTGCGGACCACCGGTCTGTTCAAAAGCCCGGTTCGATGGGGGAAAGCTCGCATCAAGTGCTCCTCCAAATATTGCTGGACCTGAATGAAGGTACCCTATCATTCTCAGACTCGTCACCTGATATCATTAGATGAATTCCTTCATCCAAACCTGAGGATTCAATCTGTCGGGACGTCCGTCCTCGGCGCTCCCCAGGAAACTCAGATTCGTGATGCAAGACGTGCTCAAGAAGTCGTTCAGGTTCCCCAGGGACACCCTGGTGCCGTTGATATAGCCGCTCTTCAGCTTCTTCATCGTCGTGATCATGGCCAGCGGGATCTTTCCTTGATCTTGGAGACAGAAGTCGAATTACTCGCGCTTCTTTATCATTTTCTCTTTTAAACACATTTTCTCACTTTACACGTTAGAGGCACGTTAAGGGAGAATGGTAATTAGGCAAGTTAGCTAAGCTGAAGAGGTCTTCAAGGTCTTCCCATGAGCGCTCCTTGAGGTTTCTTATCACGCGCTCAAGTGAAGCTCATGTACTTGTTTGAAACGCAACCTTGAAGAGAGGGAGTGGGCCTTGACACTTGCTCTTTAGGGTGTTTCCTACGTTTATCGGCATACCTAAATGATTATGAGTAGCAACGAGCGTTATAGTTGGCCTGCCGAGCATATGCTTCCAGTTGATGGTCAGGAAGGCCAAGTTGGTCGTGAAATTGTTGACGAGGAGGGCTGCATCGTTTGTCGTGTAGTACTCCTCCGCATCAAAGTTCTAACACATGCAACATACGTGCACACCACCGAACACATAAGCGATCAACTTCTGAGTTCCGACGTAATTGAATGGTACAATTTAGAAGGTCCAAAAAAATCGTATGGAGAAAATCGGTCGACGTCGACTTTCCAATCTTCTCCATTTTTTTTTTCTTTTTTTAATCCTTCAACATTCACACAAAGGGTTCGCGATGTTCCATTAACGTTTCATTTTCGAGAGGAAATTCGACGTGGACACACGCACGCATGCAGGCAGTCGTGTTAGAAAGACGAGACAGTGAGGTCGTAAGAATCGTCAGGAGATAAATTTGGAAAGCTGGAGACAAAGTGAGAAAAAAAAAGAGTGAACTTTGTTCTAGCCTGAAAAGCCATAAACTCGTAACTCCATGGCTTGACAGAAATTTAAGATTAAATATTCCGATTCTTTTTTCAATGACACTTGTAGGCGAACCAAGATGGCTTGACAGTGAAAAATCGTTGGACGACAGGTCCCCGTTGGGTCATGGAGGTAAAACTCTACGGCTCTTAGGCTTCAAGAGTTACCGTACCTAGGTGAACGTTCTTGAGGGGCATGACCACGAGAGGCCGGCCTAACATGTTCTGCCAACTAGACTTCAAGAAATTAATTTCGCCTTTGAATATGTCAATCATGAGCTCATAGTCCGATGCGATGTAGAAGCGGGTCATGTCTGTCAGCTGGCGTTTCGTAGAGTAAGATATGTGACATAAGAAAAGAAAAGTAAGAGCGTAGAACCGGTAGACGAGAGAGAGATGAAGAGATAGAGAGTGGTGCTTTTTCGAGGGTTACCTGAGGAGTGAACGCGAATATTTTATCGTGTAACGAGTACAATTTACTCGTGCTCAGGATACCCACGTCTCTAGACTTCCTGCCGGACAGGCCTAGCTTCTTGTTGCGACCTGGAAAGTTTTTCATTGTTAGTTCCATCGATGACTGATCACCTTATTGATGCTTACCTAGATAGGTGTACAAGTGACTGAGAACTTTGGCAGGTTGTACTTCTATCGGGGCTGCTTCAGCTATTGTCTGAACATGGATGTCATGTTGAGCTATTTTTTCTCGAATCTCGACGTCCTCTGCGAGGATGACGACCTGGACGACGACGTCGGGTTTCTTTTCGCTACACAGACGCCTATTCAATGGGTCTAGCTCTCCGACAGCTAGAAAGCCCTAGGAAGGGTGACAAGAGATTATGTTACACACAAGCGCTAGTATTATCATTGGCTATCTTAAAGATGAAGTATAGGATCACTTATATTTTTATGCTATTTTGTGGGTATTATCGTTGTATTACCTCCTGAAGTAATTTTCCTAAAAGGTACAGTGACTGGGCCCACATGAAGGGACATCTTCCTAGAGCCTCCCTTTCCTGACTTCCTGGCTCTGCGTATTCCGCAGACACGTTCTCCGAAGCCACGGCATATAATTCTGGAACCAGTCTGATGCCATCGTCAGTTTTTATAGTAATCCTTTCTAATTCGGAAGCATACTCTGCGACTGCTTCTTTGTTGCCTTGAAAGCAATAGTCGAGTACCAAGTAGCAAAAAAAGAGCGGCCACTCGCATTCGATGTTTTCGAACATTCTTAGCTCCCATGGTTCATAGTACAATCTAGAAAAAAATTTCCATTATTAAATTAAGGTTCTAGTTGTAGATTGTTGTAGAGGGATTTCTTGAAACGTCAAGTGCGTACCTGTTGGGGTCTTCCTTTGGGGTTCGATGGCCATCTCTCAGGAATCGTTTGCAGCCATATCGACCTCTCAATTTCTTAATAATAGCCTCTCGTGTGAGCTGAATTAAATTCGGTTCATCAACGGCGAATGCGGGGAAACTAATTATAGACAATAGTCCACTGTCCAATTCCTTCGAGTTGGATTCCCTCGGTAGCATAGATTGCAGCACGGCTTGGCACTTTTGTGCCTCATCTGCTAGGACATGTATCACCGACGTAGGACCGCCTCTGGCACCAAATAAGTCTAATTCGTTCATTGCTTCCATAGCTGCCTTGGCCATTCCAATGCTGCTTGCATTGAGCTCTGGAAGTCCATGATTCGTTTTATCACCTCTCTCCCAGATCCCATAATCTGGAGTGCAGTAGGCCGATTCGATGTAGAAGACCAGGTTTTGAATGAACGCTACCTACGAACAGAGTGCTATATTTAATATCAGACTTCCATGGAAATGTCAAGATGTTTTTTCTCTAAACCTTATCAAAATTCAACTCGTACTTCATCCAAGTTGAAGACAATTTGAAGGCCCGAGGCAGTCATTTGTGCTAAAATCAATAAGTAGAGAGAGGTGGCATCGATCTGTAAATGTCCCCAGTCGGCGTCTCCTACTACCGTCTGTCCATTCACCGAGCTATACTTTGCGTGCAGAGCATCGTGAGGATTCTGAGTGGATTTAAATCTTTCGACATTATTTTTCTGTTGCATCATGGCCATCAACAAGCCTCTCATGAGCTTCACGCAGCTCTGCTCGAGCTCGTATGTCTTTGCTCTGTCCTCGTCGGCATCTGCAATTTTCTTATAAGCCATCGACAAGCCCCATACAGCGAGGATACAATACACATTGTCTCGTACCCAAGCGTGATCATTGTCTGCGCTAGCAGGAAATAGTCCAGTCACCGGATTCTGGTGGTTCATAATAATTTTGTGCACGATCCGCTGGTAATAGTCCAGGCGAACGCCTGAATTACTCCGGCTACGCATTTTGACTTTTCTCTGATTGAGCTTCTCGAAATATCTGAAAAGATATCATTTCTATTTTAATCCTACGACGCATATTAATCCAAACAAGAATTTAACACGTGCCCTTACATTTGCACTTCACTCAATTCCCATCAATATTTGTATATTGAGGTTAGGTTTACCTTGTGACGTTATTACGAGGAAAACGCCGAAACGGCAAGCTTAGAATATCCTGGCCTCATGAAAAACGAGTCGTCAGAGCTCGATGTTGCTCATTTTAGTGAATTAGCGCCAACAACTTCGTGTTTTGATTCAAGGGAGTACAATGTGAAACGAATGTCAAACGCAGCCAACGAGGAGGCAACGACGCGGTCGATAAGGAAGCGCTCTTCTATCAATGAATTTCCGACTATGAAAGGCGTTTCTAAGCTCCAAATGCGGCATATTACGTCAAGAATGATGAAATGCCGGAAAATTACCGGAATTTCCTCTTAGAGTCATCCTTCCCCCCAGAATTCGCGAAAATACATACCTATTTATATCCACGAAATAGAAATGAATTCCTAACCTGAAATAGCTTGACGTTTAAAGTCTGCACTTGTATCTCACTTTATTGTAGCCTTTAAACGACAAAAATACATCTTTTAATCGTCTCTTAATACCAAAAGCAAGAGTAGGAGGCTGAAACTTTCCTTCTAATAATTTATACGAATTAATACGACGTTAAAGTTTTATTATAAAATATTAAGGTGATATGAAAGGGTCATTCTATATATATACTACCTTAATATCAACTTTATGGAATGATTTCCATTTCGCATCCAAAATATACAGGACATTCGTATATAATTCACACAAAACACTGTCGCAGCTTGCCAGCTTCGCACACGTGCTCTTATCGAGAACAATTACGAGCAATTACCCTAGATAGCTTTCAGCCGAATGGAATGATTTAATTTAATCGGGAATCATTACCGATTTGTAATAATGGATGCGAGGGAGCCAGGAAAGCTTGCGGTTCCCGACCGAGGATATTACTCCGAAATTATCACAGGTATATACAAGGAACATGGGCATTCGTTCCTAGCCAACAATTTACATATTCATTTCATAGGGACGAAGGAATATCCAGTGACGCCGAAATTAAATCTCTGGAAGGCAGCTCCGAGGAAAATGAAATTAGCTTGGGAAGTCATGACGGAAAATCATTCAGCCTCGATGAGAAATTTCAAGACCGAGGCTCGTGGGAATTTCCTAGGGGCCGCCGAAAGGTGGATGTCCTTTCCACAGGATAGATCCATCGTAAGGGAATTCACGATGCAGGATAATTTAATGCTGGAATTAATTCTTCGATATATAGTCCTTCCCAGCCGAGACGTTCGCTCCGAAAGTCCAGATGGATCGTTACGTGCCACCGAAACAAATCCCCAGAAACGTCGAAATGGAGCGAAGGAGGAGGATTTATCGAAATCTGCGAGTGGACGATGCTCTAAAGGACGAAGGAGTCAAATCTAGGGACCTTTTGCCAGTCGAAGTCGTGGGGACAATCGCGAGCCATGAAGAAAAATTCGGACTTAACTCTTTCGTGAGTTTTCTGCCTCTGGAGATCTTTGACGATGAAGAGCACGACTGCAGGTTCATAGATAAATGCATAAATAAATGAACACATGAATTGATTAAGGCAAAATAATTTTTTTTATATCTGGTAGCGTCGTTGGCATCGGCCATGTCCTTCGGTAAAAAAAATCCTTGTAAGAAATTCTTCCTAGAACCGTGAAAGATTGGACAGATCTTGGTACCATCGATGGAGTTCGTCATCCCCTTCCAGCCACCGTTTTCGTTGAGAAACCTCTGATAGAAGAGGAAGACAAGGAAGAGGATAAAGAGGCGCATCCTTTGGATAAACATTTCGAGTGGTGTTATGCAGCGGTCACGGATTTCGATGCTGGGACGAAATTATGGTCCGTACTTACCTTGGATGGGTTTAAGAGGGTCTTCAGGGTGCCCAGGATATACATCAGGTTCTTCGCCGAGGATCCAAGGACTCATGCGAAAAGGATCAAAGCTGCCCTGGATCAGAGGAGAAAAGCGGAAGCTTGCATTAGGTTCGTCCTGAGGATGAGTCCGGTCCTTAAGGAGAAGTACATTGAAAAATTCTCGTATATTAGCATGTGTTAGGCGCGAAACTCTGCCAAGATTCCTGATTAATTTTTTTAACGTGCACTTTTATAAGAATTTTAATGCCATCGTTGATGGTTCCCAGACATAATCTATATCTCGATTGCATGAGAGTCGAAGGGATGCCGCTCTTCAGCGAGTCAGAGAAGCAGAAGATCCTCTCTTCAGCATTGAGACAAGGGAGGCTGCAGTTCGCCCCCGAGAAAATATCCACCGTAGGTTGAGGAAGACCTCGAATACCATAAGAACTACTAAATACCATATCGTATTAGGTGGTGGAGGAGATTTCTTTGGACTATCGGCGCACAATGTGTGACCTTAGGTGGAGACAGCTGATAAGGGACAAACCCGAAGTCTTCAGCTTCATCTCCTGGTTGCCGGATGACGAAGAACCGCGCATCCTTAAAGAAGAAACAGTAGATACCGGGATGAAGGACTTCAAGGTGCAATTTCCAGGACGTTCAGATTTCTCATATCTTATTTTCCCTCGTTCTGGAATTTATTATCCAGGGTGTCAAGGATCACTTCCACTGGGTGACTCTCTACGTGAGGACGGAAGTCCACGAGGCGATGTCCTGTATAGTCTCGGAGTGTCTCAAGGTGTCCGGGATGAACCTCTTCGTGCAGAGCTCCACGAAATCGTTGGTGCTCTTCGAGTTCGAGGCCCAGCAGAATCAGACCAGTGGCACTCTGATAAAGTACTTGAAGGAGCCTTGGCTGGAAAAGATCACCCAATCGGTCAGGATGTGCCTCAGGGACGTAGGGAAGGGCTGGTTCAACCTGGAGCAAAAGGACCACGGGGTCTACGACGTGATGAAGCTGAAGAGGTTCATGGATCTTGGCGTGTTGCGCATGCAGGTCCGCTGGGAAATCTCCTCTTCGCCTAAATAATCCTTTTCTTTCCCTACCTCTAGATAAAATATTCGGGAGGAATCGCAGGATTCCTCGGAGATGTCATCCAGGCCTCTCGAACTCACCACGTCCTTTGTCCAATGTCGCGGCATCCTGAAATAATATCGCCTTCTCTTGTATGTCCTCCCGTTTATTTAGCTTTTTCTTCGTTCATAGACCGCCTTGAGGAACCTCGTGGATAACTCGATGGCTCTTTATGTAAATATGCTCGAGACCCCGGCATTGTGCACCTTGCATGTCGGTCCTGATTTCAAATGGGGCAAGGACCTCCGAAATACCCAATTCAAGCCGGCTTCCAACCCAGTTTTCAGCCTGGAGATTTTCATGAACGACCAGGGAGCTTTTTATTCCACCGAGCCTTCCGAGTTCGAGGTACTGGCTTTCCCATTTTTCGATACGGAATCACGTGAAGAAACTTCTTTTTTCCGTAGAAAGTCATCGTCAACCTCTTCGACAATACCCTGAAGTCCTGCCACCGTGTCAGACAGGTGCATCCTTTCCTCTTGACTGGCTTGAAATTTCCGAACGATCTTTACTTGAGCTCGGTAGGACTCTTGGAGAACGCGGTTTGCGATGCCAGGAATCGATTATCGATAGCCTATCGACAGTCGATCATTCCATTGAAGGCATATGCCGAAGAGTACAAGAAGTTCTTGGATTTGTACGTAATCGACGTGGCGAAGTACGTCGAGTAAGTCACTTTTAGGTTCATTATTCGCAATCATTGGGGCGTTCCGTAAGACCCAAATATTGAATAAGGAAAGCTTGTCGTAATTATGGGAGAGCTGAAAAAAATAGTTTGGCTGAAATTTGAATTTTCCGTTTCGCCAGGAATTTCAAAAACGAAAATCATCCAGCCTCTGAAGTGAAGGACGAGATCTCTTATCACTTCAGGATGCGCTTCAATATGGAATCGACCTTGCCGACTAACATTCTGATCGGTCCTTTCAACGTGAACGTGCTTCCTTTGAAGACCTTCCTCCTGGACAAACGCAAGGACATAGCTCGTCGTCTGCTGGTCATGTTCACCGAAGGACTCCGGGTCCAGGTGGACGACATCCTGGACGTGTATTCCGGGATGAGGAGGAAGTTGAAGGAGGACCCACAAAATATCGAGGCGATTTTCGAGATGAGAGAATGGATGGAGACGATTCCTCTAGCTGTGCAGGGCCAGGACGAGCTGATGCAGAAATTGAAGCTGGACTTCGACATCCTGGACCTGTTCTGGTGGAACCTCTCCGACGAGGACTTCGAGGCCAAGTGGGAGGCCATCGGGTTCCCCCTTCAGATGCAGATTCACGTTAGGAATACCAGTTTTCATGGAATGCCGAATATTTCGACGGGACTTTCTCTCATTTTCCTTTTTTCCGATTATTCTCGTCGTCCTTTTTCGCGGTACTAATAACTCGAATAAAGCTCTTAGACGCGCCTGGTTAAAATACGCGAATTTTTATCACCAAAGCCTGGTTCAGTATGTCTTTATGAAATTTCTAAACCATTAGATAAATTTTTGGAAGGTGATTCTTGTTGATCCACAAATTTTTATATTTACCAGAAATCGTATAAACACAACCGGATAATGTTTTACTAAACATGCAGATCAGCGAAGCAGTGGAACGATTAGAACGGGATCAGGAGAAATTTTACAAAATGCAGCTGCAAGACGAATCGAACCTCACCGAACGTATCGACATGCTCGTCGGCCAGGTGAACAATGTATCATTGTTGTCGGATTTCAACAAGGTGCACGAAAGCGCGATCGAGGTGAAAAGGATCTGGAAGGCGATGAAGGAGTGCCAGGAGCAGAGTCTGCTTTTGAACGAGAGGCAGAAGCTCTTCGGGGTCCCGATGGTTCCTTTCGAGCACCTCACGAAACTCATGAAGGAGTTCGAGCCTTACATGAGCCTCTGGACCACGGCTTCAGGTGGGAGACTCTTCGTCACCCTGAAGAAGAGTCCTCTTATTAAACTGAGGGAAATATTTCCCTTGCAGACTGGCTTAAATGTTACGAAATCTGGACCGAGAACCCTTTGGTCAAGGTGGATGGCAGTCAAATCGACTTTATGGTGAACGACATGTTCAAGACCATGACGAGGTGTGCCAAGGTCTTCCAGGAGAAGCCTAGTAGGTTTTTTTTGGGAAACGTTAAAAAAAAAACAATAAGGCGATTTTTGGGTATCGAGTTTTGCAAGAGATATCATGGTTGAAAAATATCCCATTTCCAGAAGAGCGCGTTTAAATTGATTTTGACGGCACTCAAAGTCTATTTAATGTTGAAAGAGTTAGAAATTAATTAATATCAGAGGTGGCCGCCATCGCCCTCGACATCAAGGACCTCATAGAGGAGTTCAAGCCCTACGTCGGGATGATCCAGTCCCTGAGGAACGCAGGGATGAAGCCCCGACATTTCGACGAAATTGGAGAAAGAACAGGCTTGCAGACAACCCTGACACCGACTTTGACATTCAAGAGTTTAATCGACGCCGGAATAATGAATTTCGAAAACGTCGTGAAGGACGTTGCCGAAAGTGCGGCAAAGGAGTACGCCATAGAGGCGTCTTTGGAGAAGATGATAGCAGAGTGGAGTTCGATCAAGATGGACGTGATACCCCATAAGGATACAGGCAGGGTGATAAGGAAACCTTTAATGTCGTAACAAGAGTTCCGACTAGACGAAATCGCTCGTTTCAGGAACCTACATCATGAAGATTGCTGACGAGACGACAATGTTGCTGGAGGACCACATCGTGAACACTCAGCAGATCAGTTTCAGCCCCTTCAGGGTCGCCTTCGAAGATCGGATCTCAGACTGGGAGAAGAAGCTGTCCCTGACGCAAGAGGTCCTGTCCAGCTGGATAGAAGTGCAGAAGTAGGACCTTCCGCACTTAAAAAGGACCTCTTCCTGCAATATTTAAATTTCAGAGCTTGGATGTACCTGGAGCCGATATTCTCCTCGGAGGACATCAGTCGACAGCTGCCCATGGAGGCGAAAAAATTCAACACCATGGAGAGGAACTGGAGGAGGATCATGAAGAACGCCCACGACAACCCCTACGTTAGTTCTCTTTACGAGAATATACAAATTTCCGGGTGTACCGAAAAGAAGTACTCGCCAAATTGACCCTACCTCCCAAAAAGGATATAATACGACTACGAGAAAAGGATAAAATTCTAAACTTTAATTTTATAAACTCCTTTCTTTGGATTAATTCCAGGTTATCCTGATATGTCCGGACAACACCTTGCTGGAGAGCCTGAAGGAGTGCGTGACCCTGTTGGACGTGGTTCAGAAAGGCTTGTCCGATTATCTGGAGACGAAGAGGATGATGTTCCCCAGGTTCTTCTTCCTCAGCGACGACGAGCTCCTGGAGATCCTTGCCCAGGCGAAGAATGTGCGCGCTGTTCAGCCTCATCTTAAAAAATGCTTCGAGAACATGAAGGAGCTCAGGTTCGAGGACGACCTTGCGATCACCAGGATGTACTCTGCCGAGAACGAAGAGGTCCATTTGGACGCTCCTGTATATCCTGCGGGGAATGTCGAAGACTGGCTCGGCCACGTGGAGGTCGCCATGAGGAGCACCCTGAAGGAGATCGTCGGTCGATCCCTGGAACTTGTCGAGGACACTCCCAGGAAGGAATGGGTCTACATGTGGCCAGGACAAGTCACTCTTTGTGCTGGACAAACTTATTGGACTGCACATGTTGAAGAAGCCATCGCGTCCAACACTCTTCCGACTTTCTTCGGCATCATGCTGCAACACGTGGGTCTAGGTGTTTCTTGTTTCTTCCTCTCTCACAGCCTTGTGTTTTTTTTTAATTCGATGCTTTTTTGAGAGTTTCAAATCTTCTCCGGAAAATTTATTTCACATTTTCTTATTTCTACTCCCAGTTGGACGACCTGAGGGACCTCGTGCGAGGTCAACAGACAGAGATCCAGAGACTCATGTTGGAGGCTGTAATCACTATTGAAGTGCATGCTAGGGATGTCCTCAGCAATTTGATTCGAGAAAAAGTTGTCAACGTGAACGACTTCGACTGGATTTCTCAGTTGCGATACTACTGGGTGGAGGAAGATCTGAAAGTCCGAGCCGTGAACGCGGAATTTCCTTATGGGTCTGTTGTCCTCGTCCTTTTCGCCTTTTTCTATCAGAATTATCCTCGATGTCGGCTTTATTGTCGGATTGGAAATTACGTCGGATTAATTGGAATCGTTGGCTTCCAGCTACGAATATCTGGGGAATAACGGAAGGCTCGTGATAACGCCGCTGACTGATAGGTGTTATCTCACCCTGACGGGAGCTTTGCACCTGAAATTCGGAGGTGCTCCTGCAGGTCCTGCGGGAACAGGAAAAACCGAAACCACGAAGGACCTTGCCAAGGCGTTTGCTATTCAATGTGTGGTTTTCAATTGTTCCGATCAGCTCGATTTCATGTCCATGGGAAAGTTCTTCAAGGGCCTCGCCAGGTATTTCCACTAAAAAAATCAAGATCAGATTATTAAATAATATAAATAGATATATTCAACATAACGTCGTGATTTCCTTGCCATATTAACCTGATCTCATTAATGATAACCGGAAATCATTTAATAAGTGGGATCTAGTGACAACTGGAACTTTTTGTACCCCGCCATTTAAATTTCTCATTTTTCGAAGTCCTTCGTCCTGAAATCATTTATTTCTCTTAGTGCAGGTGCTTGGGCTTGCTTCGATGAATTTAACAGGATAGACATCGAGGTCCTATCAGTAATCGCTCAGCAGATCATGACAATCCAGAAGGCGCAACAGATCCGAGCTGAAAGGTGATTAAAAAAATTAGCCATAAAAAAATTTAGTTTATAAATTGAATTTTGTTTTCGGTGGGATTTTCAGGTTCCTCTTCGAGGGCGTGGAGTTGGCCTTGAAGGCTTCCTGTGCTGTCTTCATCACCATGAATCCAGGATACGCAGGACGAACCGAACTTCCGGACAACCTGAAGGCGCTTTTCAGACCAGTCGCGATGATGGTTCCAAATTATGCACTAATCGCCGAAATTTCCCTATTTTCTTACGGTTTTTCCGACGCCAAGACTCTCGCTGGGAAAATCACCACCACCTTCAAGCTGAGCTCCGAGCAGCTCAGCTCTCAGGTTGCGTCTCATCAGCTTCTCTTAATTTTATTTACGACAGAGTTTTAGTAATTAGAAGGAAGGACCAAGTCAGGATTAGTTGAACAGGGTCGGCTCGTATCCTTGAATCTTGCAGGATCATTATGACTTCGGGATGAGAGCCGTGAAGACGGTAATTGCGGTCGCGGGAAACCTGAAGAGAGAGCAGAGACACCTCGAAGAGCAGCAAATTTGTCTGAGGGCCCTGAGGGATGTAAACGTCCCGAAATTCCTGAAGGACGACCTGAAGCTCTTCAACGGTTCGTCTATATTTGATCCTTGCACCATATTGCCCCAAAAATATTTATTTAAAAATTCCACATTTTCTCGTTCCATTTCTTTTTAAGCAGGGATCGAAAAACTGGCCAAACGTTAGAAAAATTGAACGACAAGGAAGGATTTTGATTAATATCGTTAAATTTTAATCCTTCATATATTTGTGGGATATCCTAATAATATAAGCGTCCTTCAAAAAGGGAAACTAATTTATGCCAAGGTGGAGGGATATTAGAATTTTCAAATTTTCAATATTTTCTCGGTGAGTTTTCTTCGAGACGAGGGCAGCTTTTCCACGCGGAATGTGTATCTTCGCTCAACCCTTTTATAGGAAACGCTACGGAAGGTCCACAAAGGACCTTTATTCTTGGAAAACTGAGTAACCTCCACGAAAGGTCGTTATTAGGTTCCAGAGGGTTTTTCTTGGCAATCCTCGACTTTCCATTATGGCCGGCTGCAATTTCGACTGCAATGAGTTCCCGAGAAGCTGAGGAAGCATTCTTCAAGGATGAAGAGTCCTGCCGAGGTCCTATCCAGCCCCTCCTTTATTTTCATAGTATTTTTTAAAGCGTAAGATTGAGAATTATTTTCCATTTTAATTCCGTTGGAATTCATAGTTTTTGTGATTGTAAAAAGGACATTTACAAGGAGAGGTCCTTGAGGAATTCCGGGGACGAAGGATGAGCCTTCTTAATTGTAAATCCTTTGGGATTGGTGACGTGGATCGTAGTCATGGGGTATCCTCGAACAGAAGGTCCTGGAATAGCGTTCGTCCTGCTGATTGCGGCATTAGGGGGCTCCCAGGACCTTTAATGAGGATAATAGAGGAACGTTTCCATCTCCCTTTGCGACCAGGACGACATGGCCATTTTCTGAAAGGAGCATCCTTTCCTGGGGTTAGCCCTCGAATTCGCGAATTCCTACACGAGGGGTCCTTTAAGGATCTTCGCCTCCTTCTCGTCTATTTATGCGCTTCGGCCGTGAATTACTGGCGAGTAATGTCTAGTCTAGACATCGTTATTCGAGATTGGGGGAATTTCCACGAGGATACAGGATGATAGGAAATGTCCTGGGAGTATCCTGGAGCTCGCAAGGATCAATGTACCGGGTTTCTCTACATGTTCCTCGTGATTAGCGGTTCGTCTCCTTATCGGACATCCCACGTGGCGTCTGTTACGTGAGGTCCTTTCAAGTCGTCCTGGGAAAGGACTCGTCCACTTAGTCCTTCGGTCTCTCTGGACCAGGTGGATGCATTAGCAGCATCCCTTCCATCTACCCTCGATTTTACGAGTATCGATTATTTCCTGATATGCTTGAGTCCTTGAATTGTCGATTCTTGCACCTGCCGATTTAGTTCAGACCGATTAAAGCCGAAGGACCTGCTCGATCAAGGATAAGTCTGAGTCCTTCCTCGAATTTTTTTAACACTCCTATTATTCTGGAATAATCACCAGACCCTTGATAAGGATTATTCGATGGTTCCAGGAATCGTGTCAGACCTCTTTCCAAGGATGGTGGAGAAGGCTGTGGACCATGGCATCCTTGAGGCCGGGATCCGCAGGACGATAAAAAAAATGGGACTCCTGGATGTGGACGGTGAGTGCTTTCGATGAGTTCCAGGACCATCTTCCACAGATTCCTAAAAGTCAGGGCTCCATCTTTATTCAGGAAAAATGGCGCAAGAAGTCCTTTTCTGACAAAAATTGAAAAAATGAAAAAAACAATGTAGAATCCAGGATAACTCCGCGAAGGTTCAATTGAAACTTCGGAACGTCACTCGATGGAGGTGCATCGGCATCCGATCGATGGTTATCGGAGGTTTATCAGGATTTTATGCAGACAAGATCGCGTCGTGCCTGGAATAGTAGAGAAGTGGAATTTGCGGGTTGCGGCCAGGACGAGGATCCGCCATAAGCGAGGGTAAATTCCAAGGATAGTTCGTGGATATACGATCGCTGGATCGATCGCTCGTTGGGCATCCAGGACATCCAATTTTTAATCCCTTCTAAAAGAACCGGGAAGGACATCCAGGACCTCCTATATTGCCTGGACCCCCTTCGACGTGCAATTTTTAATCTCCCTTTAAGCAGCCTTCGAAGGACCTCCACGTTGAAATTTGTAGTCGCGGTAATCGATGTCGAACGTCCTCGATTTAATTTACAGGAGTCTGTTAGATCCTTAGGAGTATCCCGTTTTTATATCCCGATCCCTAGGGACCCCAAAACGAGTCTCATAATTAAACCTCCCATGTCCAGGGGTTGCGACCCCTTTTTTGGTTAACAACTCCTCTCGGCATTTCGATCTCTCCCCCTTTTGCATTCTCCCAAGACTGCGACAATTCCCCCGGGATGTGTAATCCCGACCTTTTCCCACGGAATCCTCCCTCTGTCCTAGGAATTTCTTTATTGCCAGTGAACTCACGTCAACGGGAAATAATTCTCTTCCTGGTGGAGGCGCGTCCCCCACGAAGTGGAATAACTTTCGGAATTAAGGAACTCGATATCCTGTGGAAGATCCTGAAGAACGAGGGGAACTTCGGAAGGGGTGGCGATGTTTCCGTGATAAGAGGGGAGATATCACTTTTGACCTGATCATTTTCTCCCTTTAAAAATTTCTTTTTAACGCTTCGTACTTTCATTTTATTATCTTTAATACAGCGCGAAGAGCTCTCGCACGGCGTTCAAATATTTTTGTAGGACAACTTTTTACTCATCCTGCACCATTTCTTGTTTAACTTTATTTAACCTTATTCGCTGAAATGACGAGTTGATAACACGAGAGTGAATTGCGCAGTCGGACTTGAAAGGATTCCGGAAGTCGCGGGAATACTCCCTCGGGAATAATTACCTTTAACAAAAATAACGCATTACGCGATCGAGAAGTCCGAGGGATGCACCAAGAGATGCGTCGCGGTTTCTCCGGGATGTAAAAATAGACCGGGCGTCCTTGTAATCGGTTCACGGTGGAAACAGAGAGTCGCTCTTCATCTTCTCCTAAGTTCCCCCCCATTTCGAGGCAGGAATTTTCCAGGGATTGTTTCCCGTCCCCAATAATATTAATCATTAATATCCCATTGTCAGAATAATTATTAAAATTATTCCTGTGTGCAGAGTTCGTGAAGAAGGTGATCCAGCTGTATGAGACGACGGTTGTGAGACACGGCTTGATGTTGGTGGGTCCAACAGGATCAGGAAAGACCAAGGTAGGTGATTCTTCAGGTTTGTCCCCTTCAGGTTTACCTCTTCAGGTAAGCCCGAAGAGGTAAGAAATCCCAATAAACACGAGGCAGCCATTTTTTTTTGCTCCGAAAAGTCCTGGAGAACGAGAGTTAATGCGGCTCCTCGTATTTTCCTCGGCATCCTTCGAGACTTTTTCAGGATCCTGGACTCCTGGGGTGGGGAATAAGACGAAACGAGATGCTGGGGATTATTTAGAAAACATTGCTTTATTGTTATATCAATAAATAATACGATAGGGGAACATAGAAATGGAACGTGCGAGCCTCCCTAAGCTTTGTACAAGGATCCGAGGAAAGGACTTTTCCCTTGCTCGATCGAGAGAATCCTAATTTCTCGTGTCGTTTTTTTAAATTGGTTGTTTGGTAAATTCAAATTTGCTTTTCTCCTTATTTATTTATCCTCGCGGTAAATTTCTCCTCTCTGGAAATTTGAGGAAATGGGAAAAGAGAGATGTCCTGCGAGGTTTCGGATTTCCTCGCCTCGAGGTGTCCTCGCACATCGCTGGAACCTTTTTCTTTTTTCTTTCTCTTCTTTGACTTAGATTCTAGACACATACATCGACTTCGCGACGAGGTAGTGAATTATTTACAACATTTACAGGGGGTCACATCGATTTCTTTGGCTGGGGTGCAGGCTATGTACAAAGGCCGGTGATAAGACGCGGTCCGTTCGCGGAGATCATTTCTTCGGTGATAAGCGCCACGTGGAGTGCACTCTACGCAAATATATTTTATGTGTACATATTTTCATTTATTTATATCACCATCGTCAGCGAGATCCTTCGGGTTTATAGATTTGTCCTTTACGAATTTTTTTCTTCCCGCGAAACGAGGTGGGACCGAAAAGAATTCCCGTTTTCGATTTCGGGAATTTTGCAGGCGCTCCCGAGTCTCATTTTCGACATCATCTCTTTCCCACGCATCTTTTCTCCCTGATATCACTGACATCAGGCTGCTCCTGAACATCCACAAAGACATTCCGTGGTTTATGCCAGCGGGGCCATTTCCCGGGTAACGAGTTTGTCGAAGTTCGCAAACGGGGGTCGTGGCCAAGATGCAGGGGTTCCCGAGAGATTCCCGAGGGAAGAGGGATGGTACATTTACGCGGTACCCAAGGTGTACACAGAGTGTACTTGTTCCCGATTCCCGCGTAACGTGGGTATCACTAGGTAATACATTACCCTGGGTTAAGGGGGGGGACGTATCCCGGTTTAATTTAAACTGGATCACCGGCGCAATTTCCGGGAACCTGGAGTAGATGTAATTCTTTCCGGGGATCCTTTAAGACTCCCGGAGTTGCTTCGAGTCATCGTTAGGACATTATGCGAGAAATTTAGCTCCAGTGGTCCCGAGGGACGCCGAGTATCCTTAGGGACTCCGTTCCGGAACCCGGGATCCAGACTTTCCTGGAGAGGGACTCCTGGACGCGTAATTTCTCCTTTATGGGAGCCATCCTTTTTCTTGATCCTTTTTGGCCCCGAAACGGTGCCGCGCTTTGATCCCGCAGGAACCCCCTTAACGAGGTCGACCAGGGAGGGACTCGCGAATTACTTCCCGATTTATCGTCCCGGATCCAGGAGTCTCTTTCGCGGTCCTGGAGAGCGGGCATAATCGCTGTTTACGACACCTCTCAAGGGATGACGCGCTTTGTGGAAGCGACGCAGAGGATCAGGACGAGGGGAGTCCCTCGGGAATCGGGTTCCGAATTGGAAATTCGGGGTTCCGCGATCCTCAGGGTTCGTCGGGATCGCGCGAATCTAGGAACCAATCGCGGGAAACAACTGACAAGGTCCCTGATGGGGTCCTGCAGGAGTTCCGGGACTTCCCGGGAGCGATCCCGGGTCCCGAGGGATAGACCCGGGTTTATAGACCGCGTCGTAAAAAGCTCGGCCTATTCCTGAGGGACAAATCATCCCCTCGATACGGGAATTACGGGACGCCGCGTTGTTCCTGTTTTTTTTTTCACGACAGGATCAGAGGTCCTGCGCGGTTGATCGGAGTCCTTTTTCCGGGTTTCAGTTTATAGGGAGTCCGTCACTTCTCTTGAAAATTGTTCGGAGCACTGTGGTGGAGGTCGAGCTCTTCAGGGTCGACCTACAGGTGGTCCCTTTCCTCCGACGTCTTCTCCGTTCCATGCTCCACGATATCCTCGAGTCCTGCCACATAGGTGCGAGGTCCTCCGCGAGGATCCTGAGCATTCCTGGAGAACGGGCGGTGCCCCTTCGAGGTCGGTCTCCCTCTTCCGGGTCCTCTTCCGCCACCTTCATCGTCTTCCTGGGATTTCGCGGGGGTCGAGTATCTCACCGCTAGCTAGATGTACCTTTGGGGATTGCAGTGGTACCTCGTCAGGTCCACCGCCTTGACGAACAGCTCTTTAAGGCACAGGCGGAAGGTGACTCCACAGATCGCGTATAACAGGAAGTTGATGCTGAAGTTGGTGTAGTAGAGGACCATGGCGAGCTGCTGCCAACAGTAGTGCGTTGGAGATGGAATATTACCGGCCAGGGTGTAGAAAAAGACCCAAAGGCGAATCCCGTAGCTGAAAATAGGCAACACGGTTCCGTGATCATCATTTGATGCCTCCCTAAATTTCCAAGAGACCTTGAAGACCCGAATGACCGTCTTCGTCTCTCGCATCGAACCGTTCTCCCTCTTCAAGGTCTCTCTCGAGTATCTAAACCAGACTGAGATTAAACGCTCCGCTGCTGATCGATCGCCCTTTCCCGGACGTGTGGCGTCTTCGCGTTAATTATTCCACCAGATCGAATTTTCCTAATGAAGCTAATTAAGTTTCCAGCAGGTGAGGCTGACAGGTTGTCGAGGCTCTTCAGCGTTGACGCGTTGGTCGCGACCTGGTCCCGAATCAACGCGCGACTGATTTGGAATCGGTTTTGGACCTGATCTCGACTTGGTCTTGCAAAATGGAAAAGACCAATATGTCAAATCAAGCCCAAAATCAAAATCGTGACAGAAAATTCTTACATTTTCCATCATCGACAGGTTTTCAACATCTCTTTACCTCGGCATGTTGAGCAGGATGAACATCGTGCTGACCAATAGCAGCATAATCGTAATCTGCCTTGACGTCACGTGCATCGATGAGGATCTCATGTCTGAAAATCAGGCCTCGTTTTAAATATCGATTTTTTTTTTTTTTCTTATCAACTGATTATCATATTCGACTTACTCGTGCACCTCGCCGGCTGTTGCTGAAGTGTCTGTCGGGTGATCCTCGGGGTGGACGTGGCTGTTGGGGTTGCCGGAAGGTGCCGGGAACCAATGGAATGGTTGCTTTTGGATGAATGGAACGATTGTTGCGAGGGTTGCCTCCTGCCACCCCCTGGGCCCATACTCAGAACCCCTGCTCCGTTGTTGCAACTGCTCGCGCTCTGAAATTATTGATAAAAAATGGGACTTGACATTGTCTTCCTGCTTTCATAAATTTTCTTTCGCGCTGTTTATTTCCCTGAATTTTCATTCTATGAAGAACGAGACGAGAGATAATCTAAACAATTGAAAACTGTCCTCGGGATTAGGGTTCAACTCCTCATCCCCATTGTTGCATCCCCTTGCGTTCGGAAATATTAAAAAAAGAGCAGGATAAAATTTTTCATGCTCCTAAAAAATTCCCTATCTCTCTGAATTCTCATTCGACGAAAATCGAGGAAAATGCCAGGTAATGGGAAATGCGGCGTCGCGGGGGGTCCACTGGTCTCGGCGACAGGAACCGCTCCCGATATCCCGTTTACGATCTCAGGTCCCTCGGGAATCTCTCGATTCTCGACGGGGGAGGGGTTCCTTTTATGATGAGACCCGACGCGGCGTCTCGGAAAATGATTTCCCGCGATCGCGGATTTATCGGCGGATTTGTCCCGCGGGGTCCGAGCGTGGGAATTCGCCCGGAAACGAGGAAACGAGGGAAAGATCGTAAAAGTGGGAAACTAACGTCCCACCCCCTGCCTTATGGGGTGGGTCCTCCTCCCAGGGAATTCCTCACCCATCCCTCGGGAATGACTGTTCAACCTTTGCGTTTTCTCGCCCTTTTCTAATTCCTTCGAGCGACTCTCTAATCGCGGCTTATCGGCAAGCCTCATTAAATTTTCGACGCTCTTTACCCTACTTTCGGGCTTTCTCTTTGAACCTGCCCACGATTGTTTCGGTCACGCGAGCTTACGACCGTCGAAAAGTTTCAATGACGTCCGATAAAAAGGAGAAAAAGGGAACAGAAGTCCTCTGGGAACTTTTCACGGCAAAGCTCCTCGTCGCGAGGTTGTACGTGGGACGGGAAATGTCGCGCAATTGCAAATGTAATCAGAGTGGATTTAAAATATGTTTGTATTTCGCTCGCGAAAGAAATTCCGTATTACGAGAGGAGGTAGGAGGTCATTCCCTCGCGATAAGGAAGAGGAGACGTCGTTACGTTATTACGTCTCCCTAGGGAGACACGGGACTTCGCTCGACCTGGGGAAAAGTCGCGAAAAGGGGGAAGAAACCGCGGAAAAAGTCGTACTTCCCTTAAGGCGCGTTGACGGCATCGATTCGTCATCGTTAAGGCGAGATTCGAGATTTACTCCTCCCCTAGGAACACGATATCGCGTTATCCAGTGACGTAATTCTGAAATTCAACTCTTAAAGAATTAATAAATTAATAAAATAAGAAGTCTCCTCGAGGAGTGATGAAGTTCTCTTCTCTCCTTTTTCTTTCTTTTCTTTCAGGAGACTCCAAAGAGTTCTTCGAGATTCCTTCCGGGGAGGGAAAAATGGAGGGAAATTCGGGGGCGCAGAAAATTGGGAAAAGTTTTGGGAAACTTGTCTACGAGGTAACGTCGCGAAACTGGCGAGGGGGGCAGGGGGGCGTGAAGGTGTCCACCCCCTGTGTCCGGCATAATCGCGTTATCACCCCTTGCACGTGGGGCTCGGTCCTCCAGGGTGGCTCGACGTGATCGACGAGTTCGGAGAGACCC